AATTCCCCGCAGAGGACTCGTGCGCCCGGAAGGAGGCTGAGAAGCGCGGCCCCTGGATCGATTTTCTGCGCTGCGCTGCGCTGTTTCCTCCACACACGCGAGCGCACACGCACACGCACCCTCCCTCCCCCTCCTCCTCCAATTTGAAACTAGGACGCGGTAGCAGTCGCACACGCCCGCGCGCGCAGTCGGAGCCAGAAGGCATGGGCCCGCGAGCTCCGGTCTCCACCCCCCCCCCACATGCTGGAAAATTAATTACTCACCAGAAAATACCCCGAGGCGTGCGAGCTCTAGAGAAGGTATTCTTAACCATTCTAATGGAAATCACGAGGACCCACCCACCCGTGGTATTTCATTTTATGTACGTGCGCGCGTGCGTCAGTGCAAATCAAAAATATTGAATAAAAAAGCCGAGCTTCCACTGCGCCGCGTGCACGCGAGCAGGGTCTCGTTGGGTAGAGCAGAAGGGTTAACATTAAGCATATAGGAAGCTCTGCCTATTGTGTGTGTGTGTGTGTGCGTGCGTGCGTGTGCGCGCGCGCGGTGGAGGTTGTGTCATTGGGACGTAGGGAAAAGGCGAGCCAGGAGTCTACGCACTGGGATGGGGGGGCGGTGGGGGGGTAGAAGTACGGCGTAGATAGAGGCAGGCATTTGAGGAATTTCAATGCGCAAGAGGCAGGATGTGGACCAGGAGGAGGAGGAGGAGGAGGAGGAAGAGGGAGAGCGCGGCTAAAGAGCCGGGTGTTTTTAATCACATCCCCCCCCCCCCCGCCGTCCCCCGCGGATTGAAAGCGTAATTGTGTGCGCCGGGGGCAGCGGACCGGACATTAATGACGCACGCTAGATTACTGGGGCGTTGTCGGGAGCGACCGGGCCCCTTCACCGGGAGAGGAAGAAAGAGATAACCTCCTCCAAAGAGAACAGCGGCGCTCCAGCGAACGGGAACATCACATTCAGGGACCTTAAAAAACAAGCTATTTTTGTACACTTAAAATCAGGGTACAAACGTATTTAGAATTTCATAATGAAACGTTTCCATGAGAAATTAAAATCTTCTGCTGCAAGATTAACACAATTAGGTTTTACTCACGATTTAGAGCGTGCATTTATAAGTAAATTAGAATGTCATTTTTGGATAAATACTTTTGAACCATTGAGTCTTTTTGGAAAAGTTTAAATAGAAATATAAACGTATCATTTTTATTAGCGACCTCACGAAGACGAGGCTCTACAACGTAAAGCTCCAGACAAGCTACAAAATGGCAATTTTGGCGAGATTGATGTAGCAAATAAAAAGGACAGATAAAAGCCAAACACATCCCGTTAAAGACACCGGCGAGGATTACTGAGCTGCTCAGAGCGTCTCGCTATCTGACAGCTGGGGCGCCGATCCCTCCAAACGGAGGTACGCGCGTTCTGGCAGAGCGGCGTGCGGCGCCTGGGAGACACAAAGCCAACTGTCCTTGCAGCACCGCGGCGCCTTCACGGCGTCGTTGAGGTGTGGGAAAAAAAAAAAAATTTGGCACAGGAATTAAGGACGGCTACACGGAGCGGTAGGGCCTTCCGCTCGGCGAGGAACAAGGTTGAGCGTCACGTACGTGCACCAGGACACGCGAGCTGACACGTCCCATTGTGACTGGAAGCTTGTGTGGATCAGTAAACAAACACCCGGGGAAGATAACGAACAAGCAGCTCGCTGTTTGCTCAGCCAGCTTTGTTGCTACCCGACGGGACCGAGCTGCTGTGTGGGCAAACGTGTTCAGAAGTCCGCCTGTTTTTGTGTGTGTGTGTGTGTGTTCGGAAGGCCTGATTTAAACACCCTCTTCTAAATACCCCCCCCCCCCCCCCCCCCCTACTTACCTATGCTGCTCCAAGACCTTGTGCGCTGTGTGTGTGTGTGTGTGTGTGTGTGTGCGTATTCATGCGTGACCACAAACAAATTGCTCGAGACACAGAGAGATGTGTCGAAACCATGTGACTGACGGCCCTGATAACTGCCAACACCAGTTACGTACGTCATCTCTCCAGCCCCACACACACACAGACACACACACACACACACACACAGACACACACAGCGAAGAAGGGGGATGGTGCCAGGCTGAGTCAGAGCGAGAGAAAAGATCAAGAATGGTGAACGCAGGAAACTACATGCGTGAATGCAAAACAAAAGAAGCATGCATGCTCTTGTATGCGTGTGTGTGTGTGTGTGTGTGCGTGTGGCACAGTGTGAGAGAGATGGCGACAGAGAACATGTGAGGCACAGCAGGAGGGAGATGTGGCGAAGTGAATGGAAATAACCAGAGCCGGCGGTCTTCAGACACCCAGCAGGAATCGCTTTCTCTAGTTTACACCTGCTGCCACACACACACACACACACACACACACACACACACACACACACACACACACACACACACACACACACACACACACACACACACACACACACACAAGCCAGAGAGCTCGCTGGCTTGGCAAGCACAATCGGGGAGGCTGTTGTTGTTGTTTTAAAGCATCGCAGCGCGTGCATAAACTCATAAATATTCATGTCCATGAACCTGGCTTGCTGCTTTATTCATGCTGGGTACAAGAGAGGGAGAGAGACGGAGGGAGGGAAGGAGAGAACAAAAAAGAGTAGGGGGGGAAGAGAGAGAGAGAGAGGAGGACCGAAGCGAGAGGCAGAGGAAAACAGATGGAAACGAGGAGAGCGATTGGGGAAGAGAAATACGAGGAAACGAGTGTGTGATAAAAAAAAAACCCTGCTGACTTATTTACACGTAGCAATTAGCCCACATGAACAGTGTGTGTGTGTGTGTGTGTGTGTGTGCGTGTGTTGTCTGGGCGGTGAGGGTTACGCCAGTTCAATGTGCAGTAATTACATCTGCCACTTAGGGGCAGCATCTACATAACCTTAACCCTAAACTGCCCCCCCCCCCCAGCGCACCCTGGAGGGGGGGGGGGTAACAACAGAACAGGTACTGCTGCTGCTGCTGGACGCGTGGTGAATAGGAGTGTGACCCTGAGCACCTTTGTGCAGGATTTCAAGGCTTAAACCATTGGGCAGTAGTTCTGTGTGGGCAGGTGTTAGATGCCACTTCCCGATACCAGTAATGGAAATTAATGATTGCATATCAATCCATTGCTGTCCAGCAGATTAGTACGGCTCTTCCATACATGTAGGGGACAATTTTTTTTTGAACACATTTCAGAAAGAATGTTTTCTTTTAAATGTAAAATGCTTCACACGACAATGAATTACATACAAACGTTTCTCTGTAACAGCGTGAAATGTCGCTCATGGACGGGCATCTCAGAATTTTTGTAACTTGGCATCCGCACCAGACTGACATTACAAACAGTCCACTGAAAACCCAACTGCACGTCAAAGAAGGCCAGTTATTAGATTGACAGGTTGGGGACAGCAGGGGTCTCCAACCTTTTTTGCCCGTCGGACCGTTTTCATATGAGACAATAAATCGCGGATTGGTCAATATGGCCCACAGACCGGTACTGGTCCGCGGCGTGTTGGTTGGGCACCCCTAGTTTACAGGATATCGAACGTTAGTCGTCTGATAATAAATGGATTACCTGACTTTCTTTCTTCCTTACTGGACTTGTGCAAAGGCAATACAGAAGTCTGTTAATATGTTACAGTTAATTATGACTCCTCTTCGGAATAGCAGTTTGGTTCGGGTTGTTTTCACTGGTGGTCTTCTTCCTTCTTCACTGCACAACCACAACGATTCCCGGTCGACGTATTTGCAATTTACAGCATGTCAACACGGTCCTGTTCAAAGCAGGACTTTCATCATAGAGACATCGTACATAGGACTTCTTTCTGCCACCAGAGGAGTCGCCCCCTGCTGGGCCGTAGAGGGAATGACAGTAACACGCCGCGCGGGGTTCCCTCGGCAGAACCGGAGGTTGAGGCGTTCTCCTCTTTTCCCCGGCAGCCCATGTCCTGTTTTCACAATCGGACTGCTCTAGATCTTAATATTTTTCCCAGGCAGCCTCCCCTGTCCTTCTTTTCCTTTCAGTAAGGTCAGGAGCAGAGGCGCCGCTGCTCCAAAATTTAAATATGCATGGACGGGCTGGCGCGCACAGACGGACACACACAAGCCCATGAAACGCACACACACAAGTGTCACAAGGTCAAATTGCTCCCCGCCGTTTGACACCTACCCAGCGGGAACACCAAAGCTAATCCTGCACACACTCTAATCCTCACGCTCGGTGTGTGCGTGCGTGGAGAAATGTGACTCTCGGACAGGCCATTACCTTTCGTCTCTCTCTCTCTGGGTTGAAGGTTCCCAACCATGACTGCATCTGTGCAGAAAAGACACAAAATGGAAAGAATAGGTCAGGGCAGTTACTTTGTGGGGGGGGGGGGTGGAGGTTTGATCATTTAAATCAGTTGTTTTTCCTCAAGAGGCCTGACGATTAGAGGTGACACGCTGGAAGAAATATCACATTGGCCATCAGACCAAAGCAGAATCCCTCCACCGTACCCGCCATCCCTGCGTACCCGCCATCCCTGCGTACCCGCCATCCCTGCCTAATTCGCGACACAGTGCGAAGCTTTCAGCTTTCAGGCAGAGGGGAGCGCTTAAAGCGGCTCCCGGCATCTCACCAGGAGCGGCAAGTGATCAGCTCCAGCGCACACAATGTGACACCAGGAAGAAAAAGGAAAAAGGTAAAGGGTTGAGAGAAAGGGGAGACGCTTTTTTTTTTGTTTTTTTGTTGAAGAAGTGTTAAAGAAAAAGGAAAAAAGTGGAGCAAACATGGCAGATCTGAGATCTCCAGAGAGAACGTGGGAATACTTTCCGCTCTTCCTCCGTCTCATCTCTCCGGGGAATGCAGGGAAAATGTCAACAGACGCGCGCACGGAAACACACGCACGAAGCCCGAGATCTGTAATGGTGGGATCGGGGCTGGGCTTGAGGGGGGGGAGAGGAAACCAGAAGGTTTATGTTACCCAGGACATCAGAGACAAATCTCTGGAGGCCCAGTGTGAGCGTTCACACGCACGGCACAAAGAGGCTGCGTGAACGATGTGCACTAACAGCTCCTCTGTTCTGCCATTTATTAACTGGAGGTTGCCATGGTTTCTCCGCGCTGACGTGATCATCATTGTAAATCTGTGTGTGCCTGCGATGCGTTAGCAGACCGAAAGAGAGAAAAAATAATAACAATAATTTGCCGTCGGGTCATTAGACGGAACTTGAGGGGGGGCCGTCACGAGGCCTCGGCCAGCTCTATGCGCGCCCGGCTTTTGTTCCAATCTCTGTTAAAGCCGCCGGGGAGACGAGCGTCCCGGACGGCGTGCCGGTTAAGTGTTGAGGCGTGAGGCTTAAGAGGGAAGGAGTGGGCATGTACAAATGGCCCCCATAAAAAAAAAACACGCGGCGGCGCGCTCTCAGACCTCGCTGTCTGGCATGATAATGACTCATTAGCCTTCAAATCCCCTCCAGTTAGCGCGAGGCCGCGCAGCCGCTCCGGGGTGCGTCCGCGTTTTTTCCCCAAATAATCCTGTTGTAACTTGGTCTTGGTAAACTAATGAGCTCCAGATTTGTACCCCCTCCCCCCACCCCCGTGAAGTGTGTGGAAAGGGAAGGAACTTCTCCGTCCGGCTAACGTCCCACCTCGCTCCGCTCAGCCTCCTCGTCTTTATCCCCTTTCCCCCGATGCGTCGCCACCTACCCCGCTTTCAAAGCCTTTGAAATTCTTTCAAGTGAGACAGCCTGCAGCTGAAAAGAGATAAGGCTTGAGCTCTTCATAAATATGATAGAGAAAGCAAAACGACAGAGTGGGGGGGGCTGAGGAGGAAGAGAGGGAATAGAGACAGAGAGACGGAGAGAGAGAGACAGACCGATGGAGACGGAAAAGAAGAAAAAAGGTACAAAGCGAGACAGCTGAATGCCGTGAGCTGAATGACTTATGAGATGCGACATTCACATTCATTCTCTTTCTCGTATTCACGATGAGGAGAAGCGGCCTCTCCGAGGTCGCCCGTCGGCTGCCCGGCTATCTCGGAATCTGTCTCACCCTCCCGGTCGCCCTCGCTCTGCCGCCCCCCAAACAAAGAGCGTCGGCTATTCACCGCCATCCCGGCGGGGCTTCAACCGCGCTCTTCCCCGCGCTCCGGTTTTGTGTGGGACGACATGGAAATCAGTGCAAGCGTATCGCGCGAACACATGTCTGCCGCTGCCTTCCCCAGCTGCCAGCGCGGGGGGAATGTGAGCTATGTGCACGGAGCGCTGCCCCGGGGCTCCTGCTCCACCCGCACAGCGGAAAAAAAAATCACACAGAGCTACGAGCCAACACGGAGGGGAGATCGACCGAGTGGTAAACTAATTAATCGACTGATTACCTTCACAAACAGACTGTTCTGAGAAGCTGGAAGAATGGGCCAGGTGGCGTTTCTCAGAACAAGTAAACACATATGGACAATTAGAAGCGCTGTCTTTATGGACTAGTTCAAGTCCATTACAGCTGGCAGAAAAAATACAGAATGGTGAGGAAGTATGAGTGCTAGTTTAGGTGGTTATGCCCAAACGTACGGTCCAGAAAATAACCGGCGAGCCTCACATGTGATGATCTGGATCAAGCGAGCCGCGGACATTTCTGAATGACAAATCGTTTCTAGCCATTATGTATGTTAGCTCCTCTCAGTTGCATCACAAAAACACAGACGTGTTTGGGGAACGCAAATGGGCTTTGCGTTCTTATTCTATAATAAATGATAAAAACGTATAAAAACGATCCATCACACATACAGGATTTTGCGAGTCTATTTTCTTGTGAGACGTCCCTTTTCTAAAAGGTCAAACTGCACTTGGATTCAGATAAACTGCTGTTGTCTCGGCGTATCGGACACTCACCCTTGCGGTGGCCACGCAGATTATCCGCGCGTAGCAGCAGATCATCAAGAAGATGAGGCTGAACAGAGGCACGTACCATCTGCAAAAAAGCACAAACACGAGAACGATAAAAACCCCACAGGATTTAATACATTTTGAATCCACAAGTAGAGGACGTTTATCCTAATACAATTCCTACCGTGACCGGACGTAATAACATATTAGGTGTCCAGTGTTGAGATAGAAGGGCTTTCTAAAGCGATTAGAGAGAAACTCCCCTAATATGATTTCCTCTGCAATAGGAGAAGGCCATATTTGTTAAGATAGGATTTGGTGAATTTGTTTTGCCTTATTTCAGCATTTTTCAGACTCTCAACACAAAACATTCCTCACTAAAACCCTTTGAATAGAGACAGATTGACCTCGAGCGAACACATGTAATAATATTAATGCATAGGTAAGGCCGTGAGGACGCAGGGCAGCATTATTCTAAATAGCTTAAGCATGGAGGACACCTGCTTTGCACACCACCCTGCACAGAGCCGGAGCAGGCCTGACTCAGCGTGCTGCACGTACAGTTTCTATAATTAGAGAAAAAGGCAGGTAAAGAACACAACGAGTCCCCGCAACCCAGAAATGTATGGCATTCATAGGGGATAAAGGTTTTCACAATCAAGGGAGGCGCCGGGGAGAGAATAACATGTCAGGTATTTCTGAGCGGCTGAGAGCGCGACGAACGAGGGGTGATGGATTTGCTGGAATGGCAGCCTCGTGTTATGCAACCTGCTGGGAGGTGATGTAAGCTCCGAGGAGTTTCAGCCTCTCATCATGAAACAGCCTTTTGTCTGGCTTTGACGGACAGGTTCCTGGGCACCGCGTGGCGTTTCAGCCTCGGCCGCTCAGTGCAGTCAAAGGCGCGCGGCGCCACGCGCATGGCAAGCGCCATAGATACATCTATCAACATGGAGGGGGAATATGTACCAGTGGATACCAGGGTTTCCCCTACGTCTACAACCACAGGGGACAGAGGGGGTCACGATCGATGTGGAAAACAGGAATCTGTCTCCAAATACATGAATACGGGGACGTACGTGGCTTGGGAGGGAAACGGATTGTGACCAACGGCGTACATGGAATGTCCTTGTCGAAAACCGCAAGTTAAAGCCGCATCTAAAAGGCACATTTTGAGTTCATGGCCTGATTTCACTTTGTCCACGCTTACCTTCAACGCCTCGTCGGATAGGAAAAACCTTATCGGGCGTTATTGAATTAAACTTTTTATTGGCTGGGGAATACGGGACGGTAGCCTTTGTTTCACGGCGGTAAACAGAGGGGTGGGGGGTTGTGGGGCGGGGGAGTGTGTGTGTGTGTGGGGGGGCTTTGGGCTGCTCTGCACATCCATGTTTCTTCACGCCTTACAGGGAGCATCAATATGCAACGAACACCCTCTTTGAACGTGTGCGTGAGCGCGCGCGCTGTGTGCGCGTCCACGTGGCACGGGACAATGATGAAAGCCTTCTTGGGGAGGAGGAGGGGAACCTGCGCCAGCGTCACCTCGGTGTGATTTAATAACCCGCGCCCCGGCATAAACAGCGTCCAATTACGCCAGCGCGTGTCCCGTTAATGATGGAGAGACGAGGTGGGGGGGCGGCGGGGCGGAGAGCGAAAAGGAGGGGGCGGCCTTTTTAACGATAGCGTGGGGGGATTGGGAGGGGGGTGAGGGGGGGGGTGCTGCGAGGAGCGGAGAATGACGGGCGGCAGCTACAAAGTGCTCTAATTAGCATGATAATGATCTGCCATTAGAGTCCGCTGTGCTCTACAGCTGAGCACTACCCGAGAGAGAGAGAGGGAGAGAGGGAGGGAGGGAGGGAGAGGGAGAGGGAGAATGAAATAGAGGCAGTGAAAGCGCGAGAAGATGCGGGGTGGGCAGGGGGATGATAAAAGCGAAGACAAGAATAGAGGTGAGGATGGGAAAGGTGGCGGGATGATGGCAGATCGGGGGTCAGGAGGACCAGGAAGAGGAAGGGGGGGTTGGCTGATTAAAAGACAGGGAAAAGGATGAGGTCACTCCTTTGTGACGGGGACAGCAGAGGGAAGCTGCAGCCGTAGGATTGACTGGCTGAAGGATGGAGGGAAAGGCTGGTGAACTGAGGGGGATTTTGAACGGTGAGCCCTGAGCCAGAGAAGCCCGGCAGCGACAGGGAGACGTGATCGTGGCAAACGTGCAGAGATTCGATCTCTCGGCGCCCCCTCCAGCCCCACTCTGAGCTGAATAATAGGGCCGGGAGGAAAAAAGCCTTAATTGAAGCGCTCGGTAGGAGAAGAGAGAGTACTGCAGGGACCCGTCTGTCCGGGTTAGCACTCAACTTTGACAAAGGAAGATGGAACTGCTGAGTGACGGATCAAGATCTACCTGTTCAACCACTCCGACGGGGACAGGACAACCCCAGAGACAGAAAGGGAGGGAGGACGCGACACAAAGGCCAGGCAGAGCAGGGTGTGTGTGTCTGTGTGTCAAATATAAAATTGAAAAAGACTATGGCCATATCCACACCACTACGTTTCCATTTTAAAACCAATATATACGTGTCCACACTGCAGAGTCCATGAGGGTAAACGCTTACATTTGGTAACGAGGAAGTAGAGCTTCACGCAGCCGTCATTGGAGCGATTAGCAATTAGCTGGTCCGGCGGAGTGAACGCTTGAAGTCAGGGTTTGTGGCTCGGAGAAGGACGATGGACACAAAATGGAAGAATTTCCTTTTTTTTTGTCAATGCTTATTTTGTCTGTTTGTCAACTATTGTGAAGTCCACACACAAACTGTAAAGGAACCAAAGCAGTAATTACTCTCCACCAAGCAGAGCTGGTGAGAGAACAGACAATGAAACCGAGGGGAAATTAGTGAGACATGCTGACAATATTTATTCATATTTGTTGTGTGTACAGCAACGAGGCCTGCAACCTTGTAGCTGAAAAATACAACTTTTAAAACTTTCCCTTGGTTTGAGTTTAGATTTTAGAGCAAGAACTTCAGTATACCGAACTACCTTCATTATTATTGTTATCATATCTTTGGTAAACAAACAAAAAATGCACTTCCTGTTCAAACTGACAAAACAAAAGTCCCCTGTACATGAATAGTGAAGTGGTATTTGTTTTCAGTTGTTATTATGGGCGGAGATCAAATCGCAAGCGATGCTGAAACGCCTGCAGACGGGGATCGGCTTTAAAAACCCGCCTTTAAACGGTGTTGACAGGAAGTAAATTGTTGCTAAGGAACAGAAAACACTAAATATTAAAAGTACTATTTCAAAAATAAAAAGCTACTGCCTGACACTTAAGATCCCCCTCTTTCACCTTCCTCTATGTACTAACATTCATTGGAAAACAAACCCCAAAATGTAGTGCCTGGGGTCTTGTTTTAACCTTTCTCCCACACATAATGGACTTTAGAATGAACACTTACAAAGTCCACTAGACTACAGGTGAATCAATTTGGTCAACCCACCTCGGTCATGTTCGCTTGGGTTCACCGTGTCGTCACTGCTCAAGTCCAATTGGAGAGTATTTTGCCTTTTGTTCCTTTGTGAACCTCACAACAGTAGTGCAGATGAAAAAACAACAACTAATTCCTCTGTTTATTCTTAAAGTGGACAATCTGGACGTCCGCTTTGTAGGGCCGATAATGTGGCTCGATCCAATCCTCTACATCAGCAGTAGTAGACTCATAAAACATCCAGTTTAGCTTCATAACAAATTCTAGTACAGACAACAAGGTCAGCAACGCCTTTAATACGTTATCCATGTTGAGTGTACTTGCTGGTAGGTGGGTAAGCTGTAAGGACACGTTGTTAAGACCCAATCAAGTAGAGAATGCAGGTGACCTCGCTTCCAAAGCTCTACGTCAGCGATTCCCAAAGTGTGGGCCGCGAAGGTACTGCAGACGTCATTTACAATAAGTAAATAAAATGTTTTTCATTTTCAATTTTGAAAAGTTTGAAATTAATATAAAAATATATCAAATGGGGCGCCCTCTTGTAGTATTAAAGCAAATACATATGAGCTCCGGAGAAAATGGTATGCAAAACATACATTGTCGATTAATACATTTTTAATCGGTTGAATTCTTAAGGTCATTTAATCATCTCTAGTTTGTGTTTTGATCAGAGTTGTGATTAAAGGTTTGGGTGGGCCGCAAAAGATTTTCAGATTTCAAATTGGGCCGCGGCATTCTTGAGTTTGGGAACCGCTGCTCTACGTCTCCGTCTGTCCCGACCACGAGGTGACCCCATAGATTTCAAACCAACGTAGCATCAGCAGCAATGTTCTTAACCCCTTTGCCTGTGGACGTAGAAAAAGGTTTGAAGATGGACAGGCAGTGGTGTGGCTGCAGCCTCAGAGTCTACGGACCTGCTAGCAGCTATATTAGCACACTATCATGCTAACGTAGAGACGTTCAGCTGGTATATGGTTGACAATGTATGGTGAGGTACCGCGGCCAACATTTTCCTTTCAGCACAGTGCAAACTGATATATTTTTGACCTGAAGACGGCGCTCAAAAAGATCACCTGTGACTCTTTTTAAGATGCATCCTCTTGGAACCATGACTGTAGGTCGCAGGTCAATTTAGTAGACTTTCCTTTGGTGGCCGTACAGGAGTTGAATACCAGGTAATTCAAATCCATCCTCTTGACAACATGAATGTCTATATTAAATGTCACGGCAATCCATCCAACAGTTGCCAGAACACGTCACTAAAAACAGGAAATGTCAACTTCATGGAACAGTCAGAGGTCACCAAAAGTAATTAGGATTCATCCTCAAGGGACCAAGATGCAATCCCTGTTAAGATATTTCAACCCGAGACCAAAGTGCTTGACCAACTTTACCGTCCCTGAGCAGCCCTGCTAATTTAAGCTTCCATTTGTCATTCTCTGTGTTTCTCGGTGCCGTGTCTGACCGCGGAGCCGTGACACACCGCCGGGGACCTCTAAGAGCGGTGACTCAGCTCAGCTCGAGTGCTTCCAATTGCTGACTCAACCCCTGAAATCCTGCACCTCCATCACAAAACGCTGTCCTCTGCTTTTCACTCTCCTTCCTCTCCCATCCCCTTTCACACCGTCCTCCTCCTCCTCCTCCTCCAGCCCCCCCCCACCAAACTGCTCCTTCCTGTCTGCGCCGCTTGGCTGAACTCTGATGAAGACACACTGCGGGGGGGGGGGGGGGGCAGAGACGAGGGCATCTCTCTCTCCCTCTCCCTCCCTCACTACTTCTCACCTTTAACGCTAGAACCTCTGCTCCCCGGCACCCTCTGCCAGCAAGCTGTTGGCGGCGCGCGTGTGTTTTTTTTTTTCCCCTCTCTACCTTGACGGGTGCTGCCGTGGCCTCTAATCTCTCGTCTGGTTTGATGTAATTAGAGCTAATGAAGATTCCCTGATCCTCGGAGCGACTCGTCCCCCTGGGCCACGGCAGCGAGGAAAACTAGAAAGAGCCGGGGAGCAGAGGAGCGCTGATAAAAGAGACACGGGCTCGTTTAGCGCAGCTGATAGCTATGTGTTGTTCCGCATGTGTGCGAGAGCGCCAGTGTGTGTGTGCTTATTTGTTTAGAAAGATTGATTCCCTGCTGATGCTGCGAGCAGCAACGCGATTACCTTGGCTCACGGCAAAGGGTTGTTGTGCGTGCCTGTGCGTGTGGTGTGTGTGTGTGTGTGTGGCTAAGCGTCTGTGCCGGGGGATTGGCAGAGCCCTGGCAGACTTAGGGCCAGTTGCAGAAAGCAGTAGACAGGCATAATCCTTCATAGCCCTCCTAAACACTTAAATACACAGTGTAGCAACTCCCCTAAATCTGACAAGGCAGAGGCCGACACATCCACATGTGTGTGCGCACACACAGGAACACGCGCGCACACACACACACACGCACGCACGCACGTCCTGGCCTTACACCAAGAAGGAAAAAACCCCAAAGGCTCCCCTGACATGCAACCCTTCACATTTCCCCGCCGAGGCAGCGCCCCCCCACTCGCCCCCCATCACCACCAGTGGAATGGCTGCTTTGATGCTGGCGCTGAAAGGGTCTACTTACATCCCAAATCTCCAGGCTACGTGATCGTCTGTGATCCAGCTGGGGAGAGAGAGAGAGAGAGAGAGGGAGCGATGAGGGGGTTACAAAGGAAAGGGAGCGCGTGAGCGGAAGAGAGACTTGTGTGACTGCGGGGCGGGTGGGGGGGTGGGGGAGGGGAGGGGAGGGGGGGGGCTGTGCAGCTGTAGCTATTAATAAGCCGAGAGTGGAAAGAGAGAGCCGAGCTCGGAGATTAAGGGCTCTGTCCCAATTCTCATTCCGCCGCCTCCTCTCCTCTCCTCGGACCCTCCTCCCCCCGCCTCCCTTCACCTCACGCCTTTAACTACCCCCCAAACAAACGATGCCTTCCCTATTCACCGCCGACAACCTGGAGAGACTGAGTCGGAGTTTAACTCTTCAAAGATGTGCTGATAATTGGCTGATAATTTGGATCACACAGGCTCCCTCCAGCACGAGATGCTTTCTGCAGCTGGAGCGAGGCCAGCGCTGTGGCCCCTCGCGGAACGGAAAAGACATTTAACACAAAACCTGCTGTGGCTTGCTGGAAAAAAAAGAAGAAAAAAAAACGTTGCCCTACTCACCACCAGGCTCCAGCGGGGCCGTAGTAGCCCTTTAGCAGGGGCAGGGAGGCCATGACCAGAGGAAGCCCCCACGCCATCAGATGGTACAACCTGATAAGAGGCAGACGTTTATTTCATTATGCACCCCGGGACCCAGAGAGCTTTGAGAAGAAGAAAAAAACAACACACACGACTGAATCAATTATTTTTTCCTTCTGCGGTTTGTCCCTTTTGTCGGCGCTCGCATCGGTGCGGCGCAACGGGGTCATGAACCAGAATCATCCGCACTGCTGTGCAAAGACGTGATTCACAGGATAGATGTCTGCATCAAAACCACTAACGCAGGGGTCTTCAACGTTTTTCAGGCCGAGGTCCCCCAAACTGATGGCGAGATGGAGCAGGGACCCCCCTATTCTACGGAGTTTGGTCCGCCATCTTTTATTTTTGAGCTCGGCGCTCTTTAGACGTGAGCATGAATAAGACAATTAATACAATTCTGATTCTGAAGACATTTAAATTTGTGGACCAAACAACGGACCCCCTGTTGAAGACCTCTGCACTAACGGGATGCAGATTCCCACCAGGCGGGTGCGATCGTAGAGGAAGCAGACTTAACTCGACGTCACCGCCCACATTTCTAAAGGGCTTGGTAGCGCTGGAGACGCTCCTATCAATGAAAGAATGACAGGATCATTGACGGCCATCTAAGAAATCTCAATCCCTGAACCTGGCTCTGTGTGTGTGTGTGTGTGTGTGCGTTAGACAGATGAGGTGTGCGCTCCAGTGTGTTGGGGGTCTCCGTGGGCATCGATACTTTATAGAGCGCGCAGCGTCGCCCGGTCAATAGAGTGGAAGTCCTACCCTGACTTGTTCCAAGTGTGGTCAATCGAGCGGTTGGTGACGCGGTTGACACACACTCAATCCCTCTCGGGCTTGCGCACACACACACACACCTTCTCACCCTGATTTCACGCAGCATCTCCCCTCTCTGCCCTCATGTGACAGAAAGCAGAGTTTGTGGGAGGTGGTGGAGAACGTGAGACAGTTGATGGTTAAAATAGAGCTGAATATGGGCGGTAAAGAGGCATCGGAGACGTATGGATTCCGAGAGAGAGAATCGAACACAAGAGGCAGTGTGAGTTAGAGGGAGAACAGGGAAGAACGGGGAAGAAAAAGGGAAATGGTTGGGAAAAAAAAAAGAGAGCAACTGAGCGAGTAAAGGAGCGAGAAAAGAGAGAGAGCGCAAGGGAGGACGAGAGAGAAAGAAACACACAGACAAAGGGAGAGAGAGAGAGTGTGTGCGGTGGTGGGGGGGGGGAGATAAAAATGCTGAAATCAGTGCTGCCAGTCTGTGGCGTGACGATTGGTGCAGGGAGGGGGAGCAGGGGGGGGGGGCTTGTCAGGAAATCAATGTCGAGAGCTCGCAGACCCCGCAGATACGCACGCACGCGCGTGCTCTTTGCGGCGCGCACACACTCGCAGCGTTTTGAGAGGGGCGATGACGAGGTCCGGGGCTGCGCGCAACATGGGCTTAATGAGGCACAGCAGGGCCGCCGTGCGCTCTGTATTCCACACACCTGCATGCACACGCACACGCACACGCAAGCTCATATAGAAATCTCTCTCCGGGCTCAATCTCATTGCTCGACGCCTCACAACGCTTCCTTGCCCCCACACCCCGACCCCCCCCCCCCCATCCACTTTGCCGGAATCCGCCCTTCAAATGCACATTAACACACGCGCGCACGCACCCGCGTACACACAAACACACTTCCCGTCCCCTCTTGCATCCACTTCAATCACTCTTAGATCATCCAGCCTCCGTTCCCCATCTCCTCTGGCGATTTGTTCATTCATAAACCATCACGCTGTGCCGTCACTCGGTGTGTGTGTGTGTGTGTGTGTGTGTGTGTGTGTGTGTGTGTGTGTGCGTGCGTGCGTGTGTGTGTGGGGGGGGGGGGGCTTAGGGGGTTGGGGGCTGCCTAATTGTGCATGCATGCAGCACCCCGTACACGCCTGCCAAAACGCACGCAGCTTATATGGGCAGTTAATACGGAATAAGAACCCCCCCCTTCCTCTATAACCTATTAAGCGCAGGGGTTGCGTTTTTTCTGAGCCTGCGTGATCAGCCCCGACGCAGCAACACAGACACGTCCTGCGCCCGCCTGGTCCCTCTGGACCCATGAGATGGTGTGCAGCTGACAAGGCTCTGGAGCAAACTGATTTTGCCCCCCCCCCTCCCTCCTACCTCCACCCGATCCCTTTCCCTGCGCCCCATAAAGCCGTCTCCTTCTGAGTTATAACACCATTATATCGTCTGGCTTATTGCTAATCAATGCAGGGAGACTCCCAGGGTGGAGTGTGTGTGTGTGTGTGTGTGTGTGTGTGTTGGTGGGGGGGGGCCGGGTTGCACCTCTATTTTCTCCGCCTTAACCCCCTCACACAAGGAAGGGTGGCAGGCTTCTGCACCTATAGGCGCATCGGCGTAAAAAACAACTTGCGAGTTGCCGCTCACTCGTTAAAGGTTTTTTTTTTAGCGTGTACATTATTTATTTTTTCCAGAATTTGTGTTTGTGTCACAGCGCTCCACGCGAGGCAGGGAAAATGAGAAAATATCTCCTACACACACACACACACACACACACACACACACATACACATACATACACTGCTGCGCAGAGCGCTCATGGGAGTTTGAGCGACAGAAACGTAGAGCCGCAGAGCGTGAAGATTAGTGCGCACGAACACGCGCACACTTAACGGCTGACACTCACTCCCTTTTCAATTAGAGCGTCGGCTGGAACAGAAAGGGGGAGGGAGGGGGGAGGAGGAGAAGGAGGAGGAGGAGGAGGAGGGGGGGGGGCTGTCAATGCTCCGCGGGGAGACACATGCTCTGGTGGACCAAACATATGCGCACACGCACACGCGTGCGGAGGGGAACGATCGCACGATCGAGACAAACGCACAGCTAGTGAGGATGCAGGGACGCGTTTGTGCACACGAGGGAGGGACACGTGACGTTATTTGTCAATTAACTGATTAGGCGGATAGTCAGACAACCAATCGGCAACTATATTAATAATATATACAACATTTAAAGCCTATCGCATCGCTTTCAGATTAAAAACGTTAGTTAAATCACTCTTCAACAGCAACAACAAAAAAACAATAATCAACAAATCAAACAATTGATGAGGGGATTTTTTATAATAAAAATAGCAGCTCACTCACATCTCGTATCGGTTGGTGCTGATTTCTCTCACCAGGTTGAGGTAGAGGTTCAGAGTGATGAGACAAACCCAGGCCAAGGCACTCCAGTCTGCAGAGACATGCACACAGAAAACAACAAGGTCAAGATACAACACAGCCCCCCCGATCCCCCCCCCACACACACACACATGCTATGTTGTGCACCAAGACACACTTGTGTGCATATGAGCGTGTGCGCGCACGTGTGCTTCCCTCTTGATAAATGAAGGCCCATTTCGCAATAATACGAGGGAAACCTGTGGCTCGGGGTGATGGATGAGAGGGGGGAGCTCGGAGAGAGATAATGATGAACTGTGGAAAAGCGGAGGGAGATAAGCAGAGGTGGGGGCGAGGGGGAGAAGTGAGGGAGGGGGGGGGGGGGGGGGAATCAGAGCAGGGGGAGTGCAGGGACTGAGGAGAATAGAAGAAATGAAGAAAAGGAAGAGGATGGGGCGAAGCCAGCGGAGGGGAAAAAATGAATATATTTCATCGAGACAACGGAGAGAACGCTTCCTTCCCTTTTTTTTCTGCCTTCGTATTTCAGGTCAGCTTATAAAGCCCCCCACCCCCGTCCCTCCCCCCACACACACACACACACGTACAGGAAACGCACACACTGAAGCGCCGGGGACAGCGTGCTGTGGCTGCGAGAGGAGGAGGCCGGCGGTCTAATCAATAAATCACTGTCACGACGGCGTATTACGTAAGCGACAGCATGCCGAAGCCCCGCTTCCTCTTAACTCCTGTCTCGGCGTCGGCCCCCCGCTCCCACCTCGCTCCGCTTCAAACACACTTCAGAACATTTTCCGTTTTATGGGTCGGAGCTAAAAGCGGAGCCGCGTGCTCCCGCTGGACTTGGCGCCGCGCTCAGCCGCTGTTTATGTGCGGCCGTTTGTCCTGAGCCAGAGGGATCCTCGGCTGCAGCCCCCGCAGCACTAACTCACTGCCCATTACCCTGCATTGAGTGTGTGTGTGTGTGTGTGTGTGTGTCAGCCCCCGAGGCCGACACAACAAGCCTGCTGGAGTGTTTGTATTAGCAGCCAATCCACGTGCTAATCAAGGCTAATAGAGCTGCATTTGCAACAAATGCCAGAAAGTGAATGTGTCATTTTTCCAAATGACATGGAAATCTCCCCACCGACCCTAAATGGAGGACCTGCAGATGGGCCCAGTTAACCCTGAGATGCTGGACTGCACTGTCGTCACAGCAGATGGCGATGGGCCAATAAGTGCAGAGCGTGGCGCTCCACTCCCACGGGATCGGCATTCTTGGTACGGGTGTGTGGATCTGTGATCTGCACGTTTACACAAGGCATTGACACCCTTGACAACAGTAGTGTATACAAATAAAAAGCAAATATCCTCCCGTTTTTAATTATGTGGTCAGGATGCTGAGTTGATCAATTAAGGACAAGAGGAAATACAGGTAAAAAAAATCAAAAGGATGGCCGCACCAAAATGTAAAGTCAACATAAAAATGAGCCGCAGCAATCGGTGACATTTTGTTATCTTTACTCCACCTCTACTGATACAAGGGACCCGGTGAGGAGTCATGAGTCACAGGAGGGTTTGTCTTACCAAAGTAAGTTAACCAGCAGGCCTGGAAGTCACACAGAGCTCCCACTGGATGTGAGTCACCCTGGGGAAGGAAGGAAGGAAGGAAGGACAGCAGGGAAACGTTTTCATTGACGACCAACAAAAAAAACCCAGCCTCTGCCATGTGGGTGTTCAGTGAAACAAACTCGAGTAACTCACCATGACGTATGCTACACTGTTGAAGAAGGCAGCTACAGTCAGGCTGAGAATCATCTTCTGTTGTGGTGAAAATGAGAGTAAGATGTGAAAAAACCTGCCGGCACATTCATATTCATGTAGAGAGAAAGGGCAAATTGTGGGTCAAATGATCACAGATGTGGCTTGGCTCGGCAGGCCCCCCCCCGGTGACAACGTGAGGTTTCACAAAGGGGGGGGGGGGGGGGGGGGCTCCTTTAGTCCTTCTATATAAACAGGAAATTCATTCTATGCTTGATATAAAATAAAGCAATAATCTGTGCAGGGTCTCTACAACGCACGCCACCTGTCAGTCTTACGCCTTTGCCTGCACAAGTGGTCACACACACACACACACACACACACTATTTGGCCAGCAATGACCCTGCCAAGGCTACAGAGAAGGAGGGGAGGGAGTGGGAGGGGGGGAGAAAAAGCCCTGAAGAGAGCATTAAAGACCACTGACTGACGGATAACCTTTGTGAGGGGACAGAGGTAAGGAGAGGGTTTATGTTGTGCGAGAGGAGCCGAGGAGGAAGGAGGGAGGAGGGGTGGCTCTGGGAGGGGGGGGGGGGGGTGAAGCCGCTCTGTGTAACCTGGTCAAGAGGTAATAGGATCCATCAGAGCCTCACGTACAACTGTCATTTGCTTCAGATTAGGAGGATAAGGTGGAGCGCTGCTGAACCTGACGGACCGGCTGCACACTCACACAATCCTCCAGGAAATGACTTCTCTACTCGGAGGAGTTAGGATGCAATAACACACGGCTTTGTGGGGGACGGAAAAAAGCATCCGACTAATATTAATCGATGCATCGTCAGACCTTGAGTACAACAAAATCCTCTTCATTTGGAGCGGGGGGGAAAAGACAGCCGTCATTATCACACAACCATTGACAGTCAATTAACTCCACTACCGATTCGTCTGTGCAATTTTAATTGGGTTCAATTATGCAGAGATTTGCCGTGGCTAATTGAACATATTTCCGGTGGCAGTGAAGCAAACAGATATGGAGGGGGGAGGGAGGGGGGGTACATAGTGTACAAATTGTGTTGCAGTTTTACCTGAGCCAGAGAGTGATACCTGCGAAGCAGCCAAATCACAAAGAGCATGAAAACGCTGTGGAGAGAGAGAGAGAACAAAGGCAACCATCAGATGTTTATCAATGACTGCCAGTTGCTCAGGTGCTCTGTCAATGGAAAACTGTCCTAATGCACGTGAATACATAACGGCTCCAGCACGGACACCCGCAAGCTCGACTGTTTCGACCGAAACTTTGGAAACCTGCAGAAACCCTGACAGAGGCTGCCGGGCAGCATTTGAACACGGGGGTTCTTGCAAATGTCACTTGTAAAAACCACTATCAACTAGCGCATCAAAAAGGGAAAAGCTCCAATGCCTTCTTTGAAATGATAAATATGCGATTTGGGGCCCGACATTCATCGGCCCTGTTTGGTTGTAAGAAGTGTTGTTTGATTAAACCGATAAGTCGTTCTGGTCTGCAGCCACGGGGCTCAGAGGAACTTTGAGATGAGTCATTTAGTTTCATTACGAGGCAATGTGTTACAAATCTCGCACGTCCACACATTTTCATGAGAAGTATACCGACTGAAATGAGTTTTCCTTCATTGGACACAACATTCATAACCAAAGACAGACAATAAGACTCAATAAACTGCTTTACAGAGGCGGTATTTACGACGGCCTTACTGTAAAATGTAAAACGGGTTTGCGCAGGTTTAAGACGCCCTGTGGAGTTCTTGTAACAAACTAAAGATCACTTAAAAGTCAGTCCTCGAAGGTCTAACAAACGTGTCAAGTTCACTTCCTTCCCCAATGTACCATTTGAAAAAAAGGATTTTTATGTATTTTCAATCCCCCATAAAAAAAAAGAAAAACAAACAGTCACAGTCATTAAAAAACAACTAGAGATTTTAAATATCTACAGGGAACCTTATGGACACATTTGTCAGTGGCTCCCCAGAGCTATGAACAGTTAAAACAATCTATACTGTCAAAAATAAGTATTGAAGATACATAACAGGAGGAAATATTTACCATCCTACTAAGGAGAAGGTTCCTGTGGCTCGTTTTACCCTTAAAATCACCACCTGTAACAGAGAAACGAGTCCTTACGACTGGGCAGAACACAGCTCACATCCACAAATACTAACAAAATCAACTATACACTAAGTGGACATATGCACTACTTGCTCAGTGCAATATTTTTGTTGGAGCAAAACATTGTGCAAACTTTGTCAGAAGTGCAACACAAACACAGCGCTGCCATTATTCTAATCATAGACTTAGAAAATGACTGTGATCACCACCCTGCAATTTGCTCCCATATGCTTTTTTGTGTGTGCAAGCATGTGTGTACCTGAAAGACGTCTAATAAAATGTTGTTTATATGTGCAAAAAAGACACCGTACCAAAGCGGTAGCTGATGGGAGAGCTGCTCGGAGAGAAAAAACAACAAAGAAATGAGAGGAAGCGTGCGAGTTCAACCCAACAGCCTCGGGGAAAACAAAGGAGCCCGGCAGAAGTCTGGCATGCAAAGCAGAGCGAGACCCGTTGGGCACGACCACTCCTGCACAGGGTTGTACACCTGTTCCCTGGGAGCGGTCGCCACACACACACGTGGCCCTGTGCAGAGAACATGGACACAGCTACGTGACGGATGTTATTTACCGTATGGACTCAGGGTGTTTTTGAAGTAACGTAAGATTTTTGGACAGATAAAGAAACATGGTCAACAGTCTTGTAACATTTTATTACTGATTTAATTACATTTCAATGATGGCTCCCATTACGCAACTGCCAGAGTGTTAAAAGACTGTATTTTCCTACATTTTGTCTTATTAATAGGGCAGACGTGATCTGGCTTTTTGGAAACCTTTATTATGCCTTTATATATGCCTTTCTGCTGTACGGATTTCCCTCTTTATGAAATGCAAGTCACACAAACATCTGTGTAATGTTTTACACAAATATACCTGAGATTTATTAGATCAAAGACAAACACCAAAACTTGAACAAGGAAACGTTTGCTTTTTGTCAAAAAACTTACTTCAACGATGGATAGATTATCAAAATATCCCAGACAACTTTAGTTTGACTAACTGTGATTACATTGAGTAAATGGTGTACTATAGCAGCACGAATGAGGAACTGAAACAACTGAAATTGTGAAAATTGTGAAAAAACGAGGATGATGCAACAAACAGAACCGATGGCAAGAACACATGAATAGTGGATAAAATGGAAGAGTTATGGTGAATAAATGATGAAAACGACCACTTTGGGTGTTACCAAACTCAAACCGGTATAACTGCTTGGTTGCTGTGGGCCGTCTTTATTTGGGTTAATAAGACCGTGGGCAGGGCACTGGGATCCAGTGCTTGTATCGTCAGCGACTGCTCGTAGTTGGAAGAGAAATGTGGGCTCAAGGGAAGACAGCATTGGTGCAGCATTCTTATTCAGGCCGAGCGAGTGCAGGATGACCTGCAGCCTAAAGCTGCTGACACAAGAACATTTTACCTTCGCACGTTAACACCAACGCACCACAGACAGAGACCATCTATGGAACTACGGTAGCCTGCTGTGTTTTGTGAAGACGGGTTAATTGTCATCCTCTGGGTGTGTACTCAATGCTACGACCTGGCGGGATTTCAAGAGACCTTTGCATCCGCAAGTTATGAAGGTCATGATGAGTTATTTTTGTTCTGATGCTCTGCCAGAGAGTTGTTTATTCAAGCCCTGGATATTTTATAGCCTATGTTTAGTGTTGTCGTCTTGGACAATTTGCAATGTTGCTATTAAATACAACAAAATTATAAATCACTACGTAATATTCATTTGACTGATGTTTTTGTCCAACGCAACTGACAATATGTGCATTAAAACTGGACGTCATCAGTGCTGTACTAGCGCTTGGAGATATATTCATATATATATATAGTGTGTATTCAGATCATTATCAAGATCATTAACTTTAGTAAATGTAGAAATAGCAGAATATTCCCAAATTACTTAAATGTTAAAATAGGTAGGGGAAGAGTGACGTCTTTACATACTGCTGGGGAGATTGATCTACTATAATGGATTTAATTCATAGTGTTGATATACAAAGCAGTGGGTACGTTTCTTTAAATAATAGTGTTACTCTACTGCCTTTTAGTGAAGTAAAACGTGCATTACCCTCGGACATGTATTGAAATAAACGAATAAAATTGCACACAGCAAAGTGTGTATACTTAAGTGAAGTACAAGCAATTCAGTGAAGGACACGAATACGTGTATTCAGTTGTATTTCACCACGGATGTTGTAGTCTTATCTTTGTTGTGCTGCTGTCCTTCTCTCCGGCTAACTGAAGAGAAAAACAGGCTCATGGTCTAATTTAAAGATAGGAAACTCTCCTTGTCTCCATGCATAGCTTCCACAGCGTGTCACGCATGTAAAACACCGCTGCTCGCTTGAGTAATAATGCTCAGCTAGCTTAGCTTCAGTAGCTTAGCAGAGCCGACAGAGGAACGTTAGCTCGCGCTAGCTAGTGAGCCGGTCGAGCTAACGGTCGCGCTGCAGCGTCGGTAGTCAGCAGCTCAGTTGTGCCTTTAAAGCGTGTCGGAGAGTCGGTCAATGAATCAGCTCTAATACAAAATGACCGAACTATTAGTGAGCTAACAACTACATGCTATGTCGCAAACTAACGTAAGTTAACGTGAGCTAAAAACAAGCGCCTATAATGAGTTTACAAGTATGCCAGCTACTTACACATTGGTAGTCTTCTGAAACTGTGTTAAAAAATACGCAGCGTGAATCGTTATTCGTTGACTTTGGGTTCTGACTGTCCATTTTGGGACAAATATGTTTGGATGTTTTAGCATCAATTTGTTTTTATTTTTCAGTAGCTTTCTCTTGTACTTCCCGTTTCTACGGGGCGGACAAAGGGACAAAAAGCACCGCAGGCCGTTCGGTCAAGTGTCGTTGAAGGGGCCAGATGTTTATCACCGCTTGGACTGAAACTCTGCTTTAGAACGATTGTTTTCGTTTTATGTCGGAATGCATATGGGTTTTACTTCACTGCAACGACAATGAAAAAAAGAATACCTAGTTGGGAAATCCCTCCCCAAAGGCTATTTATAGGGTGTTTAGAGGGAGTTTTAGGGGAATTTTCACATCTTTCCATAGTGAAAGTAAATCCCTGTACTTGTTTTTTGAGCGAATTCTATATTGAGTAATCATTTTATAATATTCATAACTTATTTTCCTGTTAAATGCTGTTCAAAAAGTGCAAAAATCCTTGCAACTCAATTTGCCGCTGACAAAAGGCCTCAGGAGTAAGTTCTGTGTCGTCCTTGGTAGCTTGCGGCACTGTTTTGAGATTGATAGTATGGTTAGAGGCGATAGCCTCAAGGTGAATGATATGGTTATCTCAGTGGATTTATTTTTAAACCAGTGACCCTAATGCAAAGAAGGCATTCCCTGAATGTGGAAAGGACATTTTCTATAAACACTGAATCAAAAAAATCATTTATACGGTGTGTGTCTTTGATCATGTTTGGGAGTGGTACTTCCATCAGACTTTATCTGAATATCTGCACAAGACGGTATTTAAATGAATTAAGTTATTTTGTCCATTTCTTTTGTGGTTATTTAAGGTATTGAAAGATTTCAGGAATCAAAAATTGGAAAACCTCTATTTGAAAATGAAACGGTATTTTGCCATATTGAAAGTCATTTACTGTAATGTTGAGTGTCCACAATGTCATGTATTGAGATCTATTTAAGAAACGTTCCGTTTCCTCTACATTTTTTGTTTCCGGTCAAACACAACTGCAAGTGAACACTATCAATCACACGTAGTTGCATGTGGTCTCGTTATTTGGTGTCTAAGTGTGTGTGTGTGTGTGACAAAATGTTTTATCTATTGCACCATTCATATGTTTACTGTTATGCACTGTATTCAGGGAAATAATATTAATTGAACACTGAGAAATGAAAGAAAACAGGGCTTTTGCTATTCAAGATTGTCACGGTGTGGTTTTATTTCCTGTCTTATTTTGTAGTTTTCTGTTTCTTGTCTCCCTGGGTAACTTCACTTCCTGCCTTGTCCTGTCATCCCCTGTGATTGTCTGATTGTTTCCACCTGTGTCCAATCACCTGTACCTTCCTAGTGTATTTAAGCTGTGTGTGTCTCCTGTCACTTGTCGCGTCATTGTTTGTCGTCCTGGATGGTCCTTGTCCCTGTCTACCGTCTGGATGGTCCTCGGTCCTGCCTGCCTTTTTTCCCCCGGTACTTGTGTGTGTTTTTGCCCGTTGGCCTGTTCCTTTGTTGGAGTTTTTGACTATTAAAGTCCTTTTTGTTTCCTGCAAACTCTGCGTTTGAGTCCTGCATTCCCACGCATCCCTGACAAAGATGGCCTCGTCAAGCTGCTCCTCCTTATGTTCCTGGCTTTGGGAGTTCAGACGGTTCAAGGTGTGGCCACCTGAAGCTTGACAGGCAACATTCCCCAACCTGCAGGTATCGGCCTTCAAAAGAACATGTCTTTTTAAAGCGCAGATTATACCTTTCGACAGATTTAGATTTTGAATTGGCATTTGGTTCTCATTTAACGGGGTTGGACCATACCGCTGAGGCACCACTGCACCTTTAACTGCCCATCAAAATCCATTCACTAAATAACTGTCCCTGTTAGTGAATTTAGTTTTTCTATTGATGGAGAGAACTGAAAAATATGTTCCTTTTTAATATTGCTTTTGTTTGATATGTCAGTCATTAACGTTGCACAATGGCGGATATTTGGGCCTCCTCATAGGTTTTGGTTGTGTGAATACCACATCCCATATTCCCTTTTTTATTCTGTAATATATAGAGATCAATATGTAGCGTGTGAAAAAAACATGGGAGAAATGATGAAAGTTCATACAAAAGTTTATTACTTCGAAACAGATATCATCAGTACAAAAGGGGTGTAAAAGGTGCTTACAAAAGCTTATTTCAAGAGATTGAAGCATCCAGACAATTGCACATTAATAGCAAAAAACAACAATGACAACAAAAGCATCTTGTTGGAAACCTCTCATTCTGCTCCATGTAGAAGCATCCTTCTGGTTCAGTGGCCATGTGGGGCATCAGGAGATCACAGGCAGCGAGCATCTGCCTCCCCCCCTCCATGCAAGCAGAGTATGACCCAGACTCGTCTGATCCGAAGGGCACCGATCACACACGCACGGGCCACGTACGTCTGAACACACTGACATCATCGGCCACACAATCAAGGAAGCGGAGTCTTTCGTCAGTATCCCCCTGTCAGAGGGGCGGTTCAGGCCGCGGGCCGCGCGGGGTTCATGCGGTGCTCTTTTAGGTTCTCAAATTAAACTGCGCGAGGTAATAAATAATTCATTAAATAACAGGTTTTAAATATGTTTCATCTGTGTTTCACGGGGAATGCGCGATGTGCACGAAACTTTGGAGTGCAAAACAGAGTTGGGTGTCAAGTGCACAAAACGCATTCCGTCGACACATCAGCAGTCAATAATACCGCATAGCCTAAAGAGAGAGATGCGCTCCTCTACCATTCAAATGTTTGTCCACAAATTTCATCAGTAGTAGGAATAACAGCAGCAGTAAACAAATACTAAATAAAAAAAAGGCCCATTAAGAGAAGTCCTATGGAAAAACCACCGAGGACCTGGATCAGTTCCTGCGCGCTACTGGCCCCATCCTCCGATCCCCACCTCCTGCTTGTAGCGCTTGGTGAGGAAGTTGGCCTGCACGGTGAGCTTGGACAGGACCCCTTGCAGCCCGGTCAGGTGGTACTGGACCTGCTTCTGCAGATCCTCGTCGTACTCCTCCTCGTCTTCTTCCTCCTCTGACGACAGCGACGCGGTGGAGCCGGTCGACGTGCAGGAGTTCTTGCGGCTGATCTTCATGCTCTCCCGGCTCATCTCGTCATCCGCCGCGCACCGCACACCCAACTCGATGTCCGTGCGGATGGACTTGAGCAGCTGGTAGTAGCTGTACATGTCCCCCTCTTCTTCGTCCGACTTGGCGGAGCTCGTCTCCCGGTCCTCCTCCAGCGGGACGTCCCGCAGCATGCTGGGCAACATGACGGTCTGGTCCATGTTGTTGACCGCGCCGATGAAGCGGTTCATGGCGTTGAAGAGGGAGTTCTTCTGGGTGTTGGACTCTTCCAGCTGCATCATCATCATGTTGACGAGAGTTTAGTGGTTGTTTCTCTCTGGAAATGAAAGCGATCCGAGTGGCTTGTCGTGAGTGCCCCGCTTTAATCCCGGCTTGATCGGCTTACAGAGGAGCGTCTGTCGGTGATGCTGCAGCGGGGATCGGCTGTTGAGCCCCTGGTGAGTGCTGGAGTGCTCTTCGTAGTTTCTGCTTTGCTGGAGGAAATGGTGCGTTTTAAGGGCTCGCTGCTTGAAGGCGGTCCCAGAAAACCCGTCTGTCCGGTTCTGCCACTGCCGCTGAAACCAGACCCGAAGACCTTAAATTAGCGCGGCCCAGCGGCGCATGGGTTCTAGCACCTTGCCCACAGGAGTGGCTCCATAGTGATAGCAAGGTAGAGGATCCAGTCCGAAGTAGATCTAGAAATGCCTCATTGCGCGTAATGATGTAAAAGGGAACACGCATCAATGCCCCGTCAGTGTGTGCGGTTAAAACACCACGACGGTTACGTCATCACATCCCACATTCCGATGACATGCCACGGGCGAGGCCCCGAGGAGCCGGGCCCCTACATGAATATTCATTATCGCGGCCATCGGCCCACTGCTCCGGAACACGGCGCAGCCAATCAGATGACGGTTTCATCCGAGGCGGGACAAGTCGCTGTCGGCCCATCGAGGAAGCCTGAGACTCAAGGAAACGTCCAGAAAGAAACAGGGTGTTGAAACCCTGAATTAATTCGTTGACTAATGATCACTGTGTCACCAGTATTTTTTTAATTGAAAGTACAAAGAGGATAAAACAAGTGAAGCCTGTAAAAGTATTTCCGGAATCCGAAAATATACTTAAAGTTTGAAAGGCACAAGCAGTCCCTCTCCACCCCAAATAGACCCTGATGGGTTAGTGATTTAACTGGTGTTATTGAGATGATTCGTGGGGTAAGAAGGAGACAAAAGCGACATTTGTACCCGAAAATGGTAGTAAAAGTAATTGTGACGTGAGACCAATGCTAGATTTCGACATGTGTCCATATATGGAATAAGTCTTTTCCTGGTTTCATGTGACGTCCTCACCTGAATTTACCAGACTGTTCTGGAATTCGCCTTTAGGCACTCACACATTACACCCACATTTTTCACGACTATTTGTCAAAACTCTCATTGTGCGTATACATGAAGTGAAACCGGCAGTGGTCAACCGATATTTATCCCATGCTGGAGGTGTGTTTGTAGATCTTACTTCCCAGAGACCCAAACAGTTTCGCCTCTCCCGGGAACGTTGCCACAATCAGCTGGTTCATGAAACTGCAGATTCGAAGGCTTCTGTCAGTGGACTCAATCTGCATCCATAACGTTAGAAAAGAAGATGCTATAATGCTTTACAGCTTAATATAGCCGACTTTGGTCTTTTCCAACCTCTGGCCACCCCTAAACCCCAGCGTGGCTTATTCACTTTATCTTTTTGAGTAATTGTTCTCTGAGCTCCTCTGATCAGTCAATACAAAAACTACATGGAAAAATAATCCAGGATGTCCAAAGTGAAATAACCACAGCCTCATCAACGTCACACCCACTAAAATGATATCCTTGTTGCCGTGGTCTAATGAGGACACAATTACAGTGATGCAATGTGGAATGTAAATGCAATTAAAAAAAACCATTCATACTTTATTGAGTTCCACAGCTACAGTCCTTGCAGAGATATTACAGGCCTGCTTATCTCCCCTCGGGGTAACTCCAGTCTAACCCAATTACACCGCTCACAAGCTTTTCAGATTACACCTCAAAACAAACTGTTGCACCAGCCAGTTTGCAGGTGTACGGACAGCTGATCCCCCCCCACACACACTCTCATGAATACTTGTAGAGGGGGAGAGTCCCACACAGCCCATGCAACAGAAATAGCCTCATAACAGTCTGCACTTGTGGGAGTGCTCGGTCTGAAACAGGAGCTTTGGTAAACACCTCTGAAACTACAGAGCAACATGTTTTTTTTACCGTGTAGCCCCAAAAAATCAACCCACCTGGTGCTGATAGAAAACATGTCTGACTGATTCTGTGAATGGATGTTCCGAATAGTTTCACAGAACTTTCAGGGACTGGCACACAGGAATGATGGAGAGGAGGGAGGGGAGGGCGATCCGGTTGAAACTGCATGCCCAGTCCTCGATGTATATGAGCACAGGTTGTTCTAGATGCCTTACAAGCAAGTCACAGTTGACAAGCTAGAATGGGAAGAATGCTGAGGGAAAACCTGCTGGTTGAGTTTCTGTCTCTGTCCCATCCTACTTCCGTCCCCTCTTCTTTATCCTACGTCGATACGACGACTCCCTGTTTTGAAGCCGGTGGTGAAACAAGTATTCATGGAATCTAAAAGTATAATAGTCACTCAAATCCCCGCCTATTGTGTAAGTATAAGATATGTTGTACTAAAACTTACTACAGTTACTTATATCATGCTGATTAAAGTAATCGTAGTATTCTTTCAAATGAATGTAGTCAAAAAGGACTTTTCTCTCTGAAATGAAGTATTGAGTACTGATTCAAATAGAATTACATGAATGGAGTAGAAGTACCTCAGAAATGCTCACATTTGGTATTTAATATGCAAGGAGTATACACAAATCATTTAAGTTACAGTAAATATGTTAAAGGTCTCCGTTCCATTTAAGTATAAGCAGCAAAATGCACTCAAAGAATCAAAACACACAAACAAACAGCAGCATCAAAACAATTAATTGGAAATACGGCCGACTTCTCGTCGTCAGGGAAACACTGAGACATCTGAGACGATGTTTGAGCACCACTGATGTAAACACAGTGTCCTCCCCCTCCGGTTCTGATGGAGGCTTGAGCTCAGCTCATTAAGGTAAATCCTCAATAACTCTTTATAGAGCTAAATGTGCACAGGTTTTGTGTCTGAGGCTCTGCAACGTCAACCGCTGTCAAAGAAAAGTTGTAGAAAAGTCTGATATGTCCAAGTAAACCAGGTGAAAAGTACAGAGAAGTATACAGTGGCTGAGTAGACTCCTTGTTTTCTAACTTCCCTCCCCACATCTTCTGAATCCCAAATCTGTCTTAGCGGCAAAACTGCAAACCCCCCCGCAGATAAACTGACCCCAGATCCAGTCAGAGAGAGAGAAAGAAGCAGGTCAGCTGATCGGACAGGAACAGGAGCAGCTCTCTGCTTTCTCAACGGGGCTGTCAATCAAAGGCCCCACCTCACAGACCTCTATTCTCCAACGTGAAAGCCCTCTCCACTTGGGGGGGGGTTCGGTAGGTGGGGGTAACCCTTTGTTTGCTCACCCCGGACCACTGGAAGGTTTTTTTTTTTTTTCCTCTCTTGATTGTGTGTCGCTGAGCATCCAGCGATTACGGAGGGTGTCATCATCATCATCCCAGAAGGCTTCAAAGGGAGGCGGGAGGAAGTGGAGGTGGGGTGGAGGGGGTTGCTGCGCTGTGGGAACAGGCAGCCTGAGTGGGAACTTGAGTACTTGTCATCACGTCTGCGTGTTCCCTGAAACGTGTGAGGCATGGGTGTCTGAGTTCAGCGGGGAAGCTGCAGGCGAAAGCAGCCGCAGCAATTAGGACGACAACAAGCACAGCAGCTGTGATCAGAGGCAGACGGGCGGTGGGGGGGCGGCTCCGGTGCTCGGTCGTAATGCTATAGGGAGGTTATCGCTGGATGGGGAGGGACAGGCTTCGCTTGAAACAGGGGGGGGAGCTTACGTGCTCAATCTGCACGTTTTTCAATGAAATGCATTGTGAAATCATATTAGTAAAGAAAATGTTCATTCGGATCCAAGATTCATTTCCATTTGAATACACATTTGTGTCATCTTGTGAGCCACTTATTGTTATGAATTGAAGCTTGTAATCTTCACCAAAGCGGTCTATTCTTCTGATGAGCGGCAACAAATCAGCATCATGGCCGCACGTGACACTGGAATGGTGCGGCCCTCTTCTATAATTAATCATTTTATTCTGGGAGTTTGGGACATTTCAAACATCTGCTGAGGAGTTTAGATAAGTAAGCTATTTTGAAATGACTAATTACTTGTTTTTCAACTAAAGGATTTTCTCTTTTACCTGATCTGACAGAAGAAGTCAGGGGCTCTTGAGCTTTGAGGTTTGCTGCATACCAAAAACTCTCCAACCAGCTCATCACACCTTGTGGAGGCAGCAGCTCAGGCGCTGGAATCTCTGTAAGCGCTCAAGCTGCATTGTGGGAAATGTAGACAGCGACGTTTTGTTCAAGTGAAATTAAAAAATAGTTTGATACTTTTTTGTTTTTTAATTGATGCTTAAACCTGCCACTTTATGTTCCAAGTGCATGTCATGAGCGTAACAAACATATTTAGGCTAGCATTCCTTTAAAATAATATTTTAGTTTTTTTATATTTGTATTTCTAGATTTTTGAGCACTCGCATTTTGCGGTTGGTCACTTGTTCATATTGTGTTAAGAAATATAACATGTCTTTTTGTAAAATACCTCAAACATCACAAATCCACATAACTTAATATAATTTGTCCTCTCGGCATCAACAACGTTTTAACGTTATTTGTGTTAAAAGCCACACGCTAAGTCGGACATGACGCCGAAATACTGCTCACGTAACTGTTCTTATAATTAAAAACGTAGTGATGGCAACCAGCCCTCCCTCACGCGCACGCCGAACGTGAACGTGCCCGCGCGCTCCTGAGTCCGGGGCTCACACCGTGCGCGCGTGAGTAATAGCGCTTCTCCGGTGGATGCCTCCCTCCAGTTTACAGCTCATTAATAAGGGCATTCAGGAGTGTGTGCTTGTGTGTGTGGAGGGGGGGGGGGGGGAGGAGGGGGAGGAAAGGGGGAACCAGCGGCACGCACGCTCCATTAGCGGACCCTCTGCCGCGCCGCTCTGCCGGTAATTTGCGTAACAAGATCGGAACGGGCAAGGCGATCTCCCCGAGACGCGGCCCGCCTTTGCCCGTGTGGCCACCGCTTCCCCGCGGACTCGCTGTCTGGTGCAGCGGCGCAGGAGTACCAGCGTGTGTGTGTGCGCGTGCGTCCGTGCGTGATGCGTGTGCGTCTGTGCGTGATGTGTGTGTGCGCGGGGCTCGGTGATCCATTTCCACACACACGCGGCGTTGTCTCCCCCGCTCTCTTCCGTCTCGCTCCCTCGCCCCCTCTCCCCCTTTTTAATCCTCCCCCCCCCCCCGGAGGTCCGTTTTCCTCTGATACCAAAGCGCCGCCAGGTGGACGAGCACGGCAGCCGGCTCAGTGACGTCACCGAGCGAGCCAGCCAGAGTTCCGAGGATGTTCTTCAAAAACCAATGGCTCATAAATGAAAACGGTTTTTTTTTCTCACTTTGGTAAATGGCTGTTTTATAATAATAAAACGGAACCACCATAAACTAGTGTAAAAAAAATAAAAAAATAAAACCCTATATGTAAAATAATGAAGAGGACAAAGAGGAGTCTGAAGCGCCTCACGTGTAATTCTGGCCCTAAAGTCAATTTATTCCCAACAATCCGTCAAAGGTGTGTCTCCAATTCTTGGTATTTGCCTTTTATTTGAGTAGGAAGAAAACGCTTAACGGCCATGCCTTCAGAGCCCAACGCTCTTCCATCACTTACTCTGGGCAGAGATGACTATTTGTTCACAGGTTTTTGGGGAATTTGGAAATTTACATAATTTATCCCAGTATCCTTTGTTTGTAGTGTTTCTGTTGACTTTGTGAACGCTCTCCTCTCACAAGTGTGTGGAGGACGTTAACTCCTCATCGTCTGGATTACTGAGGGAATCTGCAGAAACAACACAGATCTCACTAACACTGGTTTGACTGGGGAATTTGCCTCAGTTTGGCAAATTATCCGTCTTTGTCTAACACAGACGAGTTGATATTATCTGTGTACTTTGATTTTTACTTGGAAATAAGTATAATTCTACTTCTATTTCAGGCAGGGATCAATGTATTTGTGTTGTTCCCATCGAGCAGAGGGACATGGCTGCATACAGAGGCTTCACAGCACGCTGCTCTGCTACCCGGCAACTCATACCCCACATGTTGGTTGTCTCATGATCAATAACCCAACTGGTACCACCCCCCCACACACCCATGTATCCATATACACAATGTAGCCTTATATCTTAGACAACGTAACCTTCAACCTGACCTCTTCTAGCACTAACCCCGGAGCTCTCCTGAAGGTGAAACCCTGGTTAAACGATGGACCTGTCCTACTAATAGACGATGCATGAGTACGCAGCAGTACTTTTCGTCTTGGTTGTTTCCACACACTACGTGCTCGTAGTACAGATCTGTCTCTGTGGAGCGTAGAAAAAAAGACAAGACACGTTTGTTATTCTGTATATTTATTGATAATAAGACCACTGATGGTGACTTAGGTAATAGCAGACAACATGGTGCAATTCTTTTCCAGTGTCTGGTGACCCCATGTGTAAGCAGGATGGTATTACAGTTTAGTATTTACAGGACAACATCCGTTTGGGTAAAGAGTGTCGAAAAACATACATTCACTTAAATAGATTCACAGTTTTAAAAGCGATGAGCCTTGAAAAGCTACAACCAAATACTGACCAAAGGTGAAGAATCCATGAACTCTAGACGCTCTCTCTCTCTCTCACGTGCACAGAAGGAAAACACACTGTCAATGTTAAGGTGACAGTCAAAGAAAGGCAAGCAAAAACCCCTCACACACATACCGAAACAGCGATAGAAAATGACTTGTAATCATAGTACAAACTAGACCATAATTAATATACAGCTAGAATTGAAACATCTACAAGCTGCACGTTACCGTAACAAAAACATTGGCCACAATTATTTTTCCAGTGCGAGTTTTTCCTACAAACTAATCCACCAAATAACGGCACGGTGTGCGGAATCAAAACTGTGACACAACATTTAGACTGATTAGCATATTAGGATGAGAAACGTCACGTCATATAAATTACATTTAGCATAAATATCTACAGGGGATGATGATGAGGATGGTGTGTGGATGCACTGCAAGGGATACTGTCAATTCTAGAAGGACACTGCTGGAGTCCTGCGTACCTCTAATGCCAACAGCGTCTTTCACTGTAGCGCACAGCTGTCATATGAGTCCAGCAGGAGAAAACTATTGATATGATTTCATATGAGCCTGAACAGAAACACATTCAAACCTTTGTAAGCACGGAATCCTTGTTGGCAAAAAACAACAACAAGAAGATTCTAGGTTTAAGTTGCTCTTCAAAGCTAATTCTTGACTAATTGGCATTAAGTCAGTCGCTTTGAGGCGAGACAAGTACTGATTTACCGCTGAGGTGTCAGTATGCGCCCAATAGAGGGCTTGTTGGATTGTGGAGCCGCACATTGTGCGCACAGATTGGCCAGGTGTGCGGAGGTGTGAACGTTGGCGGGACTTCACCTTCCCCCTCGATCTTAATCACGCAGAGGAATCCGTCCCATTTCATCTGACAGCCACGTGGAACGCTATGAATGCCTCCACTAATCTGCATCATTCTCTGCATTGTTTGAAGCACACGAATCTCTCAGATGATCAGGTGTTGGGTTTTTGTGAGATCAACTCGTTCAATGAAGAGCCGATGTGCCCCGCGGACCGATAACAAGTCATCTCGACCGATGGATCAGCAGAAGCGGCCTTTAGGGAGGTGCAACATTCAGGGAGCTATTGCAGCGCATGATCTGTGGGGCGTTTTTATTTAAGGATGCACCACGCCTCGCTGTAGAGGGGGGGGGGGGGTAAGCCCCCCATTTGGACTCGGTGGTCTTGTTTATTTATCCCAGGCTAAAGGTAGTGAATACAATCTTAACACACTATTTATCGTCATAATCTGCTTTTGGGTTGGATCACCAAGCCAAAGTAATATCATGCCACATCTACAGGTAAAAATACGCAGCTTTTTAAAATTTATATAAACTCAAAATATCCTCCTTGGTGCAGACAATGAGGTGAGAAAAAGCCACGGCCACAGGAACGCATGATGCAGTGCAATAGCAAAGTCAAATGCAAAACTAAAACTATTAAAAGTGTTACTTTCAGGCCTCAGTAATGTCATTCTATACAAACGTGGGCGCTTGTTTTCTGATGCCGCTCGCTGGAGCACGCCGCAACCGGGAAGGCCGAGCGCCGCCCGATTCCACCTATCTGAGACCACCCGGTGTGCCCGCTCGCCGTGGGCCGCACTGATCTGCTAATGAGCGACCTCTACATCGATGGACGTGTGCTATAGAACGCTTTGATGCAACAGCGGTGAGTCAAGGAATGGTGCTTTACAGTAAGATACATAACGATATTACATTAAGACTACGGGCGGAAAGGGAGGTGGAGTCCAAGTGAGACGCGTGGTAGTGTTGTTGTGAGTTTACTCTCGTCGAGGCTCTTTCTCTTCTTCTCTTCACCTCCCTGAGTACACAAGAGCACAAAGAAAGAAGCGTTTTGGATGAATCAAAGCAGTGTTCTTTGCCCCTCACCTTACTTCTAACATCTCAAAAGGTTTTTGGGGTAAAAATGTTATCAAAACAGCATATTTACCTGTTAAAAAATTACTAATTAATCGCACATTTTGAAATGCATTAATCTCAATTAATGGCAATTAATGAATGTTTGTTGTTTCTTCTAAAGACTAAATCATGAAAGTAGTGAGGTAATCATTTTAGAAAGCGTGTATTTTAGACACTGTTTAATTGTTAATGCTATTTGTAAAACAAAACTACAAACATTTGATCATCTTGGAGGCAGAATTCCACTGAGTAGAACGTGTTGAACTAGCAGCTCTTCCCGCTGTCCTCGTGCACTTTGCTCTCAACTCTCCATAATCTAACGGCTGTGTTTGAAGTGCCAACAAATTCCCCACATTTAGCCCGGACGTCTTTTATGAACACAGCGGTGGTCCTCTGCAGACTGTGTACCGCGCAGGGTAACGTTAGATGTTGAGATGGAAGCAACCTAGCAGCTAGCTTAGCCTAGCAGCTAGCTTAGCATAGCAGTGCTTTAAGTGGTCCGTTTGACACGTGTAGTAATTCCTTTGCACAGTTCTCCACTGTATGTTGTGCCTCTTTTGGTTTTACTTCCAACGCAAAAAGTTTTCCCCCCTTGATGTGACTCCTAGCGGCTGTTTTGTTTCCGTGGTCAACGTGTGTTAACTACGTTAAAATATTTTGTTGCATTAATCTCGGCCACAATAATCGCATAGATTAATGCGTTTATGTTGACAGCCCTAATTTGGAGTCATGTTTTCTGGGCAAACAACTAATCTAAAGCCAACGTGGACTTGCGTGGACGTGGACTCGCTCTGATTTGGTCCCAACCAGCTCCTGAGAGAAATGTCTGGCTCTTTAGCTGCTAAATGCTCCATCATGTCTCCGCATGTTGCAGATTTGTTTCGCTGCTGTTTGGGGATTAAAAGGTAGTGAACAGGGTTTATTTTTCTGTGTTAAAAATGCTGCTGCTGTAGTTTGAAACAATGCAGTGTGATTGATTGTGAAATTAGGGGCCTGAAAAACCCAGCCCAGTGTGCTAAGGCTAGCTGGAGAGTTGCCAAGTGGGCAACACTGACGCAGCCCCCCTCGCCACCTCAGGCCTCCCTCCAAAGTCACTCCCCCAAGATGATGATTATGAGCGGAAGAAACGGACTGTCGTTAGTACTCGCAGCTCGTGGACGACTTTGCTGCTGAAATGAGTGATAGGCAGCAGATACGCAGACGTCCAGGGACTTTTGTTACGGTCCTCGCAGCAGCCACAGATACCAGATATACGTATCTTTTTTTTCTTGCCAGAGCATTTGATTTATTGATGTCAGGATGTAAAAAGAATTTCAACACAACTAAAGGTCATGTAGAATACACAACCTATTCAAGCTTTAAGTTGTGGCTGTAAAACCAAAACTCAGTGCTGGAATGAACTATAAAATAGTTCTGACACCACGAGTCACCTTCCACAGAATCCTCGTTAATATGAAATATCACCTACAGCAGCAACTTGAACTCTAAATGTGTGTGTGCATCTTTACCTGCCGCGTCACATCAGCTAAACCATCTCGTACTGATTGGCTGTGATGATCCTGGACAGACAGCAGGCCAGCAACATGCCAATCAGCTGAAAGACAGACAGACACGAGCTTTTGTGTTTTAAAAAAACAACATTTGGATTTCCATTTTCTCAAAAAAACTGCTTAAACATTGCGTCGAAGTCTGGGGAGCCGCTGCTCCTTTGCGTTGAAAGGAGCCAGTTGAGGTGGTTCGGGCATCTGGGGATCTCCATGCTATCATCTGGGGATCTCCATGCTTTCATCTGGGGATCTCCATGCTTTCATCTGGGGATCTCCATGCTATCATCTGGGGATCTCCATGCTATCAGGGATCCCCCATTCAGAGCTGGTAGATGTTCCCCTGGAAAGGGAAGTTTGGGGTCCCCTGCTGGAGCTGTTGCCCCCGCAACTCGGATGGAAGATGGATGGATGAATTTCCTGTGAAACCTTCCAATTGCTGTTATAAGAACATGTGTGCTACCGGTGTCTCCTTCCTCCTCGCTTAGTTGCGTGCTCGTTTAGAAGACAAAGACAAAGTCTACTGGCTTCTATTTCTGGCGATAACATTTAGATTGAGGTAAATCTTTCACGCAAGGCAATTCTTTGCAGCAGATATTTTAATTGCGGCTAAATAGAATTCATCCTTCCTTCATGTTATTATTTTCACCGGTTGTTTTCCTCCTTCAAAATATCTTCCCCGCTGGCAACACAAAAGGGAATATAAGATTTCTCGGTTGATCTTCTAATACAAATCATTGAATAATACTGTTTATTTCTGCACATCATTACCTGTGAGAAGGCGATCCCAAACGTCACTCCTGCAATAATGGCCATGTTGGTCTCCATGAACGAAGTGACCAGCTCGTAGCAGCCCTGAAACACAAGGGGGCGGGTTAGTCTGCAGACTGGGGGGGGGGGGGCACTGGTTGGTGTACGAGTCCTCTTCTGTCCGGTGAGCCTCGTCACTACATGAACCGCAGCAGCGGGCTGACCTGGTGGTAGACCTTGCTCGGGGCGAGGGTGGTGTTGCGGAGGACGTCTGGGTTGCAGTCGGAGGCGTTGAAGCAGCAGCTGGCAGGGATGCCGTTGGACGGGTAATACACACTGCCGAACCAACTGGTGTAGTTATACACGCCACAGCAGCGCAGCTAGAAATAGACATTAGGAGGAGAAGAATTTCACTCAGTGTCAAAAATGCTCACGTGAAAAGCAACACATCTCTGAATAGTCAACAGCCCTTCTGCTTCTTGTTGAAGAGATCCATTTAGAAAAACACATAAAGATATTTTAACCTAAAAATAATGGCAAAATAAAAACAATTCATAAAATGATGCACCCCGTAGTTTCCTGCAAGCATTAATCAAATAGGAGTAAATAATAAGAGCGCTTTGATTGGGGACTATTTTTGGCTGTGGATTGATACATATTTGGCGGCTAATTTTTTATTTATTGATATCTCAAAATAAAGAGGTAGACAAACAAGCTATTTAAATCTATGGCTGCACAGAAACAGGTGACCCCTGTTAATAGCGTGAGTTCCTTTCCATTTTTGTTGGACTCACCCTGTGCTGCAGGTTATCCACGGCGCGACTCGCCTCGTCCTCGGCGTTGTAGTTCAGCACCGCGTCGGTGTACGTCCTGTGAAAGGTTCCCTTTATCTGCGGCGCACAGAAACACACACACGGTCAGTATGCAACACAGTAGGCATCAGACATGTTTCACGTGCTGAGCTGGATCGCTGACCTCATGGCGAAACACGAATCCAGAGATACCGGCCACCAGCTCGGCGAGGAAGACGAGCGACAGGAACATGGCATACTGCAGAGGGAGAAGACGGAGATGTGCATAGTTTGCATAAAAACCCTCTGCCAGAGTGTATCATCAAGTATGCACACACGCTCACTCACACACACACACTTGACCACCATTAACAGAACAAAGCGCCCTGCAGCATCTATTAGATTTCCGATCCCTCCTTTCTGGATAGAGGTCAGTCATTATCCCCGTTATCATGTGACCTGTGGGCTAATTAACCAGGATCTCTCTCCCCCGCATCTCACCAGCTTCAGCATCCATGGGCTTCCTCTGCAGGTGGCGAAGCATCCGAACAGGCCAAACACGATGATGATGGTCCCGGTGCCGATGAGGACGTACGGGGCGTTGGTCGAGTTGTCTGCGATCAGAGAGATGTACGGGCCGAGCATCAACTTCCCCCATACTCCCACTGCCAGCAGGATGGCTCCTGTTATCTAGAGGGCGGCGAGGGGGGGGGGGGGGACAGATGGATATGACAAGAGAGAGAGAGAGAGAGCACAGTCAACAGAATGAAAGCAGGGAACGGGCTTTTATCTCGGCGCGGTTACAATGGCTGTGTTTTAACAGCCCTGGCGAGGGGGGAGGGCGGCGGGGGGAGGGAGGGAGGGAGGGGAAAAGATCAAGGTGGAACAAAAAAGAAGCAGAGCAATTAGAGCGGGAAGGAGGAGGAGACGGCAGACAGACGACACAAATTTCTCTGCCGTTGGGGAAGGCGATCACCTGCTCGGCGAGCACGCCTGCTCGCGCACACACGGGGGGGTAGGAGAGGAAAAGAAAGGGGACATATCAAAGAGGCTCTTTGATCCGAGGCGAGACGCTTCCTCCTGTTGCGCCCATCTTAGCATTTCAAATGAGGGGCTGTGGGATGAAAGAGGGCGTTGTGTCTCAGCTGGGTTCGTCTCACTGGCATTGGGAAGCGAGCGGGCCGTGGAGCGGCTGCCTGATGATCAGACTCAACTCAACGCCCTGACCCCCCCCCCACTCCCCTCCTTCTAAGAGGAGGCTGCTCGCCGTCCTGCTGCCAGGCCCTCTGACTAGAGAGGGAGCAGAAGGCCTCTATGTGTGTGTGTGTGTGTGTGTGTGTGCGCACACACTGAAACCTGCTCTCAGCAGGAAATGAGCCAATCTGACTGCAACGCCAAGGACTCCACCGGTTTTGCCCTCTGAGGAAAAGTTCCCTCTTTTAGTCAAGAAAGTCCTGCTGCACGTTACGTAAAAAAATACAATAACGCAGAAGTGATTAAGATCAGTATTTAGTATGTGATGTTTCTGTATAGCTGAAAGAAGCCTCTGGGGGGAATGAGTGTGTGACCAGAACGCACACAGCACCGTTTGGCAGAGTGTGCACTAATGACTGGGCAAAGTTTCTCACTGCTGTAGCTTCTAAGATCACTTTTGAGCCCCGAGGGGATCGTAGAAATAAAGATTGTGAAAACCCAAATGAGTTCACAGGGTCAAAAAGAATCTGTGGAATGAGCCTGGTGGAATGTGTCCTTATATGCTGGCCTGAAGGCCCCTCGGGGTCAGGGGCCCTCGAAACACATCGACGGGATAGCTTGAAACCTTTCCTCCTGCAGAAAGATCTGGTTAATCGTATAGAAGATCAACAGGATATAACAGGCATATAACGAATTAACAATTGCCCCATACAAGATGTTGGTAAGTCCTATTCATTCCAATGCTGCCTTTCTTTTCCCGGGGTCAGGTGGATTTACCTCGTTGTCAGTTATCTTCCATCACAGAAGTATAGAAAGTCCTCACACTTAAACTAGTAACAATATATATCATGGTCATATAATTCAAGCACAAAGTATTTTGAATTTGTATTTCGTGCAAACACACACACATGGACTCTTATATCATGAGGACGAGCTTTGGCTCAGGGTGAAATGATAAGGGTGAGACAAACACACACACACACTGGCAGCTCCACAACGATCATTTTAATTATTGATCAATGGTTTGGTCTATAAATTGTTGGAACAGTGTCAAAGAGGGAAAAACGCTTATTACAACAGTCCATTCAAAAGGATCATCGTCAGACCACACAACTTTTCCACAATATTACCAGAGATTTTTCTTCTCCTGGCAAATGAAACATAAACATGGAGCTGTTTTTTTTTTTCACGTAAGCCGAGCCTATAAACATGGGAATCATTGACAAGCTGCGTGCAGTCGGACGCGAGTTGGGTAAATGCTCAGCGGCACGGCGGTTGATGGAGAGGCAGCATGTCGTCTATTTAAAGTTGTCTCAGGAGCTGCCTGTTCTGTAACCTTTTCTCCTCATCCCGTGTATCGCATACATACGGGGCGTCCATTGCGTCCCGCCGGATGACTTTGCTATTGTGAGAATTACAGAATGCGCTTGGGCGGCCGCTTCTGGCAGACGAGAGGACCCCCCCATCGTAGACCGTAACGTCCGCACCACCCTTCCCTGTGGTTTTAATGGTCTGGCCCGCTTTTGGTCAAAGTGGGCAGTATCTGGCCCGAACCTGAATTGAGTTTGACAGCCCCGCTGTAGATCCGTAGGTCCCTCGGCTACTGGAGCTGCTGAGTGAATGGACCATAGTCCTCAGGCCCAGCGGACCTCTGGTTACCTGTAGGAGGCCATTTCTCAAGAGTTACATGAAGCATGCGAACCGTCACATACTGCAAGTATGCATTAATACTCTGGTACTGAGGTCATTTTCACCTCTCTCTGAGGTATAAATCCATTGAAGCTGCAAACAATAACAATATTCAATATTGATATCTACTGGCTAAATCCTCAATTCATTTCTCTTCGAAAGAAATCTCTAGAAATTGATTTCATTGATTTAATTTAAAGTTGAAAAACAGTGAAAAGGCCAAAGATATTCAGTTTACTATCACGTATGACAAATAAAAGCTAGAATCAGTTTGCCGTTTTTGCTAAAAAAGACACCAATGATATGAATATTCATTCATTGGACTGGTGGCCGATGACTCGATTGGTCGGTAACGGCGCCTCCTGCCTCTATTAACAGCCGGAGCGGGCCGTCCTTCCAGGGAACAGTCCTCCAGGTGACCATGCACTCGCTGCTTATGCCCTTCATCATCAGGAACAAAATGTCTGGGCGCCTCCACCCCGAGAGCTGCCAGCGCATACGCCTAACAGATCGGCTTGTCAGGCCAACGGGGGAAATTAAGTCCAGTGAGGAGGAGGCCTCTTGCCTTCACGACTGCTGCAGAATCCCAAATAGCCCCCCCACACCCCGTCCCCCTCTTCATGCTATGTTTGATATTCTGCACCAGGCCGGCCACCCTGGTGACAGCACAGAGTTTAAAGCAGGTCAACCCTCCTCCTCCTCCTCCTCCACAGGCCCCCATAAAGCAACAGAAGGTGAGATTGCAAAATATGCCGGCGAGGACACCACCCAGACTCCACCACCTGCTCTGCATTCAAGAAAGCCACGTGCAGTACGGAGAAGACGTTGCTATTCGTTCTTGAGGCGCTATTCGCCACGACAGGCCGACCACAGCGAGGAGGGGCCGCTCCCCCCCCGCTGGGGAAGACAGCCGTGAAGCTGTGAGCTGTGCCGTCGATGGAAGGCGCTCCAATCCGGGCTAAATATAAAAGTTGGTGTCAGTGACAGTCACAGTCTGTTTCTAAGCCGTACAGAACACAGGACACGTTGTCCACTGGGACGCTCTCTGGGAATGTGCAGGGTTAGGGTGGAAAAAAAGGGGAAAGCACTCCTCGGGCTCTAAAGACATTAAAGAAAGATAGATCTGTTCCAAGTCTGCTCACAGCCTTTGAAATGGTTCCAAAATGTTTTCCAGAAGGGTTGAGCTGCTACGGTCAACTATCAGGTCTGCAGGAAGGGAGGTGCGTCCGAAATCCAGAATGTATAGAGAGGACCGGATACCCTTTTTAGTCCACTCAAGGTTTACCACATGCATCATAAAAAGTAATGTCCAACCAAGCACTCTACACCATCAGGCACCGCACTGCAGGACAGTAGCAGACGGGACGAGAGGCGAGAGGGCAACACGATTGAGACAAATTCATAGTTTTAATCTGAGCAGAGAGCCGCGTCACAAACCGCTACCGAGTACTTCGTATTTATTAATTTATGGGAAAAACACGTTGCCCCTACATTGGCAACGGCAGCGCATACCACTTTACTTTAATAAAATCCCTGCAGCATCACCGCTTACCAGAGGGAACTTAAGTTCAATCTCAGCATTTCGATAGAAGCAACAGCGCTTATAAAATGCATGCAAGTTCATCCTGCACATTTTTATCGCCCGACAGCAGCAACGTTATAAATGGGAAAGAGAAAGTTTTTTTTCTTCTTCATTTTTGCGGTGAAAGGACTAAATAGTCTTCCTGGAGGATGGTGAATAGGTAGGGAGTAGTGAAAGAGTGACTGATTTGGGACCCAGCCAGGGTTTTTCAATGGTTTCATTAGGAACCCTTTTCATCCAAAGAATCCTTTCAAGGATGGTTGAAAGACTGGACGTTAAAGGATCCTCCAAGCCGCCAGCTCCCAAAAACTGTGACTGTGGATGCTGGCTGTTGTGGGTTCTTCTGCAGCCCACCACATTAGCCCCCTGCCTTTAGAAGCCTCGTGAAACCCCTGGTGAGTTCTAGATTAAAGCATTGGAATATGAAAGGGTCTTCAGTGGAACGCCCTTGATGGGTCCATGCTAGCACGCAGGATGGTGGTTGTGAGTTTGACTGCACGCGGTGCACTGTGGCCCCATGCAAACTAAAACCATTGTTATGATGAAGAAAGATCTTTTGGATGGTCAAGGGAGTAGAGAGGTTCTTGGTAGAACCCCATTGGGTATGCTGCTGCCCCAGGGGGTTTGGGTAGACCACTACCCCTACGACAGGTTCTCTGTAGAACCTGGGGGTGCTGGGTGGAGCCTTTCACACACGCTCTCCGTCGAGTAGGTAGAACCCAGATGGAACTTTGTTAAAAAGGAACAAGCAGAAGAGTCGTGCTGCGTTCACACGAGTCTCACAGCAGTGTGGTTATGATGTTCGTGTTATTGCCTATAAGGATGCTAGATAATGTGTGATAAGCTGGCTTTCAGAGGGTAAACAATCCAAACCCACCGAAGCCAAACAGGGACTAAGAAAATACCATTTTCCGTTTAAATCACAATAGTAATTTTCTCCCACAAATGGGAGAAAATGTATTTGGTTTGAGAGATGCTTTGTGAAGTGAGGACACTTTCTACAAAGACCTTTAATAACAGTGACAATGAGAATCTGTTCCTCATGCGAGTATTATTTTATGCTACTTGCTCGCTCAGTATTAGAGAATTGTTATGAATATCAAATCAGCAAAAGACCTTGGAAGACAAATCCTCCAGAGGTGTTGATTTATATAATATGAGGCTTTTGTGGGGCTGTGCTTGGCTTGTAGTGTGGGCCGGTGTTGTGTTACCGCACAGGAGGGGGACCCCAGCAGGGCACAGGTGCAAGACAAAAACAGCATACTAATGAAAAGGGAAGGACTCCGCGCTGAGACCCTTAAATCTCTGCAGAATGCTGAGTGTTCTTAGTTCACATGGCCGTCTGTACGTTTCGCAACTATTTGGATCTTTATTCAAGTCATTTATCAAGCCAAGCGTGCATAAAGGTCATGGATCCTGCTTCTTATATGTGGCAATCTTGCTTATTTATTTTCTTTTTATAACTATTTTAACTAATCAAAAACCAGACCATTCTTTACGCAGATGAATTGATCATTTATATAACTGTTATTTGCAGCTCTACCTTTAATCCGATGCCGCATGAAAGAATACAACCACAAAGCAAAGCACACAACTAAAGTAATATACACATTAAGTGGATATTTAAAGTATACCAGGTATTTATGGTTCAAGTCCATCAAAGGGCATAATGGATTTTTTTTCAATTTATATCTGCATTTACCGTACTTACTTTGCATATCCATATTATTATAAAATCTTAAATTTAAATTCAAGCAACATAGAATATATATATAATGAATTATTTATTTTTAAATGCCCCAATTGTACAAGCTGCAACATGAAATAATAATAACTCATAAATACATACATAACATAATTATACTTATATATTATTATACAGTACTGTAATATGAAATGATTCCGTTTGCATAATGCCCATACTTTTTATTTTTGGTACTTAAAGTATATTTTGATGTATTGTTATACTTTTGCTTAGGGGGGATTTGGAATGTTCTTGTATTGTATTTATACACGGTTATTGTAAAAACATAAAAAAGTCTTAATCTTAATTCATTGTTAATAATCATGAAGTGAGATAATTAACTGTAAGTTACACATATAAGATAGTACTTAATTATGTTCGAATGCAGGACTTTCATACCTTCACCTCCCATAGGAATCAATAGGCTCTATTATTCACTCGACGTGTCCGTATGATGGACTGAGGGTGCAAAGTGCTTTAGGAAATCTATAACGACCCCTAAATGTAGGTCCCCCGTGCAGAAAGCGGGGCTTCAACCGGGGCCTCCCCGGCAGACGAGGCCCCGCGCGCCCCTCAGCAGTCCCGTTAGACCGCGACGTTAGCATCCTCCTCCTCCTCCTCCTCCTCCTCCTCCTCCTCCGCGCTGTGTGCGCTCGGTGCGCTGCGAGACGCCGCTCACCGCCCCGAAAATACTGTTACAAAACCCAAGGCGACTAAAACGCATATTTGACGCGCAGTGAGGATGCAGCCATTGATGCACGACGCCGTCGATCAGGCCCCTTCATCACGCACATCCAAAACACATCATGGTGGATTACGTGGTCAAAAGGGAGAGAGAGGGAGGAGGCAAAACATAAGCAAGAGAAAGGCTACGCACCCAGAAGACGAAGGAGTACACGACCAGGAGCGTTTTGAGGCAGGTGATGACGGGCTTAGTCTCCATTGTGGCGCGTGCGGCGGTTCGGAGGGAGTGCGGGGTAAAAGCTCCTCTGCGATGCGTCGCGGTGAAACCGGGCGCTGATGCAGACACGCAGCGTCAGCGGGCACGCGCAGCGCACCAGCCCGCGCGCTACACGACCACCCGCGCGCGTTTGTGTGCAGCCAGCGCAGCGCGGCGCGGACCGCCGAGGCCGGTGCACGAGGGGCGCGCTGCGCACGAGGACGGGGTGTCGGGGTCCTGTGTGGGGATCGCAGAGGTACAATGTAACTAAGTACGTGTACTCAGATACCTCTACGCTACTCTTTATTAGTATTATCTGACAGAAATGTATTTTAGTGACATGGTCGGATGTAAAAACTAGGATTACTTCGGTATGATTTTGAGGTAGAAATCCTAACATATACCATTTAGTATTTAAAACATTTTATGTAGTATATTATATACACATTTAGCTTTATATAAATGACATATATATAAATAAATACATATTTAACTGTATATATAAATATATACATCTGCATACATATACACATCCTTACTGTCCTGAGGGCCAAGTCTCCGTTCTCCGTAGGCGTGCACTTAGAACCTCCATCCACCTCTCTCACCCGCTGGTCCTTGTTCTCCACCACTTCAGGCCCTGCAGGACGTGTTGCTGCAGTGACATCACATTTCACCTGAGATGAGGTCTGGACGACTCCATTCCATGAGTCGCTGACGTGATGTATGGGGGTTCTTCAATTATTTTCCCCACCCCATTTATATTGATCATCAGCTAAAAGATAATCAGATTTATTCTTTGGATCTTGGCCAAATATTTCATCACTGCATGAAAACTGAATGCGGGTTTAATGTGGTGGTTCCCAACCCAGCGGGTGCGTCCCTCAGGGGGGGCGCAGTGGAACTACAGGCGGGGCAAAACTTCATCAACAAAACCACACACATGCACACACCGGTAAAACAATGTAAAATGAAATTATGATAAATGCAATTGCAAACAAGTTGTAAATATCAACAGCTGATTTTGTTTAAGCAACTAAGAAATAAAAATGTAAGAAAAAAAGCGAAGGAGTACACGACCGGGAGCGTTTTGAGGCAGGTGATGACGGGTTTATTCTCCAGGTGTGTTACGATGTGTGTTATGAGGCCGAACAGGCTACACTGAAAGTTTTTGGAAAAACGGTGGCCAGACTTTAAATCAGCTTTCCACCAACATTCCATTCCAGTCCAATAAGGACACACACACACACACACACACACACACACACACACACACAGAATGCTTGTCCTGCACTAAAGCCCATTTCAAAGGACAGTCGGGGTTCATTGTCTGAGCACATCGTGCAGTGCACCATTTGTCCTACATTTGAAAGGTAAGAGGGACAAGACTTTTTAAATGCCAAATGAATTTCCGTTGACCTCGGAAAAAAAGTGTTTGAATGCTACAAAAGAAAAGCAGCACAATAAAGGAAGTGTGACCGAGTGCATCTCACAAAGCAGTGAAAGTGAAAAATTCTTGGCGACTAGTGACTCACATCGGCTTCATGAAGTCCGTTGTCACGAGTAGTGATGATGTCTGTAAGACGATGTGTCGTAATTCAGAGATTCAATAGGAAGTGAAAGAATAACTAACGTGACTCCTTTTGGGTGATCAATAGAACCATTTAATTACAAGTTGTCGAGATTTCCTTTCATAAGCATTCCATCTTGTTTTAGCTGAGCTAAGTAAAATCCCCAAAAGAGGTTTAAAACCCACTGAGAAAAAACATTATACAACACAAAACATTGTGGTTCTTCAAGTGTGTTCAGTCAGTAGTACATTAAAAGTGCTAAAAGGCCCTCGTGCAAGAAACACCAGTAGCCACCACATAAAGCCTCAGTCAGTGACACCGTCATCAGGCCCTCTTCTAACATCGGCGCCCCCCACTTCTCAATGAGCGGCATGTATGGAACACAAACAGAGAAATAGCTTGGGATCAGGAAGGGAAGGATCAAATGTTCTTGCACGGGGCCTCACATGTAAGACGTTCCCTGTGGGGGAGACTTGTTTTTTCCAAGTCTCAACGGAGGGGGGAGGGGGGGGGGGGTGAAAGAGTAGAGGGAGTGCAGTCGCTGAACGCTCTCATCACACTCCCGCTCAAAGTCCTCCTTCTTCTGACGTGTAATCTTCATGCCTGATGCGCCGCCCCGTCCACACACACACACACACACACAGACACACACACACACACACACACACACACACACACACACTCCTGCTGAGTAGAAGGCCCCGTTCTCTACACCGACCCAAACTCCGTCATCCAGGCTTCGTACTTCTCCAGGTCGGCAGCGGAGACGGACTTTGAGATCTTCCTGAGCGTGAGGGTGAAGTCCTCCATGGTCACGGGCATCTGCAGCTCGTCTTTAGACAGAGCTCGGATCTCCTCGGGGCTCAGGCCCTGGATTCGTCGCCGCATCGCCATCATGGACGCATCCCTGAAGTACAGACAGGAGCAGAGTGGAAGGTGAGGGGGGGTCAGGGGGAGGTGTAGATGTGGTCTGCTTTTACCTTGGTGTGGGTCACATTTTTAAATGTGCATCTAAAATGTGAATCTATTTAACGATGTGGTGAAAGAACCGATGCGTGTTCACATGCTCAGAGGGGAGTGACGCTGTTTTTACAGCGATTTGCCTGACGTGTTTATTTTAAAGTAAAAGTTATTCCAGTTGGAATAAATACAAACTCTCACTTATGTTTTTGGGGGAAATGTGAAATCAAACCCTGGCGTGGTTGTGAAATCTGATCAGATCTGATCGCAACGGAAGAACAAACTCCTTATCGATTCGTGGATTTAAAAAAAATAATATCTGTTATGGGTCAGCTGCTGTTTTCTCCCCATCCTGTGTGATTGTAGCTTCATTTTCCCCCGTGTGTCTGTCTGTGCCGTTTGTCTCCACCTACAAGAGGCGTGGCCAGTCATCCTGAACACATCCTGCTTCTCCAGCGCCAGATCGTTGTACACCCCCTGCGTGGTAACTCGACTGGATCCTGGCTCCCCAAGACTTTGAGTATTCATACTGTTCTTGTGTCTAACCCGGATTCCTTTGTCCAGATTCTGCTGTCCCCGCTCTGACCTGCCGTGCCACCTGCCTCCGTCCCTCTGGCGTCCTCACCCGGCTTTCCCCTTCCATTGAAATCCCTTCTATAGCTCATCAGTCCTGTGTGATCTCTGTGTGTTGGGTCAAATCTCCCCCCTAACAATATCGTATGTGTGCACATGCTACCACACGTACCTGCAGACGTTGGTGATGTCTGCTCCGGAGTAGCCCTCAATCTTCTCAGCGATGAGGTCCAGGTCCACGTCAGCAGCCACATCCACCTCTCTGAGGTTGATCTTCAGAAGCTCCACACGACCCTCAGCTACACACACACACACACAATATTAGTATTTGTTTGTGCCCTGCCTCGCTTAGATGACTATAGTGTCATGTCATGATGAAGACCAGAGTTTATCAGGACCAAGACGAGACCAAGACCTTTCTATGGTAAAACCCTCACACACAGCTGGAACTTCTTCTCCTGTCTCCCACGTTTGATCGTGAATCATGTTTTGATTTAAGCAGGCAGTTGGACATCCTAATACACACGCATACATGAGACAATGCACAGGCGATGAAGGACTATCCCCCCCCGAGCTGTGGTCTAGACTGGTCGAAACAGAGACTCATGCACTGGCCGTTGTTCTGTGGGTGGAGAGGTCACCTGTGGGCAGGGGGATGTAGATCCTCTTCTCCAGGCGCCGCCGTAACGCCTCGTCGATGTCCCACGGGAAGTTGGTGGCGGCGAGCACCATCACCATCTTAGAGGGGTCATCATTATCCAGAGCTCCCCCCACGCCTGGTGAACGGAGAACCACAGTTCAACAAGGAAGCGCGCAGCACTCATTTGTGTGATGCTGGATTTGTTTTGGTTGAATACTGCGCTCCACACACTTCTATTTAGTGTCTAAGTTCTGTAGTTGTTATACCAGCCTGTGCCCGAAGCCATAAGAAAGGAGGTAACCACACAGGTAACCCTTTTCCACCGTCTCGGTTCAACTCACCGTCCATCTGCACCAGGAGCTCGGATTTGACCCGGCGGCTGGCCTCGTGTTCATCAGACGTTCCTCTCCTGCCACAGATGGAGTCCACCTCGTCTATGAAGATGGTGGTTGGTGCATAAAAGCGGGCCTGAGAAAGGAGAATTGTTGAGGAGACCCTTTCTCTGCAACACGATGAAGAACGTCCCTCCCTCACTGAGAGCAAAACTCTCGACTAGATCACGACTCTTTGCTGTCCTGCTCCTAAATGGTGGAACGAGCTCTCTGAAGACACCAGGACCACAGAGAGCCTTCACATCTTCCACCACAAACTAAAGACACACCACTTCAGACTCTACCTCGACTAATAAATACAAAACAAACTGTAGCACTTAAATTGTACTTATAATGGCTCATATCTATAGCAAGTTGTAGATCGGCTTATTGATGAAATTGCACTTTCTTCTTTCTTGTTCTTCTGGGTTTGTATCCTTATGGTTGAAATGTACTTATTGTAAGTCGCTCTGGATAAAAGCGTCAGCTAAATGACATGTGATGTAATGATATAATGTAATGTGATATAATGTAATGATCTTGAGCCTCGTAGTGAGAGCAAACACGTGCATGTGAGGTTACCATTTCAAACAGCAGGCGGACCAGCTTCTCTGACTCGCCCCTGTATTTGGAGGTGAGGGTGGAGGAGGACACGTTGAAGAACGTCGTCCCGCATTCTGTGGCCACAGCTTTGGCCAACATGGTCTTCCCCGTCCCGGGGGGGCCAACCATCAACACGCCCTGAAGAAAAGAAGCCACTCATGAACACAGGATTTTTTTATGTTGTCATAGCAGAAGTGATCAAAAGTGATGATAGTCATTGAATCTACCTCAATATAATAATCTAATTAAACTTCTAATTATTTGGTGGAAATTTAGTCATTTTAACTGAATACCTCTGTAGTGAAATTGCACTAAAAATAATATTTGTTTTATAGCGCTTTTCTGTGTACCCATAGACGCTTTACAGTGTACACTAATATTATAGGTCTAATTTTAGAGGAATAGTAATAATCTTTAATGTGAACGTAATGAGTAAGTGGGTAAAGGCAAATAAGAGTAACTAGAACGGTCTGGTAAGGTTAGAAAATAGCATCACATATTCTGTAACGCAGCCTTGAATAGCAGGAAAACAGAGCCCATATTCCATATTACAATAATTGGCTATCTTGGTCTCATATCAGGCAGACGCTTCAGAGCGACGATCTGCAGGCTAAATCTGTACAAAAAGTAATTAATTGATCCTCCGTCAAATGATTAAATAGCATAAAGTAGTGTAACATTGCATTACATGTCATTTAGCTGACGCTCTTATCCAAAGCATTTTTAACCCATGGTTTTTACATTTTGCCCGGGGAGCAGTTAGGGGTTGGGCGTCTTGCCCAGAGACACTTTGACATGGGACATGGAGCAGCCGGTGTTCAAACCGTCAACCACCGTTGATACATATTACATGATATGATTTTATTGGAAATGATATATTGCGAGCGGAATTCATCATCTAAGTTGATTGTAACGATTGTTGCCATGTGTATTATACTCACGAGTGTACCTATAATATATGTCCACGTGTGCAGATGGACTGTGAAGCTGGAGAATGTGTTGTCTGATGAAGCGGCTTGGAGCCCAAGTATTCATTTCTTATCTGATCCCATATCAGGATATTGACATATTATCAATGTATCGCCCAGCTCATATCTTACTAACTATCTTCTTATTAAACGCTCTATTGTAGGTGTTTTACTTTCATTTATTCAACACAGCTGCATTTGAAAAGGCGAGCTGAGCAGATTCAGAGCAGAGCAACATATTTCAAATTTGAGCCGGAACAATGTGAACTGCTCACAGCTGTGTGTGTGTGTGTGTGTGTGTGTGTGTGTCAGTGTGTGTGTGTGTTTACCTTCCAGGGGCGACGGATGCCTTTAAAGAAGTCGGGCATCCACATGGGCAAGACCACCGCTTCTCTCAGCAGCTTCTTAGCGTCCTCCAGGTCAGCGATGTCGTCCCTACAGTCCACCCAGAGAACTCAGTCAGCGGGGACAAGGAAAGATGGAAGCGCTTCTCCGACAGCGGAGCGTATAAAAGAGTATGTGAAAAACTGGGAGAGCTGGCACACCAGTGTACGTTGGGGTTGCGGGACACAATATCTCTCTCCAGCGAGTCCACCAGGTCGCTGTCATATCCCGTGCCGTCGAATCTCTTCTGATCTCCATCAGGATCTTTCTTCCCCTTAAGGAGAAAAAACGAAGAGACACCATATTCATGAAAACAATTGTTTTGACTCGTTTCTTAGCACCAAACTCATCCGCCCATTGGACTACCAATCAGCAGCTGCGGTCCCACCTTATCCTCTTTGGCCTTTGTGCCTCTGGGACCGTGCCGGTCTGGTTTCTGGTTGGCCTGGCCGCGGCCTCCTGGCCCCGCCCCTTTATGCTGCAGACCAGGGGACTCCTTCCTTTGCTGCTTCGCCGCACTGTTGGGGCGCTTCACTGGGACCACATTCCTGCAGACACAAGAATACAACCGTAAACGCGGCTGATAGTGGGACACACCTGCAGACGGAAATGTCAAAGGCCATTTGCAGAGAGGAGATAATGGAGATACGGCGGCGGGCCAACGACCTCAAAAGCAGCTCCGCCGGATCTCTGTGCGGGTAAAGCTCGACATGCCACTTTAAAAACCCGATGGCCAAATAAGAAAGGCGAGTCACACTGAGATAAGACAGATCATGTGCTTCCTTATGGTCTTCAAAAACACAGGGTAGAGCTAAATAATGTGTTTTAATACAATGTTTCGGTTTTATCAGACAAATTAAAAACATTCAAAAACGTTTCGATCCATGCAGAAAAAAAGAAGGGAAAAAGGATGAGGTTCATTTCAGTAGTGTGCGCCCTGCCAGACGGACACAAAGACACACACGCACCGGTGCTCTGCAGGGGTGGGAGGGGGCCACACATCTGGATCTTCAGGCCTCTCCCACTGAGGGGCGAGAACATCAGCTGGCTTCTCGGACCTGAAGCTCTCCAGCGTTCCCATGATGCCTTTCACCTGCTCATACTCGTTGGTGAGTTCCTGCCTGACCTGGTCACAGAGCACAGTGTTTACATCGGCCTCCTCGCGTCACCCGCGTGACCTGTGCAGGTGAGCTCCAACTCACCTGTTGCCACCTGGCTTTGAGCGCCGGGTCCCTGAGGGACTGGCAGTGCTTGTGGATCTGCTGAACGACGCCCTGGTAGTACACGGCGGAGGACTCGTAGTTCCCCAGCAGCGCGTACTCGCGACCCTTCTTGGCGTTGTCACAGATCTCGGACAAATTCATGGTGAGGAGCAGCTAGATGGCTGTGGGACACACAGAGGTTCAGGTCCTCCCCCGAGCACCGTGAGACAATGGCTGGGCTGTTACAGGCGGACACAAGGCTTCTGTTGTAGGTAGAACCCACATTATGCTCATTATGCTCGCTGACCTCATTATGATTTGTGCTTTACTCAACTAACGCTAGCTAACGTTACATGGCGGGTGGTGTCGGCTTCAGGAGAACTGCTAGCGAACACCCGGCCAAACACGTTGGTTAAGGCTGCTCATATCCGTCATTTTAGATTGTTATTAAATCGCAGACAGGAAACGCTCACTTATTATTTAAAATAGCGTATTTCGACGTTAGCATTTGCTAGCTCGCTGCTAGGCCACATACGGAAACAACAAATCTCGTGGCAATAAATAACGTAAACACCACTTAATCTCACTAGCATGGATTACCGTAAATACGTTTGTAGACTAAAGGCACCGGAATCATATTATTGAACTGCATTTATAATATTTCAATACTTCCCAGACCTGCATGAAAAGCCCTTGTTTGTGTTGTTCTTTGAATCAGAAGTCCCGTGTTGAGTGTTACCATGGCCGCAGAGAGACGCCGCGCGCGGAATACAGGCGGCTTGATTACTGCGCTGCATTCACGGACTTGTAGCAAGCTGGTAAATTCAGTAGATTCAGCGATCGAAATTGATATTACTCAATCAAGCCCTACCATCAAATGAGTTATATTAATGCGGAATAGGCTCCAATCCCGTTCTGGATATTGCATTCTGTTATTTTTGTAAGTAACATTTGACGTAACGTTATACCATACACCGTGAGCGCACGTTGATCATGGTCATGGGCTAGTTTACAGGGTTCACCAAACACATCGTGGATAGATATATACGCACGTGCACCACTAGTCGTCGCTACTATTCAATAAAATGCTGCCAACTTGGATGAAGCTACAGGATAAAGCTGAGGCAACCATGTCCAACCAACCATAAGTCACATTAATAGCAGTTCTGGGGCTTTAAATACTCTACACAACTGCGTTGTGAGTGTAGAATATAGATATCTTTTATTTTTAATTTAATCTCCGTTATTTATCCCTAGCCAAAGCCTTCTATTTTATACTGTGGTTCAATTGTACATACCATTTTTCTTGTTGTCCATTGTCTCTTTGTCTTACTGTCTGATGTTATGCACCGATGTCAAATTCCTTGTATGTTTAACATATTTTGGCAATAAATGTTCCCGAAGCATATAGCTGCTGCATCATCGCACCAAAACTACTCAGACACACCAGAGGCCTCAACCATTTGAAATCATTCACGATGAAACCACTTTTATTGATTTGAAACATTATCACAGATCTTCATACTTTTGGAAAGCGTTTGCATTTTTGTACACATGCAAAAATAAAGTATCAGTTAGTGATTTTATCCCATACCATCAACACCTTGCATTTGGCACAACATTTTCCAGAGACAGCTTGAGCATGTGTTCATGCTATTCAAGTAAAGCAATCAAGTAGTTAGTTACATTTTGTTACCGGGCAACAGAAGGAGCTGACAAAGCCGGTTATGTTCATATTTATATTTGAGAAATACACATTCAGCAACAGCAAAACTCACGCTGCCTTCATTTCTTAGAGGAACAGCAATGTCACTTTAAAACAACGTAAAAATGATTGCACATTTTTCTTTGAGTTTTAATTGACCTTTTTGGTCCATTTCTTTACACTGAAATGTTTCTGTGTTGAATGCTGCAGAGCCACAGGACAGCTGACAGCATATGTTTCCTCTACGTAATAATGTGCACTCTGCTCGGACTCTGCTCTCACAGATATTTAGCATACCGCCATTTCCACTCATGCTTTTCATTGAAATGTTAAATTAATAGTGTGCAACTTATACCCCCCCCTACCGTCGCACGGCGTGCCTCGCATCAAGCAGGCATACGGGTAAAACCGATTCACGCCGCTCTGTGTCACGATCATAAGAGGCCTTTCTGACTTCAGTCACAGGACTTTCCTCGGCACCGTTATCGACCCACGAGGCTGCGATGACCTCACACAGGACGGAGGTGACCTCAGCACTGGCACGTCGGCGCTCCCGGCTCCCTCTGGTCCCACAGCTGCCCGGCGCTGCTCTCGCTCGGCTGCTTCAGTCGCAGCGGTTTGTGGCTCTTCAGTCTGTACGCCAGAGTCAGAAAGATGGCGTCCACGTGCTCCTTCTCAGCGGGCTCCTTGGCAGAGGTCTCGAACAGCGGGAAGTTGTAGCTGTCGGCGAGGCACTGCGCCGCCGTGGTGGGGACCTCCCGGCGGTCCCTCAGGTCGCACTTGTTGCCCACCATGATGCGGGGCACCAGGGGCCCCACGCTGTGCCGGCTGCACTCCTCGATCCAATCGGGGACGCTCTGGAAGGAGGAGAGGCTGGTCACGTCGTACACGAAGATGACGGCGTGGACGCTGCGGTAGTAGTGCTCCACCATGCTCTTCCTGAAACGCTCCTGGCCCGCCGTGTCCCAGACCTGCAGCTGAAAAGGATATTATTGTGACTTCAGGAGCCAGTGGCAACGAAAACCGTGCAATGCTCTGGCCCCCTACGCTCTGCTGAGTGTGTGGTGTTGTTTTAAATACCGGTTTAGACTGCCGTTTGGTTGCTGTTCTTGAAAATGATTTAATCTTTGTGTAGTCAGGGTTTTATTTTCGTTTTCTCTCCTCCTACGCGGTTCGTTACTTTTGTCTGTGAAAAGTGAACTGCAACAGATCGTTACGATATAGAGCCCGATTTGTATCTGATTGACTGAGAATGAACTGCCTGTTGAAGTAAAGGAAAGAGAGCAAACACGTGCTCTAGCTGTATTTTTGCACAGGCTGCACACAGGCTACGTAACACCGAGCCACACCTGGAGATGTGCAGCCTCACAAAAGTAAAGGAACCAAAACCACAGTTGTCTCTAATGAATGATGGCTGGAGATTGCCCTGATGTCTGTTATATGACCTTTGACGACCGCAAAGGAGCGCGAGGGAACAATGTGTCCGACCAGCAGAACAGGGATTGAGAATCACGCTATGAGATGTAACCGCGTTAGGCCTTTGCTGCTCTGCATGCACGCACAGCCTGCAGATATCTGGAAAGAAAACCGATCCCAGGTCAGCCTGCGTCCACATCCGAACCGGAGCCCAGGCAGCTGTATTGTGCAATAGGCGCGCGTGTGTGTGTGTGTGTGTTTGCGTGCCATCCTTTCCATACATGCAACGTCACGTGACAGCTTCCGCAGGTCACTCTTATCACCTTGATACTCTCTCCGTCAATATCCAGCGTCTTCTCTCGGAAATCGACCCCGATCGTCGCCTCCGGGTTGTTCAGGAAAGAGCCCCCGCAGAAGCGGTACGTCAAGCACGTCTTCCCCACGCTCGAGTCCCCGATGACGATTATCTTGAAGATGCGAGCGGACGCGGTGTCATGACCGCGGTGCGAAGGGACCTCCGAGGAGTCACTTTGACCGAAAACGGTGTCCAGTTGGTCCCCAGGTTTGTTTTCTATTGCCATCGCTCATCCTCTCGCGGTCTGGATGTGAGCGGCGCGGAAACATCGCGAGACAAAACGGCACCTGAGCCGAGCCACGTTCCTCTTTTATTTCCACCCCTTTACGTTTACCAAAATGATATTTATTTTAACGTATACTATATGTATCGGATTTCCTTTGATATTTCATGAATCATCTTACTAATTCTAGTTAATAAATAAATTAAGTTTTTCTTGTCTGGTCATTTCTATAATCTGGTAGACTATTCTGACAAACCAAGAAAACATGTACGTTCCAATTCATATCTAAGTCAGTTTCAGAATAAATAATAATAATTATAGAATAAATAATGGTCTGAAATCTTTCTATTCCATCCTGTGAAATATATCTTATATATAAATAATTATAATTCTAATTAGTTTGTTGTAAATTATGAAATAGATGTAGTCACAGTTCCACCTCACGACAGTATAAATACTTCCATGCAACACTTTCTGAATAATGTATTGTGTCCTTTTTGTTGCATGTACACAACGTTAAGTAAAATGAGAAAAATACCCACAAATCCTTTTCTGAAACGTGTTTATTTGACACATGAACCAAAACCGTTTTATAATTCGGTCCTTGTGTGCTACTACTGACAATCACCCTTCACACGCACGCACGCACAAAAACGTAACACTTCAACTACCCAGCATACAAAAGGGACAACATTGAGAACTGCACTCTTTTACCAGTTTATTAGGAGCAGCTAATGGCTCACAACACCCCGTCATTAATCCAACCTTCATTAAGCCAAGCAGGTCGTAGTAACACAGGTCTGGATTACACTTGGTGATTCATGAGGCTGTAGTTTGCAATGTCCGAGATGTGATTCTAACATGTTGTCTACTATCTTCTATGACTGTTTCCACTAGAAACAGCTCTAATAAACTGGCGTGTGTGGGGAGGACGATGGCTTTGCTACAAACTGAAACATCAGAACCAAACAATACTTAAAAAAAACCATGTGGAACATTTAAGATTACCGATCGTAAAATAGACATAAAGTTCAACATCGTCGATAAGAAACACATACATAGGATCCATAAAACTGTTTGAAACAAGTGTAATTCAATGTTCACTCAAAGCACGTAATTTGTACTGCATTAGAAAAAGTAAATCATGGCATCGGACTTGTGCTGAAGCCTCAACCTGAGTGCGTGTACCATACGATGCACCTGCTGCGCATTGACTACATACATGTATAAAAAAAAAAAAAGAAAAAGAAGACAGGAAGGTTTAAAGCCCTGTAAATGTCACGTTAAAGGAAGTATAAACATTAGGCACTCGCACAGCCAGGTATCCAAAAGAATTCACAGTCGCTCTTCTGCACCAATCACAAGCAGGGAGTGCTCATTAATTTACGCTAAATAAAGTCTATATATATTTCCGTCACAAATGTCTTTATTACAGCCACTCGCATTAGTCTTCTGTAGCTCCAAACGCACCAGTCGCATTATGGACTAAGTGGAGACCAAACTGTAGTTCAACAATTTGCAGAATCACAGACCTTGTTTACAGACTTTTTGACTTCGTCACTGCAGGCAGAGCACAGGTACACACACGCGCACGCACACACCTGGTTCAAATGTTTCTGCTTAAAGCTAATCCCCTTCATTTTGATTCCAAATCGTTCCTATGGTCCGGCATAGGAAACCGCCTGTACTGCTTTAATGAAAGTGAAATGATTAATCTCTATAGTGATCATTCACCCTGTTGCCCTTATCAATGTGCTACATTATGACCGTGGGCGGAGCTTTATTGTTGTCGGTTCGACTGGGCATCATTCTGTCCTTCAGGCTGGCAGCCCGTGATATGAAGGGAAACAACAAAAGCCTCGTCGGTTGGCATTTCTGAATGCTCATAATCTGGACAGGAGACGAGACACCGTCCATGCAAACTCAAGATTGTGACGGATTAGTGCTTCAACTGTAAAGGGCGGGCTTATCTTCTCTCCTGGCAGACAGAACCCTGTTCAACCTACAACATCGTGAACAAACTTTCTCTCCGACTACCAGTTCTCGTCCGAGAACGAGCTCGAACTGCCGGAGTCCGAGTCGGCGTCCGTCAACCCGTCGAAGTCCCAGTCGGCGCTCGAGCCGCTGTCGTCGTCCTCCTCTGTAGAGAAGCTGTGCGCCGAGCCCAGGCACGTCGGGTACACGCGCGTCGAAACGCACACGGGCCCCAAGGTGGACACGTACACTGCCATGATGTTCTTCCAGGCGTCCCGGGCCGGGTCGTACTCGTGGATGAGGACCCGGTTCTTGTTGTGCTGCAGCAGAGTCTGAGTGAGCAGCAGCAGCTTGCTGTTGTGCTGGATCACCTGGTAATTGAGAGCGCGGCTGTCGATGGGGATGTCGCCCAGCCTCTTCCACTCCCCTCTGGCGGGGCTGTAGGCCTTCACCACCGGGATGTCGCACACACACACGATCTGGTCCTGGTACACGCAGGCCTTGTGGAGCTTGTCCCTCCTGAGCGAGCCGCAGTGGCGCCAGCGGTTCCTCTTGGAGTCGTAGCACAGCATCCTCCGTTTGTTCACCACGTACAGGTGGTCGTTCAGCGCCACCACCTGCATTTTCCCCAGAGAGTGAGGCAGAGGGGCCACGAACGTCCACTGGTCCCTCTGGACGCTGTAACACTCCACCTCCTTCAGCCTGGCGTCGGTCACGGGATTGCGCCCCCCCAGGAGGTACACGTGGCCGTTGAGGTATCCCATCCCTGAGTGTATCCTGCCCAGCGGCCTCTCTGCCAACTCCTGCCAGCTGTTGAGCACAGGGTTGTACAGCCAGAAGTGCTTGGAGAGGTGGGAGGCCAGGTACAGGTTGTTATCAGGCGCGGCGCAGGCGATCAGGGACTCCATGGTGGAGCGCTTGTAATCCTGACTGCTGAGGTCCTCTAGCGGAGGGGCCATGAAGTACAGGTCCTCCGAGTAAGGGTCGCAGCACATGATGTTGTCGTTAGGCAGGCCGAAGAAGAGGATCATCTCTTTGGCGCTCACACCCACCCGGTGTTTCGGCGCGTCCGGAGCCGCGGGGGGCGTCCCGCAGCTGTCCTCCGCCGACCCTTTGTAGAAAGACGCCAGGTATTTCTCGATCAAAGGCCTGGCCATGAGGCCCTCCAGGTAACACTTGTCCTTCTCCGTGAACAAATTCCAGCGCACGCACTTCAGCGCCAGCATGGCATCGTCCCTTCTCAGCAGCGCGTTGGCCTCGATCCACTGCAGGGCGGCGGAGCACACCTTCCTCTCGCAGTCCACGTCCAAGGTGTCCAGGGACAGCATCTCCCTCAGCTGCGTCAGGTCCAGCTCGCTGAGCTCCCCTCCGCTGCACACCTGGCCGAAGTTCCTGGCAATGAAGGCCTGCGCGTTCCCCTTGAGTCCCGGGTTGCCGTACGTGTCTGCGAACTTCAGCACCCCCACGCAGTTGGAGAGGTCCAGCCTCCTCGTCATGAAGCCGGAGCAGGCTTTCCTGATGTACTCCAGCTGCAGCATGTTGGCCGCCGCGTACAGACGCTGCACGTTGCCCTCCGTGATGGTCACGCGGCCCGTGTAGCAGTAGTCGACGATGACGGCCATGGACTCGGGGTCCACGCCGCGGATGACCACCCTCTCCTGCGCGCTCTCGTTCAGCCCCCCGGTGAACATGCTTTTGAAGTAAGGGCTGGCGGCGGCGAGCACGTTGCGGCTGCACAGGAAAAGCGGGTCAGCGTCGCCCGCGGCCGCCCCCCCGCCGTGCTCCGGCGGCTCCTCGTCACACTCGACCCGGATGGTGACGTCACCGAGCAGCCGGCAGTCGTACAGCAGTTTGAGCTCGTCCATCAGACCCCGCGCGTGATTGACGTCCTCCAGGACCTCGGGACCGCCGAAGCAACCCATCGCCGAAGCCATTGCTGCGACTTTGGTCAACAATTTGGTGTTTTACGTCGGGAAATCAAGTGTCAAATGTCGCGCCGCGATGCGGTTGACATGTTCAGCAACGCGAAAGCGCTCGTGCGTCTATGCACGAAAACCGAACGTAGGGAGAGAAAAATACGTTACCAGCTGAACGGTTGCCCGTGTGTCCGCATGAGCCGACAGTTCTCGGGCCCCGACCGGTCATAATGATTCCGAGATAATCCGCATAGTATTGACAGAGAGTGACCGTGACAGTCGTGACAATTAGTCTTTGATTCGCCTGTCAATGCTGATATGTCTCCGGGGTGCGCGAGGCAGTCGAGCTCTAATGTCAAACGGTCTGTGGGGTCGACACTCAATCTCCCGGTAGAGCCTGTAAAAATAAAAGCCCGTTTAGTGTATGTTTTGCATGTGTTTTCTTTTATTCTGTCCGTATGCAATTCAATAAGTACTTGAAAGATTCTGATACAAGTAAGCCGTGCTTGCCACTTCCCAAAAAATGAATTTAGTATTTTTAAATGAAAATGTTTTTTATTTTTTATTTTACTTTGAAATGCATCTTTCCCGTTTTCCGCTCGAGGGGTTTTCATGCTCGTCACACAACCTTGCTAAGAAAGGCTTCGCCGCTTTGATTGGTTTGCCTAACTGGGTCGATTAATGTCTGGTTTATTGGGATTGATTCAAAATGATTCATGCAGGTCAGTATATGATGCATAATAACAATAATATTAACAGTTAATAATAACTACTATTAATTCTGATTAAAAAAAAACCTTATTTAAAAACACATGATTTATGAGAATAACCTCCTGGTCATATTAACAATCTCAGGAAAATGACTTTGTATTGAAGCATTAAGCATAAACACTAAAGTGAATACATTTAACCGTTTAACTTCCAAGTCCCCCCCCACAGACACACACACTGTACCAGCCTCCTAACAAGGTCCACGCTTGGACCCTCCTCTCTGCAGATTTGGTGCAGAACCGCCCGGTTCTGTTGAAGTCAAGCTCATCGGAACCGTCCACTCGAAACCGAGCTGCCTGGACAACTCCTGCAACGTCTTCAAGTTGATGACGGCGTCCTAAAAGGCAAAACAAACGACAAATCAACTAAACATAATGGGTTCTAAAAAAGGATGTGTTGACTTCAATTCAGGTGTCAACAAATAAAATAAAGTAGAGATTATGTACCTCTTGGGCTTTGTTGGGTATTATTTCAAATTCCATAAAGTCAGCAGAGCAAGACAACCTCTGAATAACTTCTTAAACCTAATTCAATGAATTAGGTGATCTTGTGAATATTTCCTCACAAATATCAACGGTTGCTTTGTAAAAAACAATAAATGTACCTTCATGGATTCCAGATAGCAGGCGCTCACCCCACAGTCGGCCAAAATGAGCGTGGTTTGAGTGTCACTGAGGAGATTCATCATCAACTCTCCACTCTGTTAAACATTAGCACCATCAGCCGCCTGAGGAGCCAACAAACTCTCTCCTGTGTATCTGCCATAATCTCCAGCATTCCAGCGTAGAGCACATCAACGCTTATCTGTAGCCTTCTTTGAAAGGAATGCTGTTTGCTTGAGGTGTCTCCACTGCTGTCATTGTTTAAAAACCTTGGACCATCTCATGGTCTTTAGTTCCTAAACTGTGTGAACCTGGACCTCAATGAACTTGCCTTTGCATTTCTATATATATATGTATGTATAAGTAAACATCTTGACCCTTTAAGTCAAACTGTTAAGATAACCCAGTGATCAAAATACAAATCAAGGAAAGCTCTGCAAATGTACAGTGATACTTTTTAAGACCAGTGTTTTTTAATACAAATGATGCCTTTTAAAAATGCTCATCCACTCCAAAATGACATAAGCGATAAATAACACATTGGAATGTCAGCTTTCCGCTGTGTACAACGGAGTAACGATGCCATCTACCGCTGGGTGAAATAACCGCAGACCAACCTCGGACTCGGATATTTTTGAAATTGTTTTATTCACTTTAAAAACTCTCCTCTTTACAGTCGTATCATCAATAAAAAGCATCAGGGCTCTCTGTGCAACATCATTGCAGCTATTATGTTTATCAAAGATCATTACAAATCTCAGCTCTTATGTAAACAACAAGCAAAAGAAAAGATAATGTGTGCTCACTCAATTTAACCGATATCAGACTTCACTTAGGAAACTTTAATGTGTTAATCATAGTTCTGATCGAAAGTGCTGCGAGGTCCAGCCAATGAATACAATAAGAGATACACTACTTTTAACAGGCACAGGATGTAACAAAATCCCAGGTTCAACTTCACATCCAACACCACGGTCTGACAAGAAAATCAATAGTTGCTAAATTAGTCGTATAAAATAATTAAAAGCACGTACAAAAGCGTGGGTTGTCTTTTCCCTAAGCTTCAGTGTAACTATCAACAATGACAAAAAACAAAGACAGTTGACACGGAGTAAGTGATTATCAGAGTATTGCTCGGTTGTTCAGTGGCGTGTCAGAATGTGTTTCAGCAGGTAGTGAGGTGGAGGTCCAGCCTGCTGGACCGGGACGCTTCTCAGTGCACCAGTGAAGAGCAGTGTCATTTGCCCAAGACCGGACCCTCCTGACAACGACCTCCCTCCTGCACATCCGTCCACTTTGGGTTCAGTAGCAGCCGTCTTTCCAGCTGCCGTCCCTCAGGGCCGTCAGGGCCGCCAGGCTCTTTGGAGGGGTCAGCAAACTGTAGACGGAGAGAAACGAGGCCGTTCAAAGAACTGATGAGGAGATGCATCGTCACCCTCAAGTATCCTCACAACACCGTGAGTATATGATCTAAAGTCCTGCTCTGTGTCCCGACTTCATACAGTCATCATCTGGTCTGTATACAGAACCCGTCTCAATATCCCACAGCGAAAGGTCAGACCGTTATATATCTTCTTTTGGTTGACTCATTTTAAATATAAAATGCTCTCAAGTGTAAGACAAAGAAAAGCTTTTTTTTTAAGCTTTTGATCAGCATGGTGTTTATTTTGTAAGATTTAGTGTCACTGCCTACTTTCGTTAACTTTTTTCCAGCGTGAACACATTGTTTTCTTAAAACCTGTTTTGAAATCAGCAGGCACCACCGGATTGGGCTTCTACCGTTTGGATGGAGAAATGTCAAACCTGCGTGTGGGTTGGGAGATTTTGCTCGCACGTGGAACTCCACTCATTCCCACGAAGGAGGCCGGGCGCGGCAGCGAGCTGCGCGTGACGGCCGGCTGGCTGCAGACAGCTTTCGGGGGCTGTTGCACCAAGCCGCTGCTGGGCTTGAGAGGCTGCGGAGCTGCCGCGCTGCCGGGGATGGAGTGTAGACTGATGGAGGCGGACATGGAGGGGGGGCCCTGCTGCACCGTGGGACTCACGTAGGCCGTGGCTTTGAGCGGGTGTCGGGGAGTGGTGGGGAAGTTCCCCACGCTCAGGACCCGCTGGCTGAGCTGGCCTGGGGAGGGAACTGAACAGCAGGGGCACACGTCACAGGCGTTTTATCTATTGTGCATTCCAAACTTTGACCATTACCTTCGGGGAAACGGCGCTCAACGTTCGCGTATGAACAGAAACGAGCCGCTCACAGATCATTTCCATTCATTCGCTTGAAGCAAAAGAGTCTTACTGGAGGACTGGAGTCGTGCAAGCCCACTGGAGGAGTCAAAGCTCTGGCTGCTTCGCAGGGAAGATACCGTTGGCAAGGAGGAGGGGCCGTGGGAGGGCGGGTTGACAGGGGAAGCCAGGCATGGGGTGCTGGGAACACTGGGCATGCTGGGAGCTCGGAGCAGGTTGGGCATGCTTCTCCGTAGCTTGTCTATGCAACCAGATGAGACATTGTAGGCGTCGGCCCGGAAAAGTATTTTTACAATTTCTTTTTGTACAAATTACACATCAGTAAGCTGGATGCAGGTGGACTTTGTTGGACAGAACCAGGCCAGCTGTTTACCATCTGTCTCCATCAATATGCTAAACTACGCTAACCTGCAGCTGGCTTTAGCCTCTTATTGCCCCTGATGCAGTTAAACCCCCAAAAGGCATCCCCAATTATAATAATGACAAGCTGTCATGTAACTGAGTACAACTGAGGATGGAGGTCATTTTGTGTTTGGCACCTTTGTACTCATCTAACTGCCGTGGTATTCGTGAAACACTCACCTGTGCTGCTCCTGTATGTCGTGTGTGCTTCCATGGTCAGGCTGAGCGGGGCCGAGTACTGGGAGAGTCCGCTGAGGGAGAACTGGGGTGCGATTGGGCCGCGTCTGCAGTCTCTGATACTGGAGAAGGTGTGAGAGTGGGGCAGGCCGCCGCGCTGCATAGAGCCTGCGCCAAACAGACGAGGCTGCGGAGGCGGCAGCTGGTCGTAACCCTCGTCCTCCTCCTCCTCGTCCTCCTCGTCCAGATCCATCTCGCTGCGCCGGAGGGAGTGCAAGGAGAAGCTGGATCTACGCCGGCTGGCTGTGGCCGTGTTCGAGGTGGAGGCGTAGTCCTGGCGGAGACCTGCAGCGGGGACGGATGGACGCTTTGATCCGCGGAAAGCCAAAACTTGACCCCCATTTAGTGTGTGAGGCCTTTCCTTTTACAGGCCGCCCCTCCTCCATTATGCGGTAATTCAACCGGTACTCTGTCTAATGCCTTTACTCGGAAATCTCCTGCATTATGTACAACACACAGAATGATATTACAGCCAGTTCCACTACTGCCAGATCAAACATCTTAGCCAGAGGTCAGTAGGGTAACACGTTGATCTATTTCCGTCCTCTCAGAAGGCCTTGAATCAGGGTTTATATTATTCCTCCTGCCTCCAGTGTAATCCATGCAGATGGGTTGGGTGTAAGCCGGCTGGTTTTGGAAATATCCTCCATAGACATCTTCCTTTTCTCTAATTTAGTGGTATTGTACGGAAAAGCGGTTTGTTATTTTGCCGCTTGCCATTTAGTCCCATCATCTCTACGGCTGATTCCTCCAGAACCACGCAACTCACGTCAAGACAATCTTTACAGATAAAGATAAAGAGATAAAAGATAAAGCCGCAATTTCTAAATTACAGTGGATGTGAGTAATGTGTGGATGGGCCCCCTTCTCCTCCCCCCCTATTAGCACATAGTATTTTGCACTGTCTATATTGATGAATGGCACTATAGGAGTATATGATAATCAAGAATTTAGGATTTGATGGTTAACTGTCCCATGACTATAAAAGGAGACAACTGTAAATGTGTGTGCAAACGTATGTTTACGTGGATTCTGAAGTTCGAAACCACGGCTACAAAAACTGTTATGAACAAGTTTCATACACGGGATTCTTCAGCCGTGTTTCATGATGTTTTGTTTTCAATGACAATAGTTTGATCCGCGAGACATTTCAGACAGTCGACTCACTCTGCTCCTGAAGTCGGGCCATGACCTCCACGTCCATCATGTCCTGCAGTTTGTAGCTCATTGAGATGGAGTCGTCCTCCAGCTCTGACGCACCCGCCTCACTGTCCAGGGAAGACTGGGGGCTGATGGCTGCGTGTCGGCGGCCCACGTCTGAAATCATACGGGGGAGCCACATCTGTAGCACGGCGGTACCTCACTCGACTGCATGTGAAAGAATTGAGTATTGAGTGGCGGAGGAGTGAGGTCTTACTGTGGAGAGTGGCGTTTGACAGGAAGGTGGGCGCTCGGTCACTGAGGCCGGCCCTGAGAGGCTGCAGAAAAGACTGAGCGCATGAGGGCAACGGAGCTGAGGAGGAGAGGAATCCACATCCAATCATTAACATGCAAATCAAAGCTCCAGTCACTCACATGTGTGTCTATAATGTCTAAAATATATATACATCTTTTTTTTGGTGGGGTTTGAGCTGCTCTCCATCTGTCTGAGGGACTGACCTGATAATCTCCAGTAATCTGACTGTAAACTGCAAGTAGCAGGTTGTTTAAGAATCTGGGTTATGTTCACACAGCGAGCTCCAGAAGTATTTAGGAAGCAACATGCGCTTTTGGCTCCGTATTCTTAATACTTTGGATTTGAAAAGGAGCAATTAAGTTAATTGCACATCATATTTGCATTTGCACATCCTATGATTTGGTTATTTGCTATAACGAGAGGCAGACTTGGGTGACCTCGCTGGCAGTAGACAGCTGGCTGGGGAAAATGAAAAGCACCACTGTTCCCATTCTGGTTGTACTGGCCAGTATCTCAGGGGAACTGTGTGAATGTGGAGGAGCACAGCCAGAGTAGGAGCTGTGTGAGGGATGCACAAGGGCACAGCAGGGTTTTCAACTAAATGCTAACATGCTCGTACCGAACAGGCTCTTCTGTGGCTAGCGGAGCTATGTGCCCGTATCGTGTGTGTCCGTGTTACCTGGGGCCTCGGTCGGGGCAGCGGGCTTCGTGTAAGGCAGCACGGGGCAGCTGAGGGAGGACAGTCCCTCTATGCAGCTGTATGAACGGACCGAGGAGCGTCCTCGCCAGCGCTTAGCTGCACACAAAGATTGTAGCGATGGACACGTTAGGCCGATTGCTTTACCTGGCAACGCGCACACATGGAGTATATTGATTCTGACACGCTCTGGCCAACATGTTAATCTGCTTTTACAGATCAGTATTGATGTTTCAAATGATCGGGTCACGGCCCGGAAAGACCAGGCTGATACGGTAAGACGAGGTTTAGCTTCCACTGCGGCTTATTGGGCTAAACCGCAGGTCTTTTTAGGATAAGCAGGGATTGTGCATGAAGGCTACATCACATTCAGAATGAGTGTGAATGAGATCTACTTCTGGGGATGTGGAGGTTACAGTTCTACTGCTTCACAATGTTCCTGCCTTATTAACAGCGTCATAACACAATGTTTAGAAGCTGTAGCTAGTGGCTTTAATAATGATTTAAACATAACGTATTAGGTTTAAAGATTAGTAATAAACCACTCATATGGAAAGCTTGACACCAATAGATTTTGGGTTGATAGGCTCAATATTGTATTTATGAATGGCCTAATAATGTTCCATTGAGCCCTATTAAATGGCACTGTTGCTAATCCTAATGCCTCTTAAGAAGGTGGTATTTGTTTTTTTCACCAATAAATGTCTGCGTTTGGCTTGAAATGACATGACATTAGACGATGTGCCCCATGTGACAGCAGAGTTCACCCCCCTGCTGGTTGTTATTCAGAGAGGCACACACCTGACGGAGTGGAGTCCACTGCTAATGGACGACACCAGACACTCACAGCAAGTTACATAAAACAACAGCTACTGGAGCTCGGAGACAGGGAGGTATTCATGAGCCAGAGGAGGGAGAGCCACCTTTCACTGAATGCAGCTTCTAGTGAAAGAAGAGGACCTAGAACCCGCACACACACACACACACACACACACACACACACACACACACACACACACACACACACACACACCACAAGCCCACTAATGAACATCCAAACAGATCCTAACAAATCGGCCTCATTAAATAACAGTCTGGACACAACGTGGGAGGGACAGATCGGTGAAAAGTCTTCTTAGAATATAAAAAAATCAAAGCGCACACACACGTACACGGGCCAGTTCCCACAGCGTACATTCATGCATCACGTCGAGTCCCCCGTACCGGCTGTTTGGGCTGCGAGCGCCGAGCAAATCACCCTCGAAACCCCCGTTTATGTAAGCATGGTTTCTATGGTGACCATATCCTGCATGAGTGTGGAGGATGTAAAGACTCAAATCTAAAAAATGGTATCAGGCAGCAAATGTCATTCAGTGGCACACTAGGATATTGAAGTATCTTGGTTTTGTACTATGTGCATATGAATATGATGATGTCCTATGCAGGTCTGCAATGAGCGCAGGGGCGTCCTCTGCTTGAGTTGTGTCTTTTTAGGCAGAAATACACAATGACAACGTTACACTGTAACAAATTGCTGTAAATTTACGGTGCATTTCTAACGGTATCTTACAGTATGTCATAATAACTGTAACATACAGTTCAATTTCCATCCCTTGCTTGTAAATTAACGGCCAATGTCATGAATAAACAGTTAAAGCTGTCAATTTACAATAATAGCAGACTACCGTAATTCAACTGCATGTTACATATATTTTATGAAGTGGTGGAAATACACATACAAGTGCAGTGAATCACAATCCATCTACATCTACAAATTACAGTTAATTCACAGTAAAAAAAATTCAAGTTTACGGTAACATACAGTAATCCACTTAACGGTAACATAGTGTAAAAAACATGTACGGTATTATAATAACGGTAAAATAACGGTAAATTCCTGGCGCCCTTGCTGCCAGTAAAATACCGTTAATTTACGTGAAATTTTTTAGAGTGTATGTAACACTCGTCTACATAATGAAATGTAATTGAGAAGCTGTAATGTAGTATTTTAACTCAGGTCTTCCATAACTGATGATGACACAGAAACTTAATCCAGCTAAAAAAATCTGCATCATCTTCAACAAGCAAGGCGACTCTGTTTATACGTAAATGACAGATTTATGGGATGCGGATGAGCCAAAGAGATTTAAAGGAATAGTTCCAACTTTTAGATAATTTGCTAAAAATGTGCATGAACTCTCTTACTGTGAGTTTGATGAAAAGATAGATGCCAGTACCATGTTTGTAAATGGACTACCGAGCTAAAGCCAGTAGTCATTAGCTTATCTTAACATAAATTCCCAAAACAGCAGAGAGCAGCTATAGCCTGGCTCTGTTTGATGGAAACAAAATCAACCAACTAGCACCTCGAAAGCCACAAAAACCAAACAGTGTAAACATGAGAAGTTGTGGCTGTAAGGTCAATTTTGTGGACTGTTTATTGTCTTTCCTTCTTTTACCTCTGTGTCCATATGTTATGCTGAGCTAAGCTAACCAGATACTGGCGCCCACGTTTTGAACTGCAGGGTGTAATCATTCCTCTTCTTCTTCTTGGGTAGATGTATCACCAGAGAAGCAAATCTCTGGAAGTGCTCTTAATTGTTCTCTGGCAATAGTGAAACGTGTAAAGGGGAGAGGTTCCAACTCCCACAGAAGATAATCACTCGGTGGGAAGTCAAATGAGGTACTTAAAAAGCCATAAATGTAAAGAGAGCAAGTTAAATGGTTGGAAGCAATTGAGCAGGGAATTGCTTTCACGGCTCGGGAGCTAAAATCCTGTTGCACGTGGAGATGCTTTGTGCGTGAAGCGTGTTATAGCTTATGGTCGCATGTCGGCAGCTGGAGAGACAGATGTCCAGATGTGGCAGCAACTGAAGGCCATTAATCTGAGTGATAAATACTCTGTACCTTGGTCCAGCCTGTGGCAGAGGGTCATCTTGGCCAGCTCCACCTCGGGCCCCGGGTGGTCCAGTACCTGCCTGCACCACTGGAGAGGGCTGAGGAGACACTCGCCCATAAACTTGGCTTTGGGACTCACGTACAGCCTGTAACGACACATCAAGACCCACAATTCAGCCCTGGCACCTTTACAGCAAGGCTCATATTGGTACTGTTTGAAGAGGGCTGAGGGTAAATAAACTAGAGCCTGGAGATCTGTAGGAACGCGTTTCACGCGGCAATAGCTCTCGGGCGAAGCCAAAGCATCACTTTGCGATGTTAAAAACTGTGGCTGTGTAAAGGGAGCAATCTTCTTAAAGTCTTGATGTGGAAATAGACCTAAAAGATCAACATCTCCACAAATAGCAATTGGCGTTTTACTGGCTGCAGCAAAGCGGCAGTGCATAATAAAACCTCAAATGGTGACAGCCTGATTTGGTGCAGTGATGTAAAGGATGTGACTACTAGCTACACATAAGACGATAGTATGTCCACCCCCGTGAGTTGTAGAAGCCTGAAGCACAGAAACAATCAATCAATGAACAGATTAGACTTTAACCACAGGATTAATCGTCTAATTTGCATAATATATTAATCATTGCAATTGTTTTTTTTAACCAAAAATATAAAATGTCCTATGCAATTAACTGTCATAAATGAGAGTTAACTAATAATTGTGGGGTTAGGGCTTCGGAAAAATGAGTTTGAAGATGCCCCATGGCATCTTACACACCAAACGGTGAAACAATTAAATAATTGATGTATAATATAGTATATTATACGCTAGTCCTAGGTCCTTTGCCACATAACAAAACAAAAGAAAGAGAAATTGTGTAACCTGGATGTTATCAGAGACCTGCTATCAAGTATTTGACGGCTGAACAAAGAAGAGAAAAAAAAGCCTACAATCTAATTCTGAATTGTCCTTATACTGACGTGACAGTTAAACACATTCTAATCCCAATATGTACGTGTGTATTACTATAATGAAAGATCAATAATTTAACATGATAATTTATCATCTCTCACATCGTGATAAAATCATATCGACATATCGTGATAAACCATAATATTGTCTACATGGAATAAAACAAGCACGTAGTAACTTACATTTCTAAGACAATCTGAATTAATTGATTCACTATGTATTTGTGCGCATGAACGTTGATAAACAATTGAGTCAATGCATAGCGGAAAATATTTATATGAATTATATTTATACATATGCAGCACCAGTCAAGGTTTGGACAATTGAATGAAAAAACTTTGCACATTGTTTATACATTTTTTCTTTCTTCACAACTGTTCCTTGCATTTTCCCCCTAAAGTTCATAAGTTAGAGTACTTTTGAGCTGTATAAAACAGAAAACTATTTATATTTGTGTACAGTAGAAGTCAAACGTTTTTGACTGTATATATATATACTGTGTATAGTAAAATATATCATTATAGAGTTATAATGACCAGTATCGTAATATAAGATTTTGGTTTGCACTAACTGCCCGGACCCTGATAACTAGGCCCCGGTTCTACCCTGGCTCCATCGGGCCCGTTAGAGGGAGGGAGCGCAGCCACACACTGCTGCTGCATTCGGGCGGCTGCTCCACTTTCCACACCGTCACACCGGCCGCATCCCGCCGCGGAGCCGGTGGGCTGGTCGGCGTGTGAGTCGCGGTGCAGCCCGGGGCTGAGCGCGCCGCACAAAGCCGCGCTGTGTGATCGCAGACTCAAGCGGGTTATTGTTTTCTAGTTCCATCCCGGTGCCGTCTTGCGCAGAAGAGACACCTATGCTGCGCGCACAGTGCATTCTGGGATGCCCCCTTGCTTGTGTCAAATCAGTGTTTGTTCATTTGTTTAACTCCTTAAAATAAAATAAAGTCTCTATTTGAGCCGCAGTCTGCGAATCAGCTCCTGCAGGAGAGGGATCGATCGTCGGATCGATGAGGGGATGCACGGGAGGATGGCATTAAATATCATGTAAAAACAAAATGTGGCCGGCAGACGGACGGCCGTGTGGCCCGCGGAGCATCTTCGGGAGTAAACAACAGAGTAATAAACAGAGCGGTTACCAGCTATCGGGCTGCCCGATGGGGAGCGCGGCGTCCAGGTCCAAAACATCCACCTCATCCATGACGGTGGCGGTGTCCTCCTCAGCGGCGCCAAGACACGCGGAGCTCGGCTGAAAATACGCGAAGGGCTCCTCGGTCGCTCCGGGGGCCCCGGGGGGACTCGGGGTGCCATATTGTCCGGGGACGTGGTCGCTCGCGCACGCGTTACCGCCGCGCAGACCCGACAGCGAGGTCTGGAGATGAGGAGGGCCGACGGGGCGAGCGTGCGCCGCGTTCGCCCTGGTCCGCAATTGTTCGTTCTGCCGCTCCAATTTCCGCACCAATTCCTGCAGCTTGAGCACCTCGAGCTCCGCGCTGGACGTCTTGTTGCTGTTGTTGCCGTTGACGTCTGCCATCGCGCGCGGGTTCAACACCTCTGCCTCCATTTGGCAGACGGCTCATGGAGAAGCGGCGGAGGAAGCGGAGAGGGTGTCCAGACTCCCCCCGTTCAAAGCCGCTGCTGCACGCGGGCGCGCTCGCAGACACGCGCGCTCGCACTCGTACACGCGGGCGCAACGATGCCGCTGCTGGGATGAGAGCGCGGCCTCCGTCTGATTGGTCAGAAGCGTGGAGTTCAACTCCCATCGCACCACTGCTGAGGAAGTGTTTGTTATGGACACGCACGCACGCACGCACGCGCACGCGCACGCACACAAACACACACACAGGCACAATCACTGTGAACCCCTTTCTGTCGTTTTCCTTTGTTTTGGTGTTTTATGTATTAAGCATCTTTTTAGAGCTTTCAATAAAAAAATGACTAAAATGATTTAAATTAGCAGCATGACCAGTAACGTATAAGTGTAATCGTGAAAATGACATATTCACATATTGTTTTGGACTGCCAGATATCATTTGAATAGCACGTCACACCAACATAATCCCACACTCTTCACTAACTAACAATTTAATAGTATCCGTCTGACCCCCCCAGCTCCACCCCCCATGAATGAGTGTGTAAGTGCTCTTTCAAGGACATTTATATGTAGTTTAAAATAATTTACTCAACTACCCAAAAGGTGGTTTGCCTTACACAGCAGATTTCAGAGAGTTAAATTGACTCTTTGATTAAATTTTAACTCTAAGATGGTGTTTATATTGTCTCCATCTTGTCAGTGTTAAATCCACACAAAACTCAGAATAAGTGTTAAAAATAAATCTGCTCAATGTTAAATAGACTGTGAGTTAAACCCACCACCCAGAAGTGTGACACTGTACGGTTACATTTCAAACCTATCAAAGAGTTAATTTAACTCTAGTGTCGCAAGTAAATCTGATCAGTGTTAAATACAAAATAAATACACTCTGTAGAGTCCTTGACACTGGATAATGACTCCAGCTCCTTCGTATATGACTCTATAACATTATTTTAACTTTTGCTGCGTCTAAAACATGACACCAAATGATCAGACACTTTTTTGCCTTTATTGCACACAGAAAAAGCCCCCGGCCCTATAAATTGCATATATCTCTTTTCATATCACACAATCCCACAAGGTCAGAAGACTTGAGAGAATATCATACGTGCCATCTCAAGGGAAAAGGTTTAGGTACAAAGACAGCAATATCACGATGTCAACAGCACACTTACATGGAGCTGCATTTGTTATATATATTCATAGTAGAATTGTCATTATTCAGAACACCTAGATAAAGATTTGTGAGCATATAAAAACAGAAGTACAGGACAACCTTTTTCACCCCAAAAAACCCAATTAACACTAATCAATCAAATCTGCAATCCCATGTAGTTTATCTCCGGCTCGGGAGAAACTCAGCGCCGCCATTTACCTGTGGAACAAAACAATATCATTATTATATTACCTGTTTAAGGAAAATAAAAGAATACATGTAATCATTCATTGATGAACTATTTCAATAGATGTTTTCTTGCTCTACCTCTGGCGATCTCAAAGCAGTTTTCACAGTGCACCATGCGTTTGTAGATCCACATGCTGTCGCCGGCTTTCATGTTACCCAGCGTGCTGCTACACACCTCGCACTGCGCAAACACAAACACACACACTCACTCACACGGCGGAAGAGATGACCAACACAACACGCTTGCTGGTGACACCCTGTCGTCAGTCTATTCAAGAACCCTACTTTCCATGTCGTGCAGATGTCTTACTCCACCTCCCTGTACTCCACTTTACTGCATTTATCTGACAGCCACGTAGGAGTTTCCAATATGGCTGATTGGGCCTCTAGTCAGGTGGAAATTAGGTGGAAGAATACAGGGAATTACCCCAAACTTCCCCTTTAATAATGCGGGTACAGGGCTACTTTTATTTGCTACTTTTATTTCTTCAAACACTGATTGTTGCAGACTTTCATGGAATGAGAAACTAAAGTAATCTGCTCACCTTAAAGCAGGAAGCGTGACAGTTGATTTTCATGTCATCCAGGACCATCTTGGCATCCCCGTTGAAGGGCCGACGGCAGGAAGTGCACAAGTCTTTTTCAAGCACCGCCCTGCAGGGGACATAAAGAAAAACAGCATTTATCATAAGTGCATTTTTTACATTGGAAACAGGAGTTTTGGCAGAAACAAGACTGAGCACATGCTCCATCCTATATTGACTAAAAGCTCTACTAATAAGCCTTTTCCCTTCAGTGGCACCAGCAGGTTCATATTTCTGGCTTTTAGGGAAATGTCATGACAACTATTAGGCGGATTGGCACAGAATGCAGCACAAACATTCATGTTTGGGAGATGAGGAACCCTAAAGTGTATATACTGATTGCCATGAAGTGTGGTTGAATTACAAAACTCTGGTGCTCCTTTTGACTTGTTATCTGCTACCACTGTCGTGTCAAAAATTCCAATTGTGCGATACTTTGGATTATGACCAATTACTTTAGAACAAATTCTCATTTCGAGTAGTGAGCCGCGTAAACATTTGACCTTTGTGAGAGCTGTTCCTACCTCTCAGGAGCAGCGTACACACTCTTCGTGGAGGATGAGTATATTTGATCAGAATCATCCGACCTGCTGTGAGAGTTAAACAGATACCAGTTTGAGGCAGAGTCCTGCTTTACTTGCACGCGTCTTGGAACCCAGTGGGGTTTCGTGTGGAGGAATACCTGCCGCTCCGGTAGGACGTCGAGGTGTAGGAGGACGGACTTGTGATGCTGCTGTACTCGTAACTGCACAAAGACATAATGACCCACGTAAGACGGGACATTCTGACTGTTTCTTACTCACGGTACAGTAAGAGAGGTTTCGGGGGCTCGTGTGGGAGCTCGGCGGGCTCTGCTTCTACCTGGACTCGGGTCTGGAGTAAGAGTAGCTGCTGTAGTCGTCACTGCGCGTGCAAACACAAACACAGAGCAGAGACACGTTTCAATGTGGCGGGACAGACAACGTGCGTGTGTTTGAGTGTGAGAGATGTCGACCGCAGCAGGACTGCTCACCTGGGGGTGGTGCTGATGGTGTAGGATGTGGTGCGGGTGGAGGGAAGATCTTCAGTGTACGAGCTGTAGCTGTCGATCAATGAAGCAGGATTGAGTTGTTTATGGTAAATTAGACATTACATTGTAATTCATATATCACGGTATTATTTTGTCAACGGGTTGATTATAACAACCATCAGCCTCAGCGGTACTTTATGTTTTCACTTCATTAGCACAAAAAAAAATCTGTTGTTAGTTCAAATAAGAAATTACTAATATTTTGGGTGTTATGTGTCTACATTTAACAATCTGCCATTCCCACATAATCTAGAGTGGATTACAGGTCATATTGTGGCATTTCTCTGTAAATAGACAATATTCTTCAGTTGGCGTCTGGTCCTTTCTGAGCAGTCAGCATATTTACCTGGTGGTTCTGGTGGAGGTCGGCGATGACAGACTTGGGCTTTTATCCCTAAATGACCGAAAAAGACAACGTCAGCAGAAATTGGTAACAACATTGAAAAGAACCAATATGCAATCCGGGCTTCTGAAATGCAGCTCTCACCCTCGGCTGCTCTCCACCGTGATGACCTCTCTCTTCGTGGTGATGCTGCTGCTGCTGCTGCTGCTGCTGCTGAGAGAATGACGACGCGATCATTTTAAATGATATTTCAATGCTTGTGTGTTGTGAGAAATATGGCTCGCTGAGACGTGTCACCTGAGAGAAGACGGCGGGTCAGATACATCCGTGATGGATCGAGGCAGGAGGGTGCCGTACAAGTCATCCTCAGGCCTGCAAAGCAACAGTATTATAAATACACGCCGATCATGAGTGCATAACGTATTTGATCAAAGTATATATGCCGGTGAAGGTTTATCTTACTTAGAGGAAATCGTTGTTGTGGTTGTAGTTTTAGTGCTATTTCTGAAAAGACAAGACCAAGGTCATTTTCATTTTTATCTTAGTGTCAGAGTCGCAGTTTAAAAAAAGTTTTCCCCTCAGCAACTCAACCATCAGTATACTCAGAAATATACCACATGTATGATTCATTTTCTAGGCTTGAGGAATGAAAGAATCACCTCTCTGTGGACGAGTAAACTTCCTTGCCAGAAGACGGGACGAGTGTTGTAAGAGGTTTGTCCTTGGCGCTGCACAGAAACACAGGTGAGACAATAGCCATGTCCAGGTTAAAGTGTCCTGAATGAGAAAGGGGTGCAGGAGGGGATTCGTCGGCACACACACAGCCTCCCTCCATTGGACCCACTACGGGAAGAAACTCACGCAGGGCTGCTTTTCACCGTCACGCTCTCAGACGTAAAGACGCTTGTTTTACTGTAAAAAAGAAAACATACCGTATTACAGAATATAATTCTGACCCCGCCGTGCGATGAAGAACGTTTTGGACTGAAGGAGAGTGTCACCTGTCCGTGGGCGAGGAACTGTTCTTGATCGCCGAGGGGATGAGAGTGTCATAAAGTTTGTTCTCAGCGCTGCACAGAAATACGGGGGAGATTGGAAGTGATGCATAGAGACAAGTTGTATTGCGTATTTCTTATTACTGTCAGAGATCTGCACATGTCTCACTCGTTACTGCTGGAAACAGACGTCTCGGGCTCTTTGGTGGTCCTGGTAGGTGAGTAGCTTGTGTACAGTGACCTGTGGGAAGGGACATTCAACTCAGTTTATACAAGCATTTACTCAAGTAATGTAGTTAGTTAGGCACAATTTTGAAATAGAGATTTAGAGATGCGTGTTTGCAGACTTAGTGTTATAAAACACAATGATTTGTTGAATATTGAACCAGCGTTTCACAGCATTCGTGTTGTTTTATATGTTCAATGCAGAGCTCTGTAATGAAGTCTTTCTGATGTCATGTATGTATGTATGTTACCCTTTGCTTGAAGACTTGACGCGGTCAGTGAACTTCGTGGTGGGACTTTGAACCGCTGGGACACTGCAAGAAAACACGTGGGTCAGTTTGGGACCAAATTGGGAGTTGCCGGGGCAGAAAGGGTGACGTAGCTGTGTTGTTATCAAAATGTACCTCTTGGTAGTAGGTGTAGTCGGGCTGGAAGGGAGGGCGCTGCTACTGGAGGAGAAGCTGTACTTAGCCACAGTTACTGCTTAAAGTTACTCACTCTTGACTAAAATGTTTTATGAGGAAAAGAACTGAAATAAATAGTGTACCGACCCGCTCCTCAGCTCATCCTGACTTCCACTGAATCTGCAATGACAGAAATCAAAATCAAACCGCTAAATAAAAACTGTTTTTCAAATACAAAAACATACATTTCTGCAGTAAAAAGGCACCAGAATATTTATTAAAACTGTACCTCTTGGTGAGAGCCTGCACAGATGTTGACCTCTTCGTGGTTACGGTGGTTTTAACTTCTCCTCCATCCGGACTGTGATCAGAAAACAAAAATGAAGAATTAACAACTCATTTGCCACAGTTAATAATAGTTTACCAGCATTTTGGCATTGGACTAATAACAAAAAGATGCTGTAGGGGTTCTAGGAGATGGAATATCTGTCTTACCCAACAGTGGTTTCGCTGCGTTGGCTCAGAACAGATCTGCCAAAGTTTGGGTCTCGGCTGGAGGAGGAAAAAGATTCAGATGAATTCACTCACAGAAGAAGACTCGGCACCCTTTTGCATGTGATTACGTCTGCGTGACTCACTCGATGTCCTCTTCCTCATCGTCTGCTTTTTTGATCCAGCTGCCGTCCTTCAGGAGAGAGGAGGACTTTCCTGCAAACACGAGAGTCGAGCCTCAACCATACGACGCTACTTGTTTTTGAATCACTTTGCAGCTATTCTTCTTTTGTTTGTTGCTAAGGTGCTAAAAAAGTTTCATTCATGAGACTCCCCGACACTGTTGCACATATTTACATATTTATATTCTATTTGTCACATTGTCAAAGTACAGGTACATTCAGCGTGGCATACTCTAAGAAATACTGATAAATGATAGTTTTTGGAAAAAAAGGGGCACTAGGAATTTGAGCTAAAATGGATAAAATCCAAAAATGAGCATCATGTAACAAACAACCTTTGCGTATTTCATGTAGTTGCAACCTCCCCAATTTTATTTTTTTTATTTCAACTCACCATTTGAAAACCTGCTCATTTTGTAGCTTCACCTGTAGGTGTGAGAGAACAAAGAGGGACTTGATCACAGAACGAAGGCGCACAGCGCATGCATCCACTAGGTGGTACTGCGGCCCGGGACGCGTCACGCTGGCTCCAACACTGTATCTGTCAAAGGTATCAACTAAAGTTCTGCTCAACCCCAGACTCACTGACTAAGCCCTTAAACTGGTTTGTCCTGATTTGTACCCACATGAAGACTCGCCTTCTCCAAACACTGCATTGTCAGCAAAACAGAGGGGCCAACCCCTGATTGATATGATCAATAATAAAGATTTAGCCCTTTTGACTACATAACAGCGCTGGGACGAACACTTCTATGTTAATGCAGCCCTTTCGCAAACATCGACGGAAGCTGTGACTTTAAATCCATTGTGTGTCTGTTCTCAGTGGCATAATCTAGTGTGCGATAATTGCTGTTACTCCCCATGTTATTCTGGTTTGGGTGAAACTGTTTGACTGGTCCACGACACGTACGCCAAGGAGTTTGGACGGATCTTTCCCAGGACTTTTTCCTATCTTTAGTAGAGAGATTACTACAATTTATTGAGTGTAATCTCCGAGTGTCTTCCCTTTAGTGAGCCTCGTAAAAGTGGAAGATTTACAGCTTTAACTCTTGAACATCACACAGTAATGATCCCGAATGTCATTTCCAGTAACACAATGCTTCTGATATCATGACTCAACCAGCGTCCGAGGTGAAACACTTGTAAAGCAATAAGAGTTGACAGCACGCTCGCACATGAATGTGTTTGTTATATCCTTAACATCAAAACCACAAGCATTTCATTCCTCAAAGTCACTCAAAAAGTAAGTAAGTAAAAAGTAAACCCCTTTAAGAATATTTATCCAGGACTATTGCACCTTTGTCTCAAAGAGCCCCGGGCTCCTTTCTAAGCCCTTAAAACCACTATCTGAAATGTCAGCACACAAATATTTACATGTAAACTGTAAAGTGAGAGTATTCGGAAAGCTACAGGGTACGTACCTGCAAACGGAACGACGTGAAACTCTGACAACAGCGCGGCTCTTTAACACCTGCCTGCTACTCGCGTTTGCTTTTAACCTGAAGGGAGGAGATTCCGAGGCCACCCACGGGTGTGGCATTAGGCAACAATCCAGAAATGATCTCTCCAACTCTAACTCGAGAATTCTCTCTTTCATTCATGGCTTGGGTTGTAAGTGGAATTGGGTGGGGTGCTGACAGACCTGCCATACAACTCAGGTACCGCGAAGCAGAACTGCAATGTGGGTGTGGGAGCGTCTCTGACCTTCTGGAGCTTCAAAATGAATGGAATTTGCTTTAGTCTCCTGTTTGAAAGAGTTTATATTTTCATATTTCCTGTGACATAATACCAGCAGCGCTGTAATTATCTATATTATCTGTATATGTATATATACATATTGATCTGTGGTTGACATATATGACTGACCTGCCTCAAGAATAAAAAAGGCCTCCTCTGCAGGTCTTACCTGCATCATTTATAAATATAACCGTTTAACACAACTCCTGGCTGAACTTCACACATGTATGCACATAAAAGTACTGTAAGAAAGGGGGGGGGGGATCTACTTGGTTTTCAAGCACATGTTCAAGTTATCGGTCTCTTAGGTCTGATGACTGAACTACTAACGCCATCCAAATCCGGCACAAAGGTGACAGGGTGTCTACTGACGCCTGAGTGAGCCTCACCACAAACTCTCTAACTGAACCTTCCACCAAGTAGCATCCAACATTACAGTTTGATTAAGCCAATTCAAAGGCAGGACTAAGTCAATTGCTTCATGACTGTTAAGGGTTATTCAGAGTTGCTTTAAGGCTGACGGCTCCAAAGTCATCAGGAGTCCTCGAAAAAGGTGTAAGCGAGGATACCATTTCAACGGTGAATGTCATGCTGTCTGTGATGGCGAGTGCCTCTGTGGGGTGTGCCGTGTCTTGAATGATTAAAGGTTTGAACTGTGCATAGCAGGCAGGGGTGGGACAGCGCAACACTGACGTGCACCCCTCCTAGTTATGACCGCTGCAGGAGAGGAATGCAGACTATCCGCACGGATCAGACTGCAACGCAAGTTTAATGGAGGGAAGGATCTGTATTGACAATGCTGAGTAAATAGCGAGTTAGAAAGAACTCACTATACAGTGAACCGTGCTCACTTCGGTCTAACAATACACTGATTTAAGACTTAGAAATGAACGTTCAGTCGCAAATGAACCGATGTAAAACTGAAATGTTGTCATTTTGGTATTGTTATCATTAAAAAGCCCTAGATTGAATCCCTGCATTCAACTATAAACCATCCTTTGGATGCATAAACGAAAGTGGAGTCTGGCACTTGGTGGCACTAGAACTGCAATGATGGAAATGGCCATGTTGGTTGTGCAACTCTAAAATAGATGAGTCTCACAAGATGACCAAGGTAATAAAGACCCTGATCATCTTACAGTCAGTTAGTCAAAGCAGCAGAAACGAGTGCAAACTGATCCATTGTGGTGAATATGGGAAGATCAAGATGTAACCCCAAAGAAAAGATGCATCTGCAAATAGTCGTCATCATCAGTCACATGCTTCTGAACTGTATTACAGTCAGTTGTGTTGCGTCAGGACAGTGGCACAGTTTCACATCCTTCCAACCACCCGCCTAGATTTTCTTTTATTTCCCGCCTCACTGGCCTGATGCGTGAAACTGGGCTCCATCTCTACCGGTTCAGCTCATGCATGTGACACTCCTGCATGGTCTATAGCATCATCTCGGCCTAGAACCCCCCCATTCCCCCACTTGTTAGAGAGTCGAGATCACCAGGCAGCGCTCTGTCAGGCTTCACAATTTACTGCCAAATCTTATTTATTATGTTCGAAAGGAGGCCCCACAAATAACACACGCTGCTTTTCGCTTCCAATATTTCAAACAGAAATCCTAATGTATTTATCCCTAAGTTTGATTGCAGGTCAGAGGAGCCGGTTGTCATGACGGATACATGCCGGCCCTCTGATACTGCGCAGGATAATGTCCCAGTGCTTCCAGGGTTGCTATGGGGGGGAGACAGTAGACCGACCCCTCGCTTGTCATTGGGCTGCTGCGCTGCCTGGCAGCCAATAAAGCAGCACGAGGGCCTCTGTAAATCTCTTTCTCCATTTCCCTCTACCTGCCTCTCTCCCAGTGTTATGCCTGCACATCCACGCGTACATACGTCTATACCACCAGAAAAAGGTGAAGAGGTTCAATTAAACGTAGACATTACAGACATTCACTATAGCATTTTGGAAATATGTCTTTGAAACCATCGATTTAGATCATATTAAATCTCCTCCAAAAATGATCTAAAAGAAAAAATTGGGAAGAACGACAATGGACAGACGTGCACCAGATGTTGTGTGTAGCCTTCGGACTGGTCCAACATGACACTATTACAGTATCAGGATGACATGGGACAGGTATACCTGTTTTCTGTGTTTACATTTGCATTGTGTTAAGCCTTTACTGCCATACTGGGTGTGAAACCAGTTTCTCACAGTTTTCCCCTTTGCAGTGTCCTGTCAGACGGTAAACTAGGCGGGTAGGACTTTAGGCAAAGTGTGCATGTTATAACTCACGAGGCCCTTCTGCATTCCCATGTAGTTTTTAGGCGTAGATAAAAAAACACCTTGCATCTGCTACCAAGTGTGAGTCACACCGTGCAGGCTAGCATCACCGAAGAAGCGTACCACTAAGATTTAATAAAAGATTGAATAAAAGACATCTGCAGCCTTTGTGCAAACCAATGACTTCTTCTTTAGGAGGCTGTGTGAGATCAAATGGCACCATTTGCAGTTACACGGTGCTCACTGGAGAGGGAACCGTGTACACAGTTCCAGCTTATATGTATTATGGAACAGTTTTGTTGCATGATAATAGCAGAGAGGAACGTGTGAGCTGTCTGAACAAAACACAACACTGCTGTCAAAGGTCAAACCTGAGGTTATTTTGCAGAGAACGTGCAATTGAATTGGTTTCAAAAGTATCACGTGTGCCAAATTAAGATCGAACTGGTGCATCTGCAAATGAAACAGTTCCAAACTGTGCGATGCGTCTCGCATGGAACATGCACATGCACGGGGAGGTGTGTTATTGAACAAACCGGAGATGGCATCGCCCGGCTTTATTCGTATGAGCGTTTCCCGGCATGCTAGCGACGCAGCGCTCCGCCGGGGAGGGGAGGGGTGATGGAGCTAAGATGGCAGCCCAACTGAGGGTGCTGCCTCTCCGGGGTCAAGAAAACACTCAAGGAACTCATCGGATCCGATCACGACGAGGCGCTTTGGGGAAATAAACATTTTTTTTTTTTGCAAAGGAAAATGTTGTGGCTTGCGAAGATCCGGAGACGAGGACCGCGTTGACGCCGTTGGCTGCGATCGGAAGACCGAACGCGGTAGTTGTGCCTCCAGATCGGCTTCACTTTGCTCTTATAACCGTGGACCGCGAGCGGTGATCGTTGTATTTCCACAACTCGGAACGGACAGACGATGTGACGCGTGGGGGATTTAATGACGTTTGGATCTCATCGGTCGGCTGGATATCATCTAACTGCGGTGTCTTTTGTGTGATATATGCATTGTTCCCACAAACGATGATGTGTGCTGCTGCGGCAGCGGCCGCCGGTGGGGGGCTTCTGCCTTCCTCCTCGCCGTCGATGGGGTTGGGTGTCAGGGTCATTTCTGGAGCAGGAGCCGAGTTCTCCACCATCGGTTCGGGAATGGGTTCATGCCCGACAACCGGAGCCCAGTCGGATTGTCGGACTCGGTACCAGCTTTTACTCTCAGGACGAGCCCTGGCCGAAAGGTACAGGCGGATCTACACAACCGCCATCAACGATAAAGAGCAAGGGGCAACTCCGGGAAGGTGAGTGGCTCACGAGGAGACGCGCACACGTCGCAGAGGCTCGTCTGTCATTTGTTGGGCTAACGGGGGCTAACGTAAGCTAACGGCAACCCTCGCTTAGCGACACGCCGGTTGACTTACGCCTTAAATGAACAGATACACGTACACATATATGGTTCTCGTGCTTGTTGGACCTTTGCCACGTTAGTCCACGTTTTATCTACGTTGAAGGTGCCGAGAGCTAAGTTACATCATTTGGGTGCATCCTCTTCATCGGGGGGGGGGCAGCTTGCTAAGTAGCATTTGACTTCCTTAGCTTATCGCAGCAAGCTAAGCTAACGCTGGTTCACCCTCGCCCGAGTTGTTTGGGGGGCTTTTGGACGTCGTGTGATGTTACAGATAGAAACATTGCCACCGGAATAATAACGTTCATACTTCGGCCGTTACGACACGAAGAAATGCACCATCGGCACCATCCAAAACAAGCCGAACGGCTAACTGTCAAACACCGTCCAGTCCAACGTTAGCTAACGTTCACTAACCGAGGCGCTGCTCGTGGTAGCTGATAACCTACTTCAATTTGTTCCTGAAAAAATTAAATAGGAACTCCCTGCGTTGGCACCATATTTCACGTTACTTCAAAATGTAATATTATTTGCTTTGAATGGGCTGTTTGTGTGCATCTAGGCCCATCGGCGTCACTGTTTCGACTGCTGGCTACAGACGTTGAGGCAGCATCAGTCCTCCTCTAAACGGAAACCCGCCGACTCGTCGTTTTTAAGAGAACCTGGATGACCTAACCTCTAATAACGTTATATGAAATCTATTATTGAACACAAGGCGTTGTTATGACACACGACAGCGTTCCCCATCGTAGCCCGATGGCGAGGATGTGTCGGGAGGGGGACGAACGGGTTCGCTCTACAGTTACGTCATCCTGCCTGTCAGGTCGTAGACCACAGCAGCTCGTTGCAGCATCCGACGGAGGCTCTCCACCCCTCCCCGGAGCGATGGCGTTCAGCTTGGGTCAATGCGCTGCTCAAGGGTCTACCGTCATCCCGTCGTTAGAACCAGGTGGTTCAACCTATTCATGATGTTATTTTGAACTACCATCTTTCTTCACGTATCTGGTAGTGAAATATGATGGAGCAGACTGGACTCTGAGCTCTACAGGAGGGGCCTGCTGGTATTTAGCTATATACAAGTATATAATATATGTATTTAGTATTATAATCATCAGATGGGCTTGTCCGTCAGCCTTACTTGGTATATTGTTTAAGTAAGTAGTAAGCCAGGATATCAGTTTGCCCTATTGGCTGAAGAACCTGATGCTACATTGACAAGCTATTAGAAATCAATATTCGGTTTAACTCTGGAGTAATTGAATTCAGCTATACATCTTCTTTTTATACTCCAGCCACGACAAAACTACCGTTGCGGATTAATAGTGCCCCCCCCCCCCCACGACTCCTCCCCCCACCCATTTAATCTTTTTAAGTAAGCACTGTAAATTGCTTTTCTGTATTTAGTAGAGTCTAGTAATGATGATTACTAATTCATGCACTGCCTCTCCTTTTTCAGTAGTTGTGTTTTTGTTCCCTGGCACATGTCATTGTCAGCTTTATTTCAAAGTGAAATGAATTATGCAAAGCCAATTTAAAACCCAATGAAGATTGTTTTAAAAGCACCATCAATTTCCTACAGAAACAAGCTTCTATTTGCTTTGGGTGTTTTTCAGTGGAGTAACACTGAATGTAATGACACATGCTAGACACGGCGGTATTCTGCTCTTTTGAAGGGCACACACACTTTGCCCGGTGCACAAAATGTAAACCGACAGTGAGATTTTACCAGCTATTCTAAACAAATGAACTGCAACACTTGTTAAAGACAAGGAGCTTTACCTTCCATTCTCCTCACATCATCGTAGTTAAAGTAAAGCATGTGATTCAGAAAATATACTTGAGTGCAGCAGTTACCTGCGGCCACAGTATGTTTTGAAATACTGAGCCATCACTGTCTACTTTCAGGGGAAAGAAGGCTTTGAGTAAGAAGAAACTGAAAAGGCGACAGAAGGTCAAGTCAAAAGTCAAATCAAGAACAAAGGTAAGAAATGCACGATTGTCCAACTCATTATCTTGTTCTTTCGCGTATTGTGCCTATTGCTGTATTTATATTTGGATATTATTAATGCATCCATTTGTTAAGTGTTGTAAAGTCAAGGCTACTTTGTAGAATGGCTGTTTTTAAAAACCATTAACCCGAACTATTAACGCCCCTCAAAGAAAACACAATACCATTTTTGCAGTGTTAAATCACAAACCGGTGCAGTATTTGTGCGACATAGTCATGCCTAATATCCTCAGTACTACTTCAAGCATTGTCATCAAATATATAAACATATATCATTCAATCATTAGAAATATTTTGCATTTCCTCTCTAGCAGAATAAAAGTAACATGACTGAATGTTTTAATCTGCAATCGCCGTCGCCTCAGGTGTGCACTAATACATCCTCACAGCTGGTTTGACTCTACTGAATCAAATGAACAGGTAGATGATGATGTTAAAGATACGGATGGATTCCTTAAGATCCCAAAGCTGTTTGGCAGATTCATTGTTGTCATCGTCGGTGGCTGGTCAGGTGCCAGGAAGCCCGTCCTAACACGGAGCCTGAGAGGTGGGTAGGCAGGCCGAGACACATGGGAGTGGCCCCGGCTTGTGCGTGATGGCCTGTTGCCGAGCAACCTAATGTGTTCCCTATCTCCATGGCAACGGCGGCCTGCCTCCATCTCCTTCATCCAAAGAGGGGACCTAGTCTGCATCAGTGAATGTGGTTGTGGCTAAATAAAATAGAGACATGATTATATATATTTATGTATATATACACGTCATGCTACTGTGAATATGTATACATATATGTGCAGCTAGAGTTCAGCTTTGAAATTGAATCTGCAGTGTTAGTTTCACACAAGCACCACATAAACACAAATAACAAGTTCAGCTCCAAGTAAAATACATGTTGACATGAACGAGATTGCAGGCTTAAACAAACATTGCATCAACCCAGGCTTTGCCCTTCATTGCCACGATAAATACAAAATTATTGTTTTTAAATTAACCAGTTGGTCATAAAATGTCATTACTGCATTTTCTCATCAAATTGAAGGATTTCCCAGCTGTTCTTTCCTGAGGGGAGGAAGAGCGTCAGCCAGCTCTGTGGTTGGGCTGTACAACTGTTAGCTCGTGTTTGGGTTTAATTACAGGCGAAGGCAAAAGAGATTAATGTGATACTAGCCGAGATGGGCCGAGGCTCTAGGGCTGTGTCATCGCTCACCTCAAAACTAATGCAAGGCAGCAAATTCAGCGTAGCGCGGCGTCGTCCTCCTCAGGTTGACGCGTGGAGACGGAGCACGGACAACACTCGCAGCAGGGCATATAAACGTGTGCCGCCACACAGGCAGGGGTGCTGTATTTGGATGTGTTGTTGCTCTCGCCTCTCATACCGGCATTGTCAGACAGGAGCGTGGATTGAAAGAGCCTCTCCTCTCCCCCTCTCTGCTTCTGTGCTCACGGACACAGAAAAACACACACAGCACAAACACTTCTCATCCTAATGAAGAGGCTGATGTAACGTCTTGTGTGCGAGCAGATTCAAACGCTGCAATTATGTTAAGTACTTATTGGTACAATATGATACACGCAGGAGGACAGCGTCCGAAATCAATGTCCGATCTATGTAATCAAAACCATCTATCAAATCTACCTGGCGTGAATCTGTTACTTTGACATTAGGGTGAAGCCAACTGCTTTCATTATAAAAATAAAAAAAAGTTTGCTACAGTGGGCTACTTTTTTCTGTTGAGTTGTTTTTGAAATGCAAGATTACCAGGCTTTGTTTTCATCCCAGCATCAGAGTGAGACTCTGTGCCTGTCTGGATGGATGGATGGACAGACGGACAGGCGCTGTCATTTGGTCCGCCTTTGGGTGTGGTGGTTAGCACGGTCTCCTCTTACAGCAAGAAGGTCCTTGGTTCAGAAGCACCCAGCGGCTCTTCTGTGTGGAGTTTGCATGTTCTCTGCGTAGGTTCCCTCCCTCAGGGCCAGTTGGTGATTCTAACTCGTCCGTAGATTTCACAATTCATGTCACTTTTTAAAGAGTTGATTCAAAAAAGTGGCTTCATAACTAAAAAGACTTGACTAGTAATGACTCTATAATCCTCCTGTTGATAAATGCATATTTGATTCTCCGATGAACTGGTGCAAAGTTCTATTAGTGAGCCTGAGCCACTGCTTTGGAAGGCGTCACTGTTCTCTGCCTTTTTCCATAAAGGCCTGACTGAACTGTGTTGCTGTCTTAAGTGTCTCCATGCCAGCCTTTACCAAAGCTTTTAGATCCCCATTAAATCATGAGTGCAGATGGAAGCACCCAAAGAAACATCCCAATGAGCAGCATATTCTGGATTTGGGTTGTGGCTCGGTGCTGTTACAAAGTGAGAGCAAACCCACAGAACACGAGCAGGTCGGCGTGCATTGCATTGATGCTTATGTACTTATTATGACATCACCCCAACGAGCCCCTTCCACTGAAACCGTTCTGATGCCTGGTTCTGTCTTGTAGTGAAACCGGTCAAACAACACTTCCTATTTGCACGAAGATGTGACCTCTCAGCAGTTTAACATATCTGATGTGGCCGCTCCTTTTTGTACAACTATGCACAGGACAAAGGCGCGTTGTGCGTGCGTCAGACGAGTTGTTGGGATACAAAAACAGTGCGCGAAATAGGGGGGCGGTGCTGGGGGAGGAGAGGATGGTTATTCTGCGTGGGTGTCGTCACAGCATCGTGTGTGTGTGTGTCCGTGTGTTATACACACATACAGTCATCGGACACTTTATCAGGTTCACCTTGCTTGTAAAAGGTTGGACCCCCTTTTGCCTTCAGAACTAATTCTAGTTCATTCTTTGTACCGTACCGTACATCCAACAAGGTGTTGGAAACATTCCTCAGAGGTGTTGGTCCATGATGACATGCTACTGCATGATAGCATCACGCAGTTGCTGCCGATTTGTCGGGTGCACATCTATGATGAATCTCCCGTTCACATCCCAAAGGTGCTCTATTGGATTGATCATTGTCATGTTCAAGAAACCAGTTTGAGACGATGACGTGAGCTTTGTGACGTGGTCTCTGTTTCCCGTTCTTAGCTGACCGAGTGGAACCCGGCGTGTCTTCTGCTGCTGTAGCCCGTCGTCTTCAAGGATCCACGTGTTGTGCGTTCAGATCCGTTTTTGGAGATGTGTTTCCTGCGTATTCCTTGGTTGTAACGAGTAGTTCTTTGAGTTCCTGCTGCCTTTCTATCATCTCCAACCAGCAGGCCCACTCTCCTCGGACCTCTTGCACCAACAAGGCATTTCTGTCCACACAACTGATGCTCACTGGATATTTTCTCTTTTTGGACCATTCTCTGTAAACCCAGACATGGTTGTGTGTGAGAATCCCAGTAGATCAGCAGGTCGTGACGTACTCTGACCAGCTCGTCTGCACCAACAACTATGCCACTTAAATCCCCTTTCTTCCCCCAATGTGATGCTTGGTTTGAACATCTGCAAGTTGTCACCACATCTACACGCCTAAATGCATTGAGGCCATGTGATCGGCTCATTAGCAATTTGTGTTAAGAAATAATTGATCAGGTGTCTCTAATAAAGTGGCCGGTGTGTGTGTGTGTGTGTGTGTGTGTGTGTACATACATAAAAGAAATGCCTTATTCTCTTCCTTCCCTTTATAGATTTGGCCTTTATGGGTTTTTAGCATATTTAAGTTTCAAATGGTCTCAATCAGTCCCCAATGCTCCTGTAGCAGCAAGACCGGAGTCCGCTAACGTCCTCCCCACCGGTTTGAGCTGAGAACAAATGACCTTTTTCCCCAAATAGATGACATCACCTCCTGTGATTGGGATGCCAAAAGCGCAACGCTGCAAGAGAGGCCCGATGGATCAATAGGATTCTCTAGAGGTTGCATCAGGACTGTGGTTAACAATGCCGTGGTGGGACGGACAGCTCAGATCACAGGACTGTCTGGATGAAAGGGCTGAATCTTTGTAGTGATTATTTTATTAGACTTCATCCCTTCTGGCTTTTCTTCATCATTTATATCAAGGCTATATTTCCCCCAATGGACGGCAATATAAATACATCCATGACGGTGACTTAACGGTTATCTATGTATCACATGAGCAGTGTTAAAACAGTATGGCAGCAGTGACCTAATCTGACCTGTGAAGCCTGTATTTGTCGTACCGATAATATTCTAATCAATATCTTTCAAAGGTTTGATTCTCTTTTTAAATTTCCATTCAGTTAATTGATCACAACTCTTTCTCTCCCATGTTTTGTTTTTTTGCTGCACCGGTTATGTAAAATGTTGAGTAAGCCATTTCGTAACAGTGGAGACTGTTGAGCTGATCTTGAAATGGGTAAAACACTCGCCCAGCCCTCTGTGTACAAAAGGGAGCTTCCCGAGGAGTCTCATCCCACTAATGTGTCCCTGCCTGGACCCGACGCTCCCGCGTCTCCACGCCGTATGTCTTTGTTAAGTCCACTGTAACGCTACGGTCTGCCCGCAGCGCCGCATAGGAAGCTCGGCCTCCGAGGACGCTCCACGTAGAGCCACATGAGAAATCTGACCAATTATCGAGGTCAGTGGGCACTAATCGCTTTGGTTAGTGGACGAGCACTTAGGCCGCTGCATGAGTCATGCGCAGTCCAGAGACCCATCCCCAAGCGGACGCTTTCACGCTGCCTGTCCACGGGACAGTGTGTCTGCACCCGTTTCAGACGAGATGAAGCGCTGCTTTGTCCAGAATAACGAGCAGCTTCATGGAGGAAACAATCCCGTCACTTTGTTTCATTTAGTTTTATGTTGTGTCTCACCGGGGGACCACAAGGCAAATTTCAATACGATGACCTTAAAGCTACTGTGAGGACATTTTAAGAGGTTATGAAAATGTCTCAATTTAACACCAAGACCCTTTTTGCGACCCGCAAAATCACCAAAATCAACACATGAAAGTAACTTGTTAATCTGAAGTGGCCCAATGGAACTGAACCTCATGTATAAACAAAACAGACTTTACAATTAGACATACTGCTAATGAATGGCCGTTGCTGTTTATACACCATTATTGTGTGTTCTAAATAGCTCATCTTTGCACTAAATTATCTTAAGATCTGCTGACGCCCTCACCTTTCTCTCCCCCACAGGTTGACAGTCTCGATGGAGCCCTCTGCGTGCCGGACATCAAGCTGCACAGCAACCCATCCGCTTTCAATGTGTACTGCAACGTGCGGCACTGTGTGCTGGACTGGCAGCAGAGAGAGGCCTCCCTCGTGCTGGCCTCCCGGAGCTCCGTGCAGAGCGGCGACTCCGACAGCGAGGAGGAGGAAGAGTACCGCGAGCCCGCCGTCAAGCTGCCAAAGGTACGAGCTGGTGCTGGTGCTCGGTACCGAGGGGAGAGGCTGTGCCCTTCATCTCCCCGGGCGGGTGTCTAGTACTCATCATTAGAGTCCCTCCACAAGAGGTCTGACACCCTGTTTGTGTGAGGATTACAGCCTCATCCCTCAGCCCTCTCTTCTCTCTGTATCTCTTACTCCCAGCGGTCAGCTTCCTACTTCAAATCATACCAGCACTAATTAATGGACATGCAAAGAGACCCATTCATTTTTTATTTTTTTTAAAGAGCTTTGGATCTCTCGCTCTCGCTCTGCAAAAAGCGGTTTAAATGAACGACAACAATAAACAAATGCTGATCAAGAGTTTTGTCCAAGCAATTTAAGGTCGCGATTCTTGTCCCAAATGTGTCAGGCTTCATTCAGTGATTGAAACTGAAAGTTTTACAGTTCCGACATTGAACGCTCCGAGCGAGCTGTGCTGTAAACACCAAACTGTACCTTGGCATGAAACGGCAAATACCGTAATCAAACCAGTGCATGAAGCTGTTGTAGCCGATCTAGTCTATTTTATTCATGCAGTATACAGTCAGTACTCAGGTTTTTTTTTTTTACATTCAAATATTAATTTTCACATTTGAATAGTTGTTTTTAACAAATTTGGAAATAGAATATTCGTTGACAGCCCTACTGCAGACTGCTCATGCGAGGCTTCCAACCTGCTCAGATCATATGGACACGAAACCTGTTTCATGAGTTACGTGGACCAATACCAACACCAAGATGTCTGTCATCTTATCAGTCGATACGTTCTTTGAAAATGACTAAAAATGTAGTGCTCTCTTTCTCTCTCTTTTTCTCTCTGTCATTTAAATTAATTTCCTCAGTGGGAAAAAAAGCCTAAAAATACAAAAGGTCAATTATCTCTCGCTTTCTGGCCTCTAGTTGTAGACAATTACAGCTGTCCAATTGGATGACAGTAATTGTTTTAGGATTGCTTGTGTCAGCCTAGTGTCCACCGTCAGTTATAAATCAGAATTGTTTGTTTTTAGGTACACAGTGAATGCAGTTAGTGCCGCAACGCACACAAATCCACACGCACCAATTCATCAGTTTCACGTAATGAAAGGCAGATGTTTGCTTGCATATCAGTATAAAAACAGAGAGAGAGCTGAAAATGAGCTGAACTAGTCTGAAGTTGTGCTAGATTTATGTTTCTGCTTTATTGCACCAAGTCCCTCAATGAGATTTGAGGGAAACGTTGAAGCATAATGTGATTCTGACACAGCATCCCTTTCTAAGCCAAACTGCTTCTCCAGCCTGCCGACCCCGTGGGTCTGTTACCCAAGATGCTAATAGTGGATGTTGAAAGCCGAGGTCGTAACCTGTACATACTGAGAACCTCCCTCTCCTAAACTTAGTGTAGGTTCTTTTAATGTAGGATGACATGTCATTAAAACCATCAACCCCTTTTTTTTGATCGGTTGTTTTATTTAGCGGTTGCAAATCTCAAGGGATTGTTTTCTACGTTGCCGCAGCATGTCTGTACTCTTCATCCTCATTTCGCGCCGTGAAGCTGCATCCCAGCTGCTACTTTAACCAGACTGCCAACTTCACAGTGTTCTTTAACTCACAGAAAATGTTCTTTCTGTGCGTGTGTGTGTGTGTGTGGTGCAGATCATCGGCATCGGCCTGTGTGGGGTGTTTGAGCTGATAAAAGAGACTCGCTTCTCTCACCCCTCGCTGTGCCTGCGGAGCCTGCAGGCTTTGCTGGACATGCTGCAGGGACAGCAGCCTGAGGGCTTTCAGACGGAGCCTCCCGATGTGCTGGGTAAGGCTCGGCACGCTTGTGACGCTTCAAACGTTTCAAAGATGTGTTGTTGCAACCTAAAGATGGGACCGTAGATAGCACTCCCGTACATTCTTCTCTCCCCCAGACTCCCTCTTCCAGCTGTTGTTGGAGACCACGGTCCGCAGCACGGGGCCCAACGACCCGACGGGACAGGCCATCACCGCCCTGTCCTGCGCCTGCCTCTTCAGTCTGGTGGTGGCCTGGGGAGACACCGGCAAAATCCTGCAGGCCGTCTCTGCCATCCTCACCAACAACGGCAGCCACGCCTGCCAGACGATACAGGTAGTTAACCAATTTGCACAAAGCAGACACCTTTATCTCTTCAGAGGAGTGCCAGGTGCTCCCGATCCCTGTGATGGATGAGGCACAAAGCTGGAATGACAATGGATAGCTGTGTACATGACAGGCCTGAACGAGACCAATGCCACCTTTCATCACTATTGTAAATTAGCGCAATTAAGGCCCCAAAAAAACCCATTCTAACTGTATGCGTCCTTCCGCGTGTCCCACATAGAAGCCGTGCTTTCAGAAAAGGAAACTTTTTTTTAAAACGGCAACACGAGCTGTTGATGCTGAGACACCCGAGGGTCTTGCTCACTGACAAGAATGAAAATTCTAGACACCTTTAGACTCTGTTAATACATTTAAAATGATATTTAGCTGCTATTTTAATTATTGAGTCGGATTATGTTGACATAATTATGAAGTGTAATTTCTAGGCTTTCAAAATAAGCCTTGCGTCAAAATAATGAAATATACAATGGGTTGGGACCCCTACGACTGGTCTGGAGCAGTTCTACGTTGTGCTGATACCCGTGAGAACATTCTGATTAGGAGAATGCCAGCAAATGTGGCAGTGGTCCTTTTCATACATCCCCCCATTGGATGTTTGGACATGATTAGACCCTTTGCACCAGGAAATGTGACATAAGCATTCAAGTTTGTCCTGCGTATCAAAGGCTTTGGATCTCCAAAGTGCTTTGCAGAAGGGTAAAGTAACCTCTGGCTCCGCCAGGCACGTCCTTTGAACACAGACACTGCACGCCACAAATTGAGTTTTAGAAAATGTCAGGCTGCATTGTCTGTGCCCTTCACCGTATTCTGACGCCAGTGTAATCCCGGCTCTTCCCCTCTCAGCTTCCTCTTTATACTCACTTTATTTAGTTATTGCTTCCGCGTTATATCAAAATCCATTTCCTAAGAGTTTAGTTTAGGAGCACGTTAAACAATAAGCATATTTCCCTTGAGTGGGAGTGCTGTGTGGCCGTAAAAATGTTTTACCCGCATAGAGATCAGATGACTACAGGCGTGTGTTTCTGTGTGGGTGTGGCTTTTTGCTTGTTCCTCCTAATAACTGGACTCTGAATCATCACATATAGCTGGCAGGAATTGAGGGCTGATGTGCGGTACGTGTGTGTGTGAAGGGTGAGAGCATCAGCGCGTTTTTATTTCATTTTATAAAGGATGTGTGAAATGTGTTTGTGTTGAAATGCAGAGCGAAGAGAGCTGATATAAATGGGTTTGAGTTTGCAGCAAAGCCACCTGGTGCATAGTCCAGCGGGAAAACACCCCCGTAATGCTTCAGTGCAGCTCTGCTAACTGCCTTCTCCTTGTCTCCATCTCACCAGGTGCCCACCATACTCAACGCCCTGCAGAGGAGCGTCCAGGCAGTGCTGGTGGGGAAGATTCAGATCCAGGACTGGTTTGGGAACGGCATCAAGCGCGCCGCCCTCATGAACAAGTGGACCCTGAAGGAGGTGGCCATCGACGAGGACGAGCGCTGCCTTCTGCAGACCGACGGCTCCTTCCTCTACTTGCTCTGCAAGGACGGGCTCTACAAAGTGGGCTCTGGGTACAGTGGCACCGTCAGGGTACGTGACACGCAAACTGCAATGTGATTGCCAGAACGTCTCCCCGGTTTGAGTATTTAGCCATTCAGGGGCTGTTTGTGCCTTGAGAGGGAAATATGATTTATTCAGAAATGAATCAAATATAAAGAGGACTGTGGTTCTTGGCTCGGGAGAAGTTCACATGTGTTGTTACCTCTGTGTCACAGGGCCACGTGTACAACTCCACGTCTCGTACCAGGAACCGAAAGGAGAAGAGGTCGTGGCTGGGCTTTGCTCAGGTTGGTAGTGGAGCTTTCACCGAGATGCTGCGCACATCTCATGTGAATCAACGGCTGCTTCCTTCAGTGTAGGACCCACGAGGAACCACTGAAGACGCTATCGTCCTTCCTGCCGGTCGATCAGCCGCGTTGTTTCTTTTGTGTCTTTAGGGGTACCTGTTGTATCGGGACTCAAGCAACCACACCATGTCGGCCATCAAGATCAACCCTGAGACTCTGGAGCACGAGGGCACCGTCACCATGCCAGGTTCTGAGAACACACTTTTCGGGCTTGCTTGTGTGAAAAAGAACCCGCCTCATTGGACTTAGGTCATCTAAATTCCAACTAACGAGATGTAATTCCCTCTGCTTCGCTCTGCAGGTCAACATTCAGACGGACAGAACATCATCTTTACAGACGGAGAGTACATCAACCAGATTGCAGCCTGCAAAGACGTACGTCTGATTTTCTTGATCTTCATCACCATGACAACAACCTGCATTATCTTTCTCAGGCATTTCAAGGAAAAACGTTCTCAACGTGAACTTGAATGAGTATCAGTTGGGAAAGCCAGCAGTGTTTTCTCTCCTTGAACCGCGTACTGCCCACGTCCGCACGTATCAGCTGCGTCTCTATGAGCCTGGCTGCAGCCAGACACACTGCATGTTCTGCTGCGGGCTTAATAATAATAATCCTGCTCAATACTTTGGACCACTGCTCGGCGCCAGCACATGCGTCAAAATAAATCCAAACGTGCGCCCGGATGGGGAATCGTGTGCGGTGACTTTTCTAAGGGATTCGACCAGCCGTTCAAGTGCATCCACTTAAAGGCGGTTTCGACGAGAGCAAAAAGATCGTTATGCCCATAGTGACTCGCCATACTTTAACGTGGAGAAACGATACAAAGTTTGAAACGTCTCGAGTTTATTTGGCCAATCGAAATTTTGATGACTGGCACAGTCTTCATGTTGTTCAAGGTTAGGGACGTTTTGGGGCAGTTTCATAGTTCATAATGGGTGTGAATGGCTAGAGTGAAGAGCCAACTGCCAGAATGAGAGGGAGCAGAACGTTGTAAAAAAAAAACATCTAATTATGCCTTTAGTCCCCCAATTTTTACTCTTAATACGCCATTGATTGATGGACGTAGGAAAAATGCTCGTCCTCACACGCGTCCATGGAATCCAACAGACTTTTTCTGTCAAAAAACCTGAAAGCAACATGAACTCCAACCAGCTTTATTGGAATCCATGTTAAATCTGTTTTCTATCATGAAATAAATGGGGAAATAGCGCTGTCTATATAAAATCTGTCTTTAAGCTCTCAGTTCTACACCCCACAAACATCCAAGACATGTCTGAGTCTTATCTTATCTCTCTTATGAGTCATATATTTTTGTGTCCCGAGTCATGATTTTGGATAAAAAATCACAGTCCAATCCGCCTCTTACCCAGGTGCTCAGTCACCATGACAACCAATGACACACACACACACAGAGGCAGGCAGGAGCAAACTGACAGTCGTCAACGACATGGCGGCTTCGGGGTCGCGGCTACACCCTTGATGTTGAGATCACGTCAGACGCACGAGTGACACCACCGCTGTTGGAAGCATTCTAATCCGCTTCCAGCTCTCATCCGGAGCTACAAGTCAAATGATCGGCTGTTAGAGGTCGCGGCAGCCGTCAGCGTTCCTCACACGCAAACACACACAATTGTTAACATTTTTCCTACTTTGCAACTGTAGACTTTCATTCCTCTTTAAAGCGGTAGCTGTTGCACTGCTCCGGGAAGCATCTGTCTCTTTCTCTCGCCGTAGAGGCTTCATCCTCACATCTCAGCTGATCACCAGCTGTGCCACTGAGTGGGGGGGGGGGAGGTATGAGCTGTGTCCGTGGGTGTGGCAGCAGATGAGGGTATTCTCCAGAGAACTTGATCTCTCAAGCAGTTATCTGCATAAGCAGTATGTAACGGAGGTGGGGGCGGGGAAGACGTGGGATCCATATAGCTGGCCTGACAGCAGTCTCTAGGCTATGCAAGGGGACAGGATGTGGGGGGGCTCTGGAGCTGCTTGCATTTTTTTGTTGTTGTTGGTGAGCAGCCAGCAAATGCAGCCAAAGGGGAGACCACTCATTGGTTGAGGAAAATCACAAGATTTTCCTCCCGATCGATCCTTCTTTACACCACTAGAGGCCTTGCCTCCATCCTACCACAGCGTCTCACACCCCCGAGAGGCGGGTTTGGAAACCATAACTAGGACACTCCCGTGTCCCGCAACGTGTCCTTCGCTCACCTGTCCTGTGATTTATTTATTTTATTAATTATCTGGGGGGGTTAAAACTATGTTGCTGTTTATATTCTGCAACCAATGCAGGCCTCGCGACTTGGAGTTTCTTCTTTTTGACCGTCTGGGACATGAATCCTGGCTCAATTCAATCAGCGGTTGATGGTGATTTAACTTTATCAGATCTCCGTACAATCGTTTTGCTCAAGACCTCAAGAAGTGGCCCTCTTTTGGACGTGATTGTTCAGAATTGTTCCTGGAGCAGTCAGGCCCTTCTCCTCAAGGGCATCCAGAGGACTGATGCTGGTGAAACACCAGTCAAAGAAGAGCCGTGTTCCTCTCGCGCATAACTGAATTTCCACCCATTCCCATATGCTGGATTCGAGCAAATGTCGTCTTTCCCATGTAGGTCTCAAAGTCCAACACTAAGCCACCTGGACCTGCAAGAACGAGCTCCTTTAATCTGGTCGGTTTCCCAGGCTGAATGGAACCATCTCTTTAATCTGCATTCAATCCATCTAGACCAATTAGGGCCTGGGGAGGTCAAGGCAACAGTAGGACTTTCTTCAGAGTTGGTCTGACTTTCGAAAGGGATCATTGACCACCTTCAGTGAAGATCTGATCTTGAAACTATCTCGTGTCATGGAGTCGGCTATTATCGGGACGCTCGTTTTGGCTGTCCAATACATTTGAATTCATGGCATCCAAGGCACGCCATGTGCACAGAGATCTCTACAAAGGTCTCTTCTGTTGTGTTCCAGCTGCAGCCTGAATGAAGTACCATGCGTTGGTTGCTGAAGAAGGGCTGCCCATTAGTTCGTTCCATATCAATGAACTGCTGAGAGCTCTACGGCTTATTCTGTGTTCATTCAACAATGGCATGAGCGTATTTATTATCATGGAATAAATCTCTGTAGTTTATCCTTCCATTTTTGTTCTAATTAATAACCTCAGATCTCTACGTGTTGGTGCATCTAGCTAAACTTCATCTGGCTCTTCACCCAAGCTCTCACCCTTTCCTGTCTCGGCTATTGAGCTCTCCTCTGTGTGTTGGTGGAGGTCTGAATCTCTACACAAGGATTCCATACAGCTCTACTAAAAAAACAACCAAAACAAAGAACCTAACTACAAAGTGAAATAGAGCACAGTTGCTAGATCTTTCCGTGACCTCAGGATGTGTGTTCATCTAATGCATATGTTGTGTGTTACCTCATTCCCCACTAAAGTCACTTTCCCATCTGCAGCGTTCTGATATCCTCACTGTACCCTTCACACATTATTGTGTGTAAAATTAATCAATTGACGATTTAGGAACGCGATAAATCATTTCTAATCCCTCATGCAAGGGGAAATTTAGTTTGTCACCAGATTGAATTTTTCCCTTTTGAGAGCTGATTTGGCTCTGATTGAGTGAGGCGATGTGTTTTCACTGAGGGACCGCCTGTATCCTGTAAGTTGTTTCCTGGCCTGTTGAGTGCGCACAGCGCAGCAGCGAGTCGTGAAGCTGACCCGTGCTTCCTCCTGTCCTGCAGGACGGTTTCGTGGTGCGGATCTATACCATGAGCTCCGACCCGGCTCTGCAGCAGGAACTGCAGCTGAAGCTAGCGAGGAAATGTCTGCACGCATGCGGCATCTCTCTGTTCGACCTGGAGAAGGATCTACACATCATCAGTGAGTGACGGAAACATGCGTATATCTGTGGCGTGCTCTCGGTTACAATTGTGTCAGAAGTTGTTCCCAGATGAATAAGGGGAAAAAAAAACCTTGTCTAACTTGTGTCCTCCCAGGCACCGGCTTCGATGAAGAGGCAGCGCTGCTTGGAGCTGGCAGAGAGTTTGCTTTGATGAAAACCGCCTCAGGAAAGGTGAGATGGAAGAATTGTGAATGTATTTCTTTGGGATGGCTCGTTGTCTCTGCGTTGTTTGTTGTGCTCTGGAACATATGCGTGAGCTCTGTATCTGTAGAAGTCTTTCACCCGGCTAAGCTCAGAGAGCGTAACATCACACGCGTGTATTTACATAACGGTATAACCTCTCTTCGTGTCTGGGTGAAGAGGAATCCACTCAACATTGAACATTCTGGCTGTAGTGAAGTCGGCGTTAGGCGCGGCTGTCAGAAAATGACTTGATCTTCGCCTCCTCGTTGTTCTGGCCCCTCTGACTGAATCACTGGCCTCACGCTGAGAGCTTTGCAGACGTGACTGTCTCAATGATTTACTGATGGAAGCATCATCATGATCAAAGGATTTTACAAAATGGAATCCAAACTATTTTTTAAGGCTTCAGAAACCGGACTTCTTAAATATTGTTGTTTTGGGTGTGTGAGAGATACTAGATGTGTGTGTGTGCTGTAGGTGTGGTGCGCTGGGCCTTGTATATAGATAGCAGTCCGTGGCAGTTGCACATTGGTGTGTCTGTATGGACACAGCCTAATCTCAGCGCACACTTTATCTACAGATGACTTAATCCGGGTGGTAAAAATAGGCGTCTTGGCACAAAGCGCCCGTGGCTTGAACGTTATGCCGCACATTTAGAGTAAAAAAAACAAACGGCGTGTTTATGGTTAACAAGCAAAGATTTTTTTGTTCTGCATATTATCTCTTATAATAATGTGAATGTCCGAGCATTTCAGTTGTAGAAAGATACAAGATAGATACAGATTAAGATGACTGCGCCTGACCAAGGCCACAAAGAGCCTCAAACCTGTGTCCCCCACAGACTGAATGGAGAGACAGACAGTCCGAACAAAGCGTCTTATTATACAAGTGTCTTATTTTGTGACATGTATTTATTTGTGTATAGAAATTGTGAGCCAATTAGTTTCCATGGACTAGCAGCCGTTGACGCATATGATGTGATCATTAGAAACTTTGCTGTCGTCTTTCTGTCAATGAAAAGGAAATTCTTTAAAAGGAAAAAAAAAAAGTCCTAATTTTGTCCTTGGGTTTTGTTAGACGTTTAATAATGTCCTGACAACTTTGGACATATCATAGTCCAAACAAATACTGTAGATCCAATAATCCCCAACAAAACAGTTCCTCTTTCCTCATCTTCCCCTTGCAGATCTACTACACGGGGAAGTACCAGAGCCTGGGTATAAAGCAGGGCGGCCCTTCAGCGGGCAAGTGGGTGGAACTGCCCGTCACAAAGTCTCCCAAAATCGTCCAGTTCTCGGTCGGCCACGACGGCTCTCACGCACTGCTGGTGGCCGAAGACGGAAGCGTGTTCTTCACAGGCTCCGCCAGCAAGGGGGAGGACGGAGAGTCCAGTAAGAAGATTCCTTCTTTTACGAAGTGCTGAATCAAAGACGCCCCGGCTGAAGTGCTGATGTTGATGCCTGTTTTTCTTTTCTTTTTTCTCGCAGCTAAAAGTCGCAGACAGCCCAAGCCGTACAAGCCCAAGAAGATGATCAAATTGGAGACCAAGACGGCCGTGTACACGGCATGTAACAACGGCAGCAGCAGCATCGTCACCAAGGACGGAGAGCTCTACATGTTTGGCAAAGATGCCATTTACAGTGACAGCACTTGTGAGTTGAATGGGAGAGGGCCGTTTCTGCAACCTCACTTTCTCCGATACATTTCAGTGGTGTCTTTGATAATCCTGGATCTAAGTATTTTACAAAGAATATTTCTTCATAATCGTCCACAGGCCAAGTGACGGACCTGAAGGGCCACTCGGTGACTCAGGTTGCCATGGGGAAGGCCCACACGTGTGTTCTGACCAAGAGTGGTGAGGTGTGGACATTTGGCGTGAACAACAAGGGCCAGTGTGGCAGAGAGACTGGATCCATGACGCAGGCAGGGAAAGGTGAGTAGATGCACAAAAACATACTGTGTATTGTGTGTTAGGATTAGGGTAACGTCGTCTTACTGCGCTCAATCTGATGTTTTATTGAAGCGTTCGGTGTGGAGAGCATGGCTACGGCCATGGATGAGGATCTGGAGGACGAGCTGGAGGAGAAGGAAGAGAAGAGCATGATGTGCCAGCCGGGCATGCACAAGTGGAAGCTGGACCAGTGCATGGTGTGCACCGTGTGCGGAGACTGCACCGGCTACGGTGCCAGCTGTGTCAGCAGCGGACGGCCGGACCGAGTGCCAGGAGGGTAAGGACGCACCGAGAAGTTCAGGGTGGTGACTGCAGTATCCGTACAGCACGCACATTCATCAACTGGTGCTGTTGAGAGCCAGAAGTTGTGCACATGACCGGGGACGTGGATGATAACGTGTTTGTCCGCCTGTCTCCCAGGATCTGTGGATGTGGGTCTGGAGAGTCCGGCTGCTCGGCCTGCGGCTGTTGCAAGGCCTGTGCCAGGGAGCTGGACGGTCAGGAGGCCAGACAGAGAGGCATCTTTGATGCAGTGAAGGAGATGATTCCTCTGGACCTGCTGCTAGGTATGCCAACACGTGACGTTTTGATCATTCATACTTTATTTACAGCTCCCCTGTATTGCCACATTTTGCTCTGACAACTCACCAGCATGTTAAAATGTCACGCACACGATGTATGAATTGTCAGTTGAAAAATTGGTTGATCAGAAAACGGCTGGGTTGAGCGGGTGGGGGGGCAGCACACGTATGTCTTTTGAGCTATGCAAGCGCGCTGCCTGCGCCACACGCATCACGCTGCCTGTTGACTTTGCTCTGTTTGGCGCGCTTGCTTCGCTCACCTTTTTGTTTTAGTCTTCATGATCTCTTTCTATCATTCATTGATGTGTGTCTTGTTTTGTTTTGCTCTGCTCCGCCTTCCCTCCTCCTCCTGCATCCTGTCTGGGCTGCCTGTACCTGGGTCCTTTTTTTTGGGGGGGGGTTTTCAGCTGTGCCTGTCCCTCCCCCTCCAGGAGTGAACATCGAGGAGCACATTCAGATCCGTCAGGAGGAGAAGCGACAGAGGATCAACCGCCGGCACCGGCTGGAGGAGGGCAGAGGTATGAATCGGGGATAAACAATATGGGGACTTTGTTGAGACAAGTATTTTTTATTTTCTGGGCTATTTATTAGATAAGACAAAGAAAAGCATAGACACCGGAGGTCGAAGACGGCAGTCAACAAACCGGCGAAGCTACGACCTCTGGGTTGCTGTGTGAGCTCGGGTGTTGTGCCTTGGTGACTTCCCCCTTTTGCTTGCGGCTTTTATTCTTTTTCAGTGTGTGTGGGCATTGTTGTGGTGTTGAAGTATTTATCGTTTGTTCTTTCCCATTTGTGAGCTTTGTGCATGCATGTGAAAGTGTCTTTCTCCCCCAGGCCCCCTTGTTTATCCCGGTCCCATTTTTATGAACCAGCGTGAGCAGGCGCTAGCCAGAATAAGACCCCTTCAAGCACTAAGGCATAAGCGGGACAAGCACAAAGGTACTTTGGTCTTCACTAACTCAACGGGTGCAGAGACACCCCCCTTTTTTTGACTTATTTCCCAACCTGGTCGTCCGCCCAGCTCCTCTCTCACTCTCTGACGCCAGGACTCTCATGTCTAATACAGGTCTCAACAAAACTACGTGGCCTGTTGGCAAGAAGGGTTTACTGTGACCCAGAGGAGAAACCAATTGGGTTTCTTTTAAAGACCAGCCTTAGCAGGCTGGTTTCCCCCTTGAATTCCAACATAGGAAAGGGCTGAAGTGCAGTAAAGACCCGGTCTGCTAATTCGTTTCCTTATTGGACCGCTCTAATCCTCTGAGTGGGAGGCCCGCTCCGCCCGCTGCCGTTGTTTGACCTAAATAGAAATGCTGAATCTTGCCATCGCTCCTGTTGCGGCTGAATTGCCACTTCACGGGTACAGCATTAGCATTGCAAGAAGAAGGGAAAGGGCATTTACTGGAAGAGAGGATTCAGCTTAAACATAACGGTTATTCAATATATATGTAGGTCACTTGTGTTGGTTTGTTTGGGAAAAGCAGAACGTGGTTGTGGCAAATCATCTCACCGTCCTTTCTGAAGTAACCCCAAAGAGGACAAAGGACATACAGGGACCCTTCAATCCCGCATTATATTATGTGGAACAGTCAAAGCAAAGTATACTTTAATTAATCAAATTGAGATACAAATATGACAAACAGCTGTCTGTAGATTTTGCCCATTTGAACTGCAGCGGCTGCTTTTTTGCCGACAGGTGGCACGGGTTGGAGTGGTGCCCTGTGTCCTTATTGATGTAAAATGATTCGTCCAACATGTTCTGAAAACCTTTCCAACAGAAACGTATTGTGAAGGAAAAACGGCTTGAATGATTTCACTGTTAGATGTGGAAACAACAATGCTAGTGTGCAGAAATGTCGGCTCTCAGGGAAAAACTTGAGGCTGATTTTTTCAGAATATTTTTCCATTCATGCAACTATTTATTTGTATGTGTGTACAGTTGTGCCCCCCCCCCCCCTTGCTCTGCTGCTGGTACACATTACCTCAAAGTAAGCTCAAACTGGGGTTTAGATGCCACGAAGAGCACATTGACAAATGTCACCTTGAGTTAAACTTATTAAGATATTTGGGCCATGACACAGTGAAACTTAATTTTATATTTACTGTGAGGTAATAGAAACCTACTTTTTTTTTTTTTATTCGCATCTGGCCAACCTCAGAGTTCCAGGGTTTTACCACAATGAGCCGCTTCCTGTTCCAAAAGGGTGTTAACTGTCATTGAATTGACTATAACGCATGGGACTCTACCCAACTTGTCTCTCTCGCTCTCACACACACACACACTACTGCTGTGACCTCTTAAACAGGGCTCAGGGTCCCCTCTTTTCCGCCTCGGCATGTTTCTCCCCTCCTCCCCGTTTTCTTTCGAGTGCTCTTCCTCCTCCAGCTCTGTTTTCCAGGGCCGTGCAGAGGCCTCCATCTCTGTGGTCTGAAGTAGCTACTGAACCACTACTCGTCCCACCACTTTTCTCTCCTCGCATGACCTGACCTGGTGTGTTTGCCTCGTAGATGGTAGCAGTGAGCGCGGGGAGAAGGATGCCAGCAAAATCACCACCTACCCCCCCGGGGCCGTGAGATTCGACTGCGAGATGCGAGCTGTGCAGGTCAGCTGCGGTTTTCACCACTCTGGTAGGTTGTTTTGCCCACGTGGCTCCTTCTGGTCAGGATCCAGGGTGGATTTATCTGCATTTGACTTCAAGAACATTATGTAGAAAACAATTTGGAGCAAACGCTTGTTGCTTTGCAGTGGTGCTGATGGAGAACGGAGACGTCTACACGTTTGGTTACGGCCAACACGGGCAGCTCGGCCATGGAGACGTGAACTCCAGGTATGGCGTCTGATTTTCAAGTGAATGGATGGAATTGTTTGTGTAGTTCATTGGAATATAAGGATTTCCTGTCATTTACACATTAAGCAGTGGTAACTACATAAAATACGTCATTACCCACAACAATACTGAAAGGAAAAGGGGTGCAAAGCTTGCTGTGCTTTAGGAAAGCTAGCTATGTGCCGTCGGCATTACAGGCCTACGTTTGTTAACTTGAAATGCTCTAGTGACAAAACATAAGTAAAGAAACTGCTGCAGTCTGGTGGACACACAACCTGAGCTAGATGCTTCCACCTGCTAGGGGTTCTCCGACTCTGGTGCAGGCCCTCCCAGGTCCCAGTGTCCAGGTGACAGCAGGCAGCAACCACACAGCTGTTCTCCTCATGGACGGACAGGTCTTCACATTCGGCAGCTTCTCGGTAAGTGTTTTTTCACTCTGAAGATTGCATTTTTTTAAATGTTCACTGTTTGACACCTGTTTTGATATACTTGATATATACTGCTCTTCAGAGTGAATATATTTGTATTTATATATATATATATATATATATATATATGTACTCGTTGTCCTGTAGAAAGGACAGCTGGGCCGGCCTATCCTGGACATGCCCTACTGGAATGCCAAGCCGTCCCCCATGCCCAACATTGGGGCCAAATATGGGCGGAAGGCCACCTGGATTGGTGCTAGCGGGGACCAGACGTTCCTGCGGATCGATGAGGCTCTTATCAACTCCCATGTCCTCGCCACTTCAGAGATCTTTGCCAGCAAACACATCATCGGCCTTGTGCCCTCCTCTGCATCTGAGCCGCCTCCTTTTAAATGCTTGCTGATCAACAAAATGGACGGAAGCTGCAGGACCTTCAACGACTCTGAGCAGGAAGACCTGCAGGGATTTGGCCTGTGTCTGGACCCTGTGTATGATGTCGTATGGAGGTTAGTCAGAGCACTATACTAAACCACGGGTTCAGTTGTAGTGGTTGCTTTGCAAGTTTACCAAATCAACAAAGAAGAAAGTTATTAAAGTAATAAGTAGTAACTCTACCACTACCAGAGTATTTACAGAAACATTTTTGGTTAATGAAAAAAAAAGGTGAATACATTTTTAGTGTAATTCATTTTAAGCTGTCCATGTACTTGTACTTTTTTAATTTGCAAATATAAGTGACATTTTCTATTTTAAGAAATATATCAAATGTAATCCTGCTTTGTATGCTTTTAGGTTCCTGCCTGCTGCCAAAGAGATGCTGTGCTACAATGCCGTGATAGCTGACGCCCGGATGCCCTCTGCCACAGACCTGCAGGCTCGCTGCAGCATCCTCAGTCCGGAGCTCGCTTTGCCGTCAGGATCACACGCCACCACCACTCGGTCTCATGGAGCGCTGCACATCCTCGGTAATCCTCTGCTCCTCAGCAAAGTGTGTTTGGTCATAAGAATCTGCTTTATTTAGAGTCTAGTGAATAAGTACACGAGTGCTCTGAAGCAGCTGACGGTGGACAATGTGTTTGGGACAGTGGTAACATCTACTATGACAATGTCTGCTCATAATAATTCATTGCTAAAAGGAGTCATACTGGGTCATCTGCCTAGGTTGCCTGGATACGCTGGCAGCCATGCAAGAGCTGAAGATGGGCGTGGCCAGCGCAGAGGAGGAAACCCAGGCCGTGATGAAGGTCTACTCCAAGGAGGACTACAGTGTGGTGAACCGCTTTGAGAGTAAGTGGGCTCACTGCAGATGATGAATGATACGACAAACTGGGGGACACGCTGTGCTTTCTCAGAATGTGTTATTTATTATGTCGGAGCTTGGCTAACCTTCACTATCTTTAGTCAAAGCGCGTGAGGGACGTGCAAACTGGGTCCAGATCATCCTCCTCAGTAAACCAACAGTGTTTTGAGGGCGTGAACAGTGTCTGCGAGCCCTCATTGACCCCCTGCGTGATGTTGTAGGTCACGGTGGCGGCTGGGGCTACTCAGCCCACTCCGTGGAGGCCATTCGGTTCTGTGCTGATGCAGACATCCTGCTGGGTGGACTGGGTCTGTTCGGGGGACGAGGGGAGTACACTGCCAAGATCAAGGTGAGCCGCCTCCTGAATTCTCTTTATTCATTCATCGATTCTTTCTAAACATACAAAAATACATTTTTAGAATATTAGTTGTTGTTGTTGTCGGTATTGTCAGCGCTTTGTGCCACAACCGCAATGCTGACAAAAACATTTGGTTGTGTGAACATAATCAATGTAAAAGCTAACCCTGTGCTGTTGTCGAGCAGCTGTTTGAGCTGGGACCTGACGGCGGTGACCACGAGACAGACGGCGATCTGCTGGCTGAGACCGATGTTCTGGCGTACGACTGTGCTGCCAGGTAAAAAAAAAAAAAGGTTCATGGATTTGCTTCGGTTCGCCAAAGTGCTCGAAAAGACTTTTGGAAGCAACGCTGTTCCTGTGTTCAGGGAGAAGTACGCCATGATGTTTGACGAGCCGGTGCTGCTGCAGCTGGGCTGGTGGTACGTGGCGTGGGCCCGGGTCTCTGGACCCAGCAGTGACTGTGGCTCCCACGGGCAGGCCACCATCACCACCGATGATGGGTAAAGCTTGTCTCCCATTATGGAGGATGCTGTTGCATTCATAAAGGAATACGTCTTATACACGTTTCCATGTAATTAAATAATGTTTGAATCTTCACATCGGTCACAGTCCTTTTAATGTATGTTTCTTTTCCCCCCTTAAGTGTGGTCTTTCAGTTCAAAAGCTCAAAGAAGTCAAACAACGGTACTGATGTTAACGCAGGTCAAATACCTCAGCTACTGTACAGGCAAGTAAAATTCTTCCCACTCTGCTTCCAGTGGTTCATTGTTTGTCTATAGCCTTGTCAACTAAATTTTTTTCAATGTGTTTCTTTGAACACCAGGCTTCCTTCAAATGATGGCAATGCTTCTAAAGGGAAGCAGCAGACCAGTGAGCCCGTCCATATCCTCAAACGCTCATTCGCTCGCACAGTCTCAGTGGTCAGTTTCGTCTTGCTGTGTGTTAATATGGTTTTTCTACCTGCTCAAATGTCTCGACGCATTTGATCGTGCAGCACTGCGTGCCACCGCCTCACTGTCCCTCTCCGTAGGAGTGTTTTGAGTCGCTGCTGAGTGTCCTCCACTGGAGCTGGACCACCTTGGTTCTGGGTGTGGAGGAGCTGCGGGGGCTGAAGGGCTTCCAGTACACGGCCACCCTGCTGGACCTCGAGAGGCTGCGCTTTGTAGGCACGTGCTGCCTCCGCCTGCTCAGGGTCTACATCTGTGAGATCTTCCCCATCGCCGGTAGGAGCACAGAGAACCCGGCGGGACTTTATCTCCGGCAGCATAATGGCACGTTCTTTGCAAAAAGGAAAAACCACAGCGTTGCTCCTTTCAACCTTTTAGTGGCACTGCTGGTTCCCTGCCTTGTTGTATAACTAGAAACAAATGAATATATTAATGAATTAATATATTGACACTTAAGTGTGCCAGTCCTTTATGCCTGTCGCCCTGGAAAACATTCAAACTATTACACACTAGGTTGTGTATTTATTTCAAAAAGCAAACTTCAATTGTGAACAAGGTTTTTCTTTTTCCCTCTTCTCTTTGATATCTAGCCAGCACCAAAGCCGTGGTGGAGGAGTCCAGCAGGCTGGCAGAGTGCGTGGGAAAGACGCGCAGCCTGCTGAAGAAGATCCTCTCAGAAGGCATGGACAACTGCCTGACCAAGCTGGACAACGACCCCCAGGGCTACCTGTCTCAACCTTTGACCCTGCTGGAAGCCGTGCTGCAGGAGTGCCACAACACCTTCACCGCCTGCTTCCACTCGTTCTACCCGACCCCGGCTCTGCAGTGGGCCTGCCTCTGCGACCTGCTCAACTGCCTGGACCAGGTCAGTGACTGGTAGTGTTGGGTTTGGGATAGGACTGAAACTGCTTACAGTATTATTGTCCTTGGCAAAACATCTGTTTTTTCACCCGGATACTTCATTAATGTGGGAAGTAAAATGCTGATGCACCATCACAAGTTACCAAACCTTAAGAACTTGTCTTCAGGTAGATTTTGTTTGTCTAAACAGGTCCTAAACTCAAAGATATTAGAATTATAAAAGCAAATAAAAAAACAGCACAATTAATTATTAGTGGTTGATTATCAATCAATTATTTAAGCTCTAAAGAGTTGAGCAGATTTTAGTTGAAAAACTTTAAATGGATGCTGCAGAAAAAAGTGATCATATCTAAGTCATTCTTGTCCTCCCTCCTCTTTTAGGACATTGCTGAGGCCAACTTTCGCACGTCCAGCAGCCGCCTGCTTGCGGCTGTGATGTCGGCTCTGTGCAACACTTCGGTGAAGCTGACGTCCATCCTGCCCATCGCGTACGACGGGGAAGTGCTGCTGCGCTCGCTGGTCAAACAAGTCAGCACAGAGAACGACTCTGCCCTCGCTCACCGCTTCCCCCTGCTGGTGGCCCACATGGAGAAACTGAGCCATGTGAGTCTGCATGTTGTACGCGGTGCATCGGCTATCTTCACTTCAGAATCCTGAAGGTGGTCGGTGTCCCGGGAAACTGTTTGGTAGATGTAGAGCAAGTTTTTGTGATCCCCCCCGTTCTACTCATCAAAATTCCTGAGATGACTTTGCATCAAAACAGTTACCTTGTAACCCTCTCCCCTCCCCCTCAGACGGAGGAGAACCTGATGGGTATGGCCAGTTTCCGGGAGGTTCTGGAGAAGATGCTGGTAATCGTGGTGCTGCCGGTGAGGAAGAGCTTGAGGAAGGAGGTGGAGCTGTTCTCCCCACACCTGGTCTCCAACACCTGCGGCCTGCTGGCCTCCATCGTGTCTGAGCTCACTGCCTCGGCCCTGGGCTCCGAGGTAACTCCCCCCACCACACACACACACACACACACACATAAAGAAGTTAAGCTAAAATTCCAAATTGTCCCAATTGGAATTTTCCGAGTAAATTCAACAAGTCTCCTCCTTCCCTGTGTTGTCATCGCATTAACCCCTCATAGTGACAGCTTTTTCTTACAAGGTGACGTCTGTACCTCCCTCTGTCACGCTCTTAGTTTAATCATCACACGCTTTACTGCGAACTCTAACATTCTCGTTGTGATAAAAAACGCAGCTCAACAGCGGGCCCTTTTTCCCTCTCCAGCCTGTTGTCAGGGAAACCACTCTCCCTTCCCTGAGCACCTGGATGTGGCTCTTCAGCAGTCTGGCTGTCTGTTATCAGCAGGATGAGAGAAATAGTTTTTACTCTTTATTTCAGACAATGCATCTTTTTAGAGATCATCCATTTTCTCTCTTTCAGTCCGTCTATTTGTCACCATTCTCATCAACGTAAATGTCTCAGGAACGCCTTCAGGGAGTTTGTTCAAATTTGCCGTCATCGTCCACTTTATTTTATTTGGTCAATAAATAAGTTTATTTAAATGGTCAAATATCACAACGCCCTCACAAAACACCTTTTAGGCCCTAAGCCTAATTATGTCAACTTTACAAATTCCTAATTATCAGCCCTGTGTGGTTGTGTAGGAGGTGATTGACTGCATCCCTCTTCGTGTCCTTTCTTTTTAGGTTGATGGACTGAACTCGCTCCACTCCGTCAAAGCATCGCCGAACCGCTTCACCAAAACGAGCCAAGGCCGCAGTTGGAACACGGGCAATGGCTCTCCGGATGCCATCTGCATGAACGTGGACAAGCCCGGCGTTGTGCTGGTGGGCGTCTGCGTCTACGGGGGCGGCGGCATCCATGAGTTCGAGCTGGAGGTTCTGGCCGACGATGTGAGTGATATGAGGAATCATCTCCAGCCCGTATTTTCTGCACTTTTTGGCTAGTTTTTGACCTTCTGCTCATTTTACAACATGTGCTCCCATCGCCCTTCAGGCACAGACGGAGCACCCAGGGGACTCTGCACATTCTCACAGGTGGACGTCCCTGGAGCTGGTGAAGGGCACCTACAGCACTGACGATTCTCCCAGCGATATTGCTGAGATTCGCATGGACAAGGCTGTGCCGCTCAAGGTACATAAGGAAATAAATACATGCGTGGGATTTACTTACTTCCTACAATTGTGTCCTGATCCTAGATGAAAATGCTCATAGTTTCACTGATGTGTGAATTCTGTTGCAGGAGGGCGTAAAGTACGCTGTGCGGTTACGGAACTACGGCAGCCGGACGGCTAACGGGGATGGCGGCATGACCACCGTCCAATGCTCTGACGGTGTCTCCTTCACCTTCAGCACCTGCAGCTTGAGCAGCAACGGCTCCAACCAGACCAGAGGACAGATCCCACAGATTCTCTACTACAGGTCCTCTCAAAGCATTTTCGACCATCAAACCTGTGAACTGTTTGAGGGTTATCTTTCTGACTTTTGTCTTTCCTCCTCATGGCTGAAGGAGTGAGTATGACGGGGATCTCCAGTCTCAGCTGCTGAGCAAAGCCAATGAGGAAGACAAGAACTGTAGCAGAGCTCTCTCTGTGGTCAGTGCTGTGGTCCGAGCTGCGAAGGACCTGCTTCAGAGGGCTTTCGCTGTCGATGGTAAGAGCAACAAACGCATTGCAGCAGAGCAACAGGCATTTCGTCTACATCGGTTCAGCAGCTTTCAGCTCAATCAATGTCTTTTAAATTATCTCAAGTGGACGACATTCCCGAGCTGCTGAGTTCCTCCAGCCTGTTCTCCATGCTCCTGCCCCTCATCCTGGCCTACATCGGCCCTGTGGCAGCGTCCGTACCGAAGGTAAGAGGCTAAACGCTTCCTCCTGGAGTGGTGACTGGTCTCTCTGTGGTGTGGCGTTGTGGTGACATGCCTCGCTCTCACTCACCCAGGCTGCCGTTGAGGTCTTTGGACTCGTTCAGGAGCTTCTACCCGCTGTCTCCGCCCTCAACCAAAAGTACGCCCCTCCCACATTCAACCCGAACCAGTCAACAGACAGCACCACTGGCAACCAGCCTGAGCAGGGCCTGTCTGCTTGCACCACCTCGAACCACTACTCTGTGATTGAGAGTGAACACCCTTATAAACAAGCTGGCGTCACACAATACAGGGTAAGGTTATCTTATGCCCTGTTGTCCATACGGTCTGATGTTATGCACCTACAGCCATGTCAAATTCCTCGTATGTCTAATATATTTTGGCAATAAATGTTCCTGATTCATTTGTTAACTATCATGGGGACAAATGTAATTTAAAGTCTTAAAATGAATGTTGCCTCAGGTGTCTTTCCCTGACTGTGTCCGCTGGACCACCATCGAGTTTGACCAGCAGTGCGGCACCGCGCAGCCAGAGGACGTCCTGCGCCTGCTCATCCCCAGCCGTACCCTGCACCTGTCCAGCCTGGGGGGCAAACCTTTGATCCATGACACCATCAACACCTGGACGGACCTCAAGAAGTTCTCTGGTTCAACTGGCTGGCCGACCACCGTCCTGGTGCTGCCAGGTATGACAGGCCGAAGAAATCTACCTGTGAATGTTCAGCTGTTTTTTTGGGTCAAAAACTAAAAGTAGAGCAGTTGAGCGACTTAGTTTAATATACAGAACAAAAGAAGAGAACATTTTACACCGTAGATTGAAGGATACATTTTTCATTTTAAAATCAACATATGAACCTTTTGGAGGACGTTTGGCATCTTCTGCTTTACAATATGTCATTTTTAGACCATCATTGGCCACTAAGCGATACACTAAAGGTGTTTCTCTGATGTTTAGATTCATCAGCACTATAATTGAGTACCAGCATCGACCAATGTACTTTGGATGTATTTTAGACTCTTACGAAGTGTACGCTGTATCAGGAACACTTTTAACTGCTTCACCAGGGCAACTGTGGGTGAGTGGGGACACGGTCGTCCTCCAATCAGAGGGTTGTCGGTTCGATCCCAGGCCCGCCTAACCCACATGTCATTGTGTCCTTGGGCAAGACACTTAACCCAACATTGCTCCTGTAGCTGCGACTACAGTGTGTGGATGGTAGTTACTGATGGCAGGTGTCACTGTGTATGGTTCTCCTGTCATCAGTGTATGAATGGGTGTGAATGGGTGAATGATGTCATCAGTGTATGAATGGGTGTGAATGGGTGAATGATGTCATCAGTGTATGAATGGGTGTGAATGGGTGAATGATGTCATCAGTGTATGAATGGGTGTGAATGGGTGAATGATGTCATGTAGTGTTAAAGCGCTTTGAGTGGTCAGAAGACTAGAAAAGCGCCATACAAGTACAGTCCATTTACCATTTACCTTGCTGTCAGACAGCCCTTTATGACAGCAAACCAAAGCCGTAGTATTTGACCATGTAATTAAACCCGTGCAGAACACAGGAGTTACCGTGTGACGTTTATGTACTTAATGAGTTCATCCAGGTTCAGGTTTAACACAAACAAACTGACCGACTGTGAGTGGTGACTTTCTACACGAAAGAATAGATAACTGCTCCAGAAAGGGCTGTTTCTCAAGGTAATACATATTCTAAATATAGCATATCCTTGAGCTGATGTCGAGTTTTTTTCTTTTAAGTATCTATAATAGGTTTTGCTGCCACCCCTTCTCCAGCAGTACCGTGCTTTTGCTCCTGTTTCTCCAAACTCCATCCACTGTAGTAATATGCCCACGATGGATCCAAGAGTACCTCATGCAATCTGTTAGAAAACGTCTCACTGGACACGGAGTAAAATCATTAAACAGCACATTTATTAAATAATATTTGCACACATAAAAGTTGTGCATGAAGGCTACTCAAAGGTCTTCTTCTTTGGAGCGGGAATATATAGAAGGAAGATAAACATAAAAAGGGGGGGCTCTGGGCAAAAAGGAAGTGCTGGTTGTCGCCCTGGGATGTAGACGATCATCTTTGGCGCCACGAGATTATAAACATCGACGCACAAACATCTTGCTATGATTGGACCCAGAACACCATGTGCTTTTGTGGGAAAGAGCACAGACCTCAGTCTGTAATAAACATTATTTTAGTTTTTCCAACACAATCCAAAACAAACACAATTCTTGCGTTATTGAGTAAACTAATCAAGCATATTATTGGTTACTTGTCATGTGTAAACTGTGACTGCACTAGCGACATAGATATAAATGTGTACAACGAAGCATTGATGAGCAGTGACACCGTCGCGCTTACAGCTGTAGTTCATTGATGTTGTTCGGCTCTGCTTCAGTGAGTCATTAGTTTACCAGCGACTCCCTTGCATACGCTGCTCTGCCCCCTTGTCTTTTTTGTCATGTTCTGTTCTTCTTCCCTCTCTTCTTTCAGGAAACGAAGTTCTGTTTTCACTGGAGACGGCCTCGGACTACGTCAAAGACGAGAAAGCTTGTTTTTATGGCTTCAAGTGCGTGGCTGTGGGGTACGAGTTCAACCCCGGGGCCGATGAGGTACACAGGCCTTTATTCCTCTGGATGGACTTCCACTGTATGTGTAATGCAAAGACACCTTCCTGACCACAGCATTGTGGACATTTCAGGGGATCATCCAGCTGGAGAAGGAGTTGGCCTACCTGGGCAGTGTGTGCGCTGCAGCTCTGATGAAGAAAGACCTAGCCCTCCCCATAGGTATGGGAACCTGGAACCCCAATTGGCTTTGGGTCTCCTGTTTCTCTATTAACCCACGATAGAAGTTATGCGTGTTCCTAAAAAATAGAAGTGTACAACATTAAGCAAATCCTTCATCTGTTGTTCTAATCTTCGATTTAAGGTAATGAACTGGAGGAGGATCTTGAGATCCTTGAGGAAGCTTCTCTTCAGGTGTGTCCTCTTTTGAAATCGGAGATCTTTATTTGTTGTGTCATGGAAGGGTTTCATCATTACTCTACCTTCCCTGCTTCTTCTTTCCTCTGACGTCCCGCCAGGTCTGTAAGTCCCACTCTGGGATCCTTGGGAAGGGTCTGGCCTTGTCTCATTCGCCCACCATCCTGGAGGCCTTGGAGGGGAATCTGCCCCTGCACCTCCAAACCAATGAGCACTCTTTCCTTGAGGATTTCATCACCTGTGTGCAGACCTCCAGCGGAGGACGTCTGGCCAGGTAAACATTTCCGGAGCCTGTCCCATGTTAACTCCAGCTACCTACACAGAGCAGAATGTGCACTGTGCAGTTCTTCTTTGTCTCCGTTTTTTTTTTTTCAGCTCTCCCTCTGCAATTTAATATTGTTACCGATTAAAATTTGCTGTTCTGTCTCTCTTGTTTTGTCCATCCAGGTGGCTGCAGCCAGACTCCTACGCAGACCCCCAGAAGACCTCTCTGATCCTGAACAAAGACGACATACGCTGTGGGTGGCCGACCACGGTGGTCGTACAAACCAAAGACCAGTATGGAGATGTGGTGCACGTCCCTCACATGAAGGTCAGGGGATTGCTTTGGCATCCAGGAGATTAACTTACTGATTCTTGTTTTTTGTTGCCGGCGTTGTGATGTCTTTTGACAAGTGTTTCTCATCTCTTTGCATGTCCAGGTGGAGGTGAAGGCCGTTCCCGTTTCACAAAAGAAGTCGATGCAACCGGAGAATGTGAAGAGGCTGCAGCGGCTCCCTGGGAGCTCCTCGCCGTCGTCCTCCGGACCCGACTTAACTTTTGGAGGTTTGCCAATGCCCAAGCTGGAAGCCACCTACGAGCCCATGATCGTGAAAGAGGCTCGATACATCGCTATAACTATGATGAAGGTCAGCATCAACGAACTGGGTCAAAGCTCACTTGGTTACATTTAGAAGGCTGCAGGTGCTCCACATGGTGCAGCTATTTAGTCACTCTCAGATCTGTTGTGTGGGCTACATGCCAACCTGTCCCCCCGACAGAAAATGCCATTAACTGCAGTTTAGACTGGCAGACGTTGTTATATCGGCAATGGCAACATAAACACATGTTAAAAACCTTATCACATTAATGTGTTAATAGCATCATCATTTTTACTTACTAAAAAAGCTCTTCATTTTGTTGATTCCTTCATACGCTCTTTGTCTTATAGGCTTATGAAAACTACTCCTTTGAAGAGCTGCGTTTTGCCTCCCCGACCCCAAAGCGGTAAGTGAGGGTATACAGGAATAGAAGGCATTTACCAGTGAGATACAACCTACTCATTGACCCTTTCCCACACAGACCCAGTGAGAACATGCTGATTCGTGCCAACACCGACGGAACCTACAGTGCCAACTGGACTCCGGGAGCAGTAGGCCTCTACACCATCCACGTCACCATCGATGGCATTGAAATAGGTAAGTCAGTGGAAACGGCGGCCTCGCTGACGATTCGTTGAACCGCCGCCCCTTTTAGTATTTGAGCTGTAAATCTTTTCATTTTAGATGCTGGTTTGGAGGTAGAAGTCAAAGACCCCCCCAAAGGCATGATACCACCCGGTACTCAGATGGTCAAACCAAAGGCTGAACCTCAGCCGAGCAAGGTGAGCTCAACCAGGGCCATGAACATGCACACAAACACGCCTACAAGCGCATGCATGCTGGCAACCCCCTTCAAATACCCTGAACCAGTCACAGGTGGTGAGGTTTTCTCTACACGGCATCTTGTAATTCTTCACATGAGTGAATTAAAACAAGAGGCCTAATTTCCAATCAGTGTAGATGATAAACAGTTTTTATCAATAATAATTAAATATTTTAAAATTAAATATTGGCATTGTTAATAATACCCTCATGATACTGTGAAAATCTAGTGCCTCCTAAATCATTTTCTATATGCAGTTATGGTTAGTGAATAATTCAATGTAATTCATGTCTGATTCTCGAGTTCAGTGAATTTGCTAATAAAGAAACATAATAATGAACACAAAATAATGTCTGACATTGTGACTCTGATCCAAAAACAAAATAGTGGAGAATTCCAGTATTTTCAAGACTAAATCAAAGATGTTGCTTTGTTCAATGTGCAAAGAAGCAACCAATTCATGATGCACTTAATACCACACTTTTATTATTGAGTCCTTTTCTCCATGTGTGGAAAAGAAAACATCTTACTGATGTTATAATATGCATGGAAACGTTTTGACTACTGGCTCTCCATCTCAGCTCTGTCATCTAGTCAAACCGCATTGATTATTACTCATAGTTCAAACAAAGTAATCAAATGATTTGATGCTGCTTTAAACTGATCCCCTGCATCATCAGTTTGTGAACCTTCATGCCATTTTGTTTTTCACAATCTGACGGGGAAACAAGTCAAATCCTGCCCCGTTCAATCAGCGCGTGTGCGTTACACGGCTGTGAATGTAGCCTCCTCGTCGTCCTCCGTTTGTACGCGTGGACTTGAAATTAGGCTCCGTGTGGGTTAAAGCGCGAGACCTCCCGCGGTTGGCTTGCCCCCGCTTCCTCCTGCTGCTGCTTCCTGTCTTTTCTTCTTCTTTCTTTTTTCTTCTTGGCTCCTGGCGCTCACGGTCTCCATCTCCCCCTCTGCTTCTCTCAGGTCCGCAAATTTGTGTCCAAGGACAGCGCAGGCCTGCGCGTGCGTAGTCACCCTTCCCTACAGAGTGAACAGATAGGCATAGTGCATGTCAATGGCACCATCACTTTCATTGACGAGGTAACTGGCTCTAGACCAGGCAGAACACAAATCATGTTATGTAACTATATTAGCTGGAGCGCTCTGCTCTTTGATTCTATATACTGGTTTTGTCTTAATCAGTAAGGATAGAATATTGGACGCTATTCTTTTTGCTAGTTTTATAACTTTTTAGTGCATTATGTGTTATTACCTCTAAATTATGATAGCTACTTTCTTGCAAAGGATATACATTTGTTGCTCTTTCTTTGATTTGCTTCATACTCTTGCAAGCCATTCAGAGGCCTCGTGAAAGGCTTGAGCGCCTGCAACATAAACTCAGAGGACTCGATGCATTTGCTTAGTTATTTGTATCGTAATGCAGCACATCTGGATTCTGTATCCGTCCCAAATGCACCTTGCTGTAACTTCAATTTACTGTTGTCTAGTTTTCCTTGAGACTCACCTGCAACCTCAGACCTGAGTGTGTGTGTGTGTGTGTGTCCTTCCCGTTTCCATAGTAACAGGACGGCTTGGCTGTGCCCTGCCCCGTTGCTCTTGTTTTCCCCTCCGTAGATCCACAATGACGACGGCGTGTGGCTGAGGCTCAATGACGAAACCGTAAAGAAGTATGTTCCCAGCATGAATGGGTACACTGAAGCCTGGTGCCTCTCTTTCAACCAGCACCTGGGCAGGAGCCTACTCGTCCCAGCCGACGTAAGTAGAAGACCCCCGCTGAGCCACTGCCCCACTTTAAGACAGGAGCTCCTGCGTTGTTCCTTTGGGCGAAAAGCCCAGAGGTCAACTGTATTGTTTACCAATCACAAAGCATGTTAAACTGAGAGTTTTATCAAAGTGTAGCTGCCAGGATGTTCTCTTGCATGAAACATCTAGTTGTCGCAGAGTATAAAACGTTCACTAACATGCCGTGCACAGGAACACAGCTGGGAGCTTGCATGTGTCAACTCGTGTTTGAACGCGAAAAAGTTCACCACAAAGTGACGGCAGTGGGAAATGCTTTCATGCTTAGGTTGTTACGGTTAAGTGCACTGGCGTGAACACCATTGCGGGAAAAAGAAGGAAGCGTAGGTGTAATCTCATCACGTGGTGAAGTTAGTCTGCACTGTTCCTCATGGCCTCTCACGAACTCATAAAACCACAGCATGTGTGAACAAGTGTTTCCCTCACATTTTTGCTCCATGGCACAAAAACCGCCAACATGTTGTACATTTAAAAAAAAAAAAGAGACAAAAAACAGCAGCGTGAGTCGAAGGTGTGTGATCGAGGACATGGATATGGAAGTACCGGGGGAAAGTACTTGAACCAGATATCCAGGTAGTTTTCTGTCATGAAGCAATCACTGGCCCGCAAAAATTGTACCGCTCTACAATTCCACTCGTTGCCTCGGGGTGCAGAGGAGGCTTCCGTGTAAGGTCCCTTGTCTGAACAGCATGACACACTACATCATCCAAGTGGGGAATTTTTTTGGAAGTTTTCTTCTTTAGCTTCGTTTTGTGGTGGATTTGGAAATGAGTCTGGAGTGACCTTATTTATCTACTTGGCTTTGCACTTGTTTGTGAAATGTTCAAACATATGACGGCTCGGCCGGGATCCACGGTTCTTCTTGGCCCCCTCTACCGGGGCTCCACTATTTCGCCATCTGGCCCGTCAGATTGTGTCCTCTCTTCTTCGCCGTCTCAAACGACCGTCTGATGCTGAATTCCAAAGGAGCCGAGCCCCAAAAAAAACACTTTTTTTCTCTTCCAAAAAAATACACGAGCGTCTTCCCCCATAGTGTCTCTCTCCCCCTCTCCCCCCCTCTCTCTCTCTCCCCCTCATCCTCGACTGTTTTTTGTTGACTGTCTCACGATGTGTTGCTCAGAATGTCTTTACGCTAGCCAAGGAGTCAGGGATGTCAGCTTTTTGTCGTGGACTCCCTTAACTATATTCCCGCCACAGGTGAGTTGTATGAGACGGACACGTGCCCCACAGTTTACCATCGTACCTGTCACTCTACTTGTCCCCTTTGAACCCCTTGTGACTCTGTAGTCTCCCCACAGTATTGCAATCCGCCATAAGCGCTCCCAACAATAGCTGCATGGTTGTCTGCTTTGTTTCATTTTGACCATTTGGTGACAACAGTGTGCGTCGGCGGCCTCGTGCCCACAGACTCCGCGCAGTGATCCTGTGTTTTTCTTTTCTTTTATGGAGTCATCACTGTTCCAGCGTGTGTGTGTAGCATGGGGGGTAAAGATGCCAACGTCCGTTCTGTCGCATGAGGTCTTGTTGGAAAGCCTTGTCACCTAGAGTCCTCTATCCCTTGTGCATCATAGCATGCCTCCCTTTAGCCTGTAAGATTAGTTCTACCTTCTGTATATTGGTCATCTAACAGCGTCACTACATGGTGTGTTGAATGCTCCGGTTGCTTCTGTTTACATTTTTAATTGTGTTGCAACTGTTTCCCATGTTATGTATTGTTCATGTGTTTTTAATAGCCCGGGCATACATGTAGTTTTGGAGTAAGAACAGTTTGACCATTCCGATGCTGCTAATAGCTGGTTAGCTTAGCATAAAGGCGGGAAACAGGGAAAGCTGAGTATGGCTCTGTGCTGTAATAAAATCCAATTGGCAGCAACTCTGAAAGCACACTAGTTCAAACTTTATATACCATGCGTTAGATGTATACAACATCTGTAGAGTAAAAACGCCGAATAATCGTTCGCACCCAGCGGTCGACATTATGCGGCCTGATGTTGTGTTACTGTGCGCTGCCTCTAATCCACTGCTCTCACCTCTTGCAGGAGGTCAGGGGCCAATCGGAAGAGAACGTAAAGGAGGTGAGCAGCTGCCCTTCCCACGAGGCCCCCATGCGGGCGCAAAGCAGGGCGGGGCAGGGCGGCGGCCCGGGGCTTTATAAGGTAGTGAAGACCGGCCCCTCTGGTCACAACATCAGAAGCTGCCCAAACCTTAGGGGCATCCCCATTGGAATGTTAGTTCTTGGCAACAAGGTCAAGGCCATAGGCGAGGTACGCACTCACCCCTGATGATGCATTGTGTTTTTTTTCTTCTTTTCTCTTTTGTGGCTTTAGTTGAAATAATGTAATGAGTTTGGCCTTAACCCTCAGAGATTAGAGTTCCCTCTTCTTTCCTGAACTCCTTTTGAATGTAATCTGGCTGTCTGATGGGGAATACACCAGGTGCTTCTGGGTGGGGGGGTGTGTTGTGTATCTTTTCCTACTCGAGGATGAACTCCCTGTGACTGCGACACTTTTTGCGCGCTTCCTGATTCACTCATTTGCGTTTGTCCATCGCAGTCTCAGCGCGTTGCATTTGGCCGCCTTGCAGACGTCTCCGCTGAGATGTGATCACCAAATGCTTGAATGTCTCTTTCTCACACTTCTAACCATCCTGTTAATGATTGCGGTACTTTTCTAAATTTCCTCTGGTGTGGTGATGAGGGTAGCCCCGCCCCTTTTGGATAGGACCTGTCACTGGCTGCTGTGGTGTGTCATGCTGTTCAATAGTTCCCTCTGCATTTGGAATGCCCCGTCTGAGACCTGAGCGGTGCACCCTGCACATACTAATACTTCCATCTGTCTGTGATGATAATTCAGGAAAATGCGATAAAAACATCCTCATGCATTTACCTTAGTTTCATTTTTTAGTACTTTTTGTTTAGCTGCACCGTTTTTGTCCTGCAGTGTCTGCTGATGCACAACATCTAATTCTTGTGATCTACTACTGCTTCTGTCCTTTCCAATCAAATGAATGATCAATCATCAATGGTTGTATGTTAATGCTCTTCTGTACAGGTGCTGTGTTTGTGTGCGTGTGCGCGAGAGTGTGGATAAAGAGTCTTGTTTGTGTATCAGGTGGTCAACTCAGAGGGGAACTGGGTTCAGCTGGATAAGAACAGTGTAGTGGAGTTCTGTGAGAGCGATGAAGGAGAGGCCTGGTCCTTGGCCAGAGACCGCGGTGGGAATCAGTACCTTCGCCACGATGACGGTGAGCCGCAACCAACCGGGCAAACTGTTTTCACAGCCACATCGGGAGATGCTTCTGCCTTTTAAATTCTAAAAGTTGATTTTTTTCCTTTCCTTTAAATGACACTACACTTGTATTGCATGCGTTCTTCCCACTAAAAAGTGAGGTTTTCGATTTTTTAAATTTACTTTGAGCTACATGGTCTGCGTGAAATCTTCTTTAAAACTAAAAGTGTGTTGTTATTATGAATAGTAATTTCATCTTCTCTTACAGAACAATCTCTTTTAGAGCACGTGACCCAGACTCCCCCCCCGAGCCCTTTCTCCGTGCAAGCCTTCAACAGGGCTGCAGCCGCTAACGGGGCGCAGGGCTTTGACTACGGCATCTCCAACAACAAAGGTGAGCTCAACGTGGCGTAAAGTTGCCTCTTTTTAAAAAAAAACTTTTTATAACATGTCCTCAATCTGCACATCACTTTGCTTTCAACATCCACTTTCCTTTATGCTGTTCATTTACATGTCCTCAGGCTGTAGCTGTAGATTTGTCATGACTGATGTACACCTTCCCTCTGCAAGCTGGTCTTTGATACCCCCCCGCTTTACTTTCTCTGACCTCCCCTGTGTGCTTTGGATTGAGACTGTCCTCATAAGTTTTTCTTATACATTACTCAAGTTGAACAAAATGCAGACATTTTCACCCTCATCATCTTCTTTTATTCAAAGCAACAGTACAGTAAATAACAAATGACCTGAGCCATACAATTCATAGCAGCACATGTACGAGGTGTATGTGCTGCAGAATGGGTCAGACCATAAGAAAAGAGTGAGCGTAGAACTGTATGCTGTGGTTCTATGACTTATCCAAAAGACGCTGGCGCTCACTGCTGGCAATTGTACAAATGAAAAACGCTGCCAATCTGATCCTCCTGCTATGGTACATTGCATATATATAATATATATATATATGCCCTCTTCTACTCTCACTCCTTGTCTATGGTCACAGGTGCATCGGTCACCGGCCTCTCGTCTCTTTCTTTCAGCATGCTTTCTATCACGTCGACTAACATCTCTGTAGCGTCTGTGTGCATGGGCCAGTCAGTGTGCTTCCGTTCATTTCCAACTGCTGTGGGCTCTGGGTAGTTGGCCGCGGAGCTCTAGCCCAACACGGATTACCCTTTGTCCCCATGCATTGAGCCTTTAGTCACATGACCTGTGTTCTGGTGGAAAAGTGACAACCGCCCCTGGATGAGCAATTCTACCGCAGCGTCAGCGGCTCGTCCCAAATGCTTGGCGCTGCGTCTCTTGTCTTCCAATGGCTTAACACTTCTTCACTGCTTGGAATAACGAGGCTGACCTGTTTAGCGATGCTAATCAGAGCGCCGCCGTTCTTCAGATGTAGTTATCGCACTAGTCGACCCGGTATGTGTGTCTGTTGTGCTGATCCCAAGTCTGGTTGCCTCTACTGACCCTTTACTGGGCTCAATGGAAACCGTGTTGGCCTTGGAAAGGCACTTTCATGCTATCAAGTATTCTGTGTGGCTCTGCTGCTTTTATAGAAATAGTAGAATTACTGATTTCAGTCTCACTGTGGCAACATCCGGTTGCTACGTGAGGAGGTGGATGCATTTCTGTCCTTGGGCGTTTGAGATGGCACTCTGCCTCAGTTGCATCTTGGTTGACACTTTGCATTTTTTGATGCCAGATGACCGACCCACCCCGAAATGCTCAAATGGGCAGTTTAAAAGCGGTAAACGGCTCTTTTCGAGTTTAAACCGCCATAATACACGAAAGGTAATAGAAGTCATGTGACATTTAATGTTTAAACCTCACAAAATGTCTGTGGTGAGCAGCACGTGCATCCTGAACATTAAGGCCCTCTAAACGGCGAGCTTCTACTAGCACGCCGAATGTTTGCCGACAGCCGCTGAAGCATCCGATAGTGTTTAAATCCCTCGCCACCTGTGTGAAGCGAATGGATCGCGCTTAGATTGGTCAGCTTGATGGACCTGTCCGTGACAGAGCTCCTTGAGCAGGTTGGAGATCAACTGTATTGAAATACCTCTCAGGCTTCCATATTTAGCCTCTCTGGCCTCCGGACAGGCAGCTTCCCGCTTCTGGCGCCGACAGTTGCTGATATGCATCGAACCATGTTGGAGATCAACACAGTGACGTGGTTTTGAATCTGGTTCACAGCTGTTCCACGTAACCGGCCTCAATGATTACTGATGCCGTGTCGGCTCAATACGGACTACAAGGGTCCAATTCTTCCCGGCACATGTTTTTTGTAAGTTGTAAAGAGGACACATAGGTTTTTCTTGGAAGAATGACTCCTGAAATGAATGATGTCATCAATGCTCTACAATAGAGAAAGACCAGAGTTTCCTCGATAGTTTAACAATAGTGTAACCTCATTACAAAGTCCATTTAAATGGCATTTCATATGTCATACACCCTTGTTTGGCATTACTTTGACAGATTACTGTTCCAGTGGTTTCCTATTTTGGCGGAGACCTTATTTAAGAGCGATACATTCAGCCAATCATATCTTTCATGGAGCCGCGAGGTTAGTCTGACAATCAGAAGTTCCCCAAGTGTCTAAATCACAAACCGGAGCAACGGCCTTTTTTCCGACTCCTTTTGTGTTGTGGAGCGAGCCGCCAAACAAAGACCTTCCCGGCCCGATGGTCCGCCGCTCCGGCTGCTCAGCGACGGCACATTGAGCGGCATTATATTTTCTGACGTCCTTCCCTGCGGCCCATCCACCCGGGCTTTCCTACCTTTCCTCTTTTTGGGTGCAGTTGGCATTTCTTTGTCTTAACAGAAAACAAACGGGCCTTTCACTTGCGGGACCCTGGGGGGCTCCTTCCATTTCAGCCCACAAGAAGATGACTGAATGACTGATGAACTCTGACTGATCCTCACCCTCCCCCCTTTTTATAGAAACACCTCAAACCATAGCATAAGCTGTAGTTTATCCCCATCCTCTGTCTCCATGTTTGCAGGTGACCGGTTGAGTGGCATACTGAATTCCATTCAGTCTGGGCCCCTCCTCTCAGCAGCTCCCTCCTCCTCCTCCGTATTTGAGCAAGCCGCCCAACCTCCCTCCTCTTCTTCCTCCTCCTCCCTTGTCCACAGCCCATTTGTGTTTGGACAATCCCCCTCCCAACTGTCTCAGCCACAACCACAGCTTCCGAGTAAGTCTGTCCTGCTTTCTGACAGCGCTTGCCTGCACAGGTGTTGATCCTTTTCCCCCCTCAGCTTTTCTCTCTCTCTCATGTTTGTTTCTGGGAAGCGCAGCAGTGACATGTAACACATAACAGTGCAGTTATGTTTCTGGCAAAATATCCCCAACAAGCCCACGTGTCCAGTATGGACTGTTTACATCTTGTTTATAAGAAAACAAATCAAGAGAAATTGCCTTTCGAAATATGCATTGACGGGTATTTCTCACATTTTTTTCCTAAAACAAGATATGAAACTGAAATACTCGACCAAATGCCTTGTTAAATGGGACGATGCCGCGTGTTGAAGTAACAGGCTGAGCTGCTTATTTTTCTGCTTGTATGCTTGTTCTGCTAGCCAGCTTCTTTATTATTTCCCTCGCTGTTTTCATTTCTGCATTATTCATCCTTGATTAACAACATTTTCTGCCTCAACCAGCCCAGGGCATCAGTGCAAATGTAAACGGTCTTAGACTCCAGTCCATCAGTAATATTACATATAACACATACTTATATCTTTTACTGGATATATTTCAAATGCAAATATGCCACAATTTAGTTTTGAGATAATCTTCTAACGGGATCTAAAATATCTGTGGACTTTTTCAGCCTGTTTAGCTCTTTCTTCCTGTTGGTCTTTTCTTGTATGTGCTTATCTTTCTTTTGCAGCTCAACTGTGTGCATAAGTTAATAACATGTGTTTTCAATTTAGCATACATGTAACACGTCACCTTAAGTATTGTACTACATGACCCCTGCACACTCGCTGTAGATCCCTTTAATGGATTTAATTATGGCATTTAACAACGGCCTGTTAAACCTATTTCACAGGATAAAACTCACCTTCAGAGCCTCTTAAATGTTCTCTTACTTCTTTTAAACATTGTGAATGTCACCTGTTAGAGGTGATGCCGCCCTCTAAAATAGGGAAAGAGTCCAAATGGAATTGAATGGAAGACACATATTACTAAATTGTGTGCACTTCATACTTGTATTTCCATGACAACTCTTGTTTCTGTAACTTCTTTTCTCTTCAATAAGTGTTTCTCTACCTTTCTGTTGATCCCACCGTCATTTTAACCCTTTTTGCATCGTTCTTCTCGACCTCACCCAATTGCCTCTTTGTGCTCGCTCTCTCTCTCTCTCTCTCTCTCTCTCTCTCTCTGTCTCTCTCTCTGTCTCTGTCTCTCTGTCTCTGTCTCTCTCTGGTGGCCCCTTTGCGTTCCATGCCTTGTTTGTTTACCTGCTCCACTGTTTTCCGCTGTAGATGATTCATCTCGCCGCCTTGCTTCTCGCGAGCGTGTGCACAAAAGCAATGTGTCCGTGGCCGGGCACGGCACTGCTCTCTCATCTCTCGCTCTGAGGCAGAAGGGTGGGTAATCACCGCACGCATGTTCCCCTCAGACTGAACAGAGGGCGGGCAGGAGGCCACGAAAAGAAACGCCTTGTTTTTTATGACAGCTCTTTTGATTTAAAGTTTAACATAGGTGGACCTTAATTGCTATTGATTCAGGATGTGTGTGGTTACTAGACTAAACTACTAGGCTATGAAAAGTCCACTCTAAATACGTCCAATATCAGTAGCAGAGGTCCGAGGACTGGGCTGGAATCCATCTTCCATCAGCTCTTCCACTAATTACCTTCATTGCATTGCATCTTACCTTTATATTTTCAGCATTACATTGTTTTTTCCTCTCAGGTTTTGAGTATTATGCTAATAGCCAAATGTTGTGCATTATTACCTCTGATTTAGTCCTCTTTCATGTTGTAACTATGTTTGAAATAATAACGTTCAGGTGAGCGAGGGAACCCGATGCCAGCAGCGCGGCCCATGTCCCCAGCTTCCAAACACCGGCAGGGGAACCGCTCGCCCAAACAGGAGGGTCGAGGAAGCCGGTCGTCCGAGCAGAGCAGGAGCAAAGCAGGCGAGGGCGGCCTCTCCGCCAGCGAGGCGCTCATCCTGCGGTCGGACACGGCCAAACTGAGGTCCGACTCGCACAGCCGCTCGCACTCGCCCAATCACAACACCCTGCAGGCGCTAAAGGCAGACGGCAGAACCCCGGGACTTCGGGCCGAGTCGCCGAACTCCGGCTCGCGCTCCTCCTCTCCCAAACAAAAAGGCTCCTCCTCTTCTGGGAGGTCTAGTCCCTCCAGCGCCTCCTCCCAGCACTCCTCTTCAGCCCACCATGACAAGAACCTCCCACCCAAAGTCAGCCCTTCCGCCAAAGCACGGCTGGATCCTCCTAGGGAGAGGTCCAAATCTGATTCGTACACTCTGGATCCAGACACGCTTAGAAAGAAGAAGGTCCCACTGACCGAGCCCATTAGAGGCAGGTCCACCTCCCCAAAACCGAAAGTGTCTCCTAACGATCCAAATAATGGAGTGATTGGCTGTGCAGAGAACCGCGTTCCCTCTCCACACGTGACCCAGGAGAACCTCCATAGTGAAGTGGTGGAGGTGTGCAGCTCCACTGCTCTCCTCTCAGAGGAGGGCAATGACGAGAATGCCGACGGTCAGAATTCTGAAGACGGCTCATGCAAGGTGCACTTCAGCATCGGCAAAGCCCCGGTCAAGGAGGAACAGGAGAGCCGCGCTTCGCCCAAAGTCAGCCGCAAAGCGTCCAGTCGACACACGCGCCCCAAGAAGGAAAAATCTGGGCCGCTGTTCAAAGGTGAGAGCACTTCAAGGGCCACGGAACCCGCCAAACAGGCCATGTCCCCCTCCGTGGCCGAATGCTCGCGAGCGGTCTTCGCCGCATTCCTGTGGCATGAAGGTATTGTCCACGACGCCATGGCCTGCTCCTCCTTCCTCAAGTTTAACCCGGACTTAACCAAAGAGCACGCCCCCATTCGCAGCTCCGTGGGAGGACAGGGCGCCGACGAGAAGGAGAGCAAGCTAAAGAACCGCCACTCCTTGGAGATCTCCTCTGCCCTCAACATGTTTAACATTGCGCCGCACGGCCCGGACATCTCCAAAATGGGAAGCATCAACAAAAACAAGGTGCTGTCTATGCTGAAAGAACCGCCTCTGCCAGAGAAGTGCGAGGAGGGTAAGGGGGAGGCCATGGGCTACGAGATGACTTCGCACCCGGCCTTGAGGAACAAGTCCATCTTGCCGTTGACGTTGCAACATCTGGTGGCCTTCTGGGAGGACATCTCCATGGCCACCATCAAAGCAGCCACTCAGAACATGATCTTCCCCAGCCCGGGGTCCAGCGCCATCCTGAAAAGGAAGGAGCACGAGAAAGACGGCAAGAAGTCGAAGAAGGAGAAAAAGAAGCGGGAGAAGGCCGAAGTGCGTCCGAGAGGGAACCTGTTCGGAGAGATGGCACAGCTCGCCATGGGTGGACCGGAGAAAGACACCATCTGTGAGCTGTGCGGTGAATCCCACCCTTACCCCGTCACCTACCACATGAGACAGGCGCACCCAGGTGAGCGGACAGCGGTTCTGCTTCAGCCTTTGTATTCCTGGGTAATGGACTTTCTGGGTAATGATTTCTTTTAACCCCCTCCCTCGTCTTTCATGGCAGGCTGCGGTCGCTATGCTGGAGGCCAGGGCTACAACAGCATCGGCCACTTCTGTGGTGGTTGGGCTGGAAACTGCGGCGACGGAGGCATAGGAGGCAGCACCTGGTACCTGGTGTGTGATCGCTGTCGGGAGAAATACCTGAGAGAAAAACAGACTGCGGCCCGGGAAAAGGTACGCGTGCGTCCCTGCAACTGAAGAACTCGTCTTTTCTCATCTCTTTTCTCATCTCGGACTTCTGCGTGTCCTTTTGCCAGGTGAAGCAATCCAGGAAGAAACCCCTCCAGGTGAAGACGCCGAGGGCGCTGCCCACCATGGAGGCCCACCAGGTGATCCGGGCCAACGCTCTGTTCCTGCTGTCCCTCAGCAGTGCTGCCGAGCCCAGCATGCTGTGCCACCACCCCCCCCGGCCCATGCACTCCCAGCTGCTGCCCAGCCTCAAGGAGGGCGTGTCGGACGAACTCCCCAATAAAATGGGCTGCCTCTACCTCCAGACGCTAGCTAGGTAGCTTACAGCTCAGTTAGCAACGCTGTCTGGATTTCTTAGGTGAATAAAGGTGCTTTACCGTAACCCTCCTCTTATCACCCAGGCAACACACTGAGAACTTTGGGGCCTACCAAGACGATAACCTCTTCCAAGATGAGATGAGGTATTTGCGCTCAACATCTGTTCCTGCACCTTACATATCAGTCACCCCCGATGCCTGTCCCAATGTGTTTGAGGAACCAGAGAGCAACATGAAATCAATGCCACCCAGGTAACGCGTCTTCGTACGATGCTTTCATCACTTCCACTTCTGCGCATGCACAAACGATGAGTGAAATGCGGATTAGATTTTCTCATCTGTTTTTATGTGTATGCATGACAAACACTCGTATACATGCATGATATAAACGTCACGGCAGATGAGGCAATCGTTATCGTTTGAGATATTAACCGGACAGACGGAACCAACGTTTTTTGATGCACGCTCTCTGTCCGAGTGAGTTTGTGTGTGTGTGTGTGTGTGTGTGCGCCCATTAACTGTGCTCAGGGAATAGAACTGTAAACGATTTCTTGGTGGGGTGGGGCGCCCCCCCTATGTAATGCTCCTTATCATGACCAGCCATTCATTTCAATGTTTGTGTCTGTGCTAAACTTTGTCTGTTTCATCCACTCCCATTCAGTCTGGAAACCAGTCCAATCACAGACAGCGATACGGCGAAACGAACCGTGTTTCAGAGGTCTTACTCCGTCGTAGCATCAGAGTATGACAAGCAACACTCGCCCAATCCGGCCCGGGTAAAAGCCGTGCCCAGACGCAGGGTTCATAGTGGCGATGCAGGTAATTTCATGCACCCATTTGAGACGTGTTACCTAAAAGAGAATGTGATGCAGTGTCATCTGTGACACCTTTTCCACCCCTTAACAGAGGTGGGGTCTTCCCTGTTACGCCACCCGTCCCCTGAGCTGTCCCGGCTGATCTCGGCCCACGGCTCCCTCAGTAAAGGGGAGAGGAACTTCCAGTGGCCTGTCCTGGCTTTCGTCATCCAGCACCATGACCTGGAGGGCCTGGAGGTGGCCATGAGGCATGCACTGAGGAAGTCTGCCTGCAGGGTGTTTGCCATGGAGGTACAGGCAGCAACAGCTCTCCGAATCTCTGCACCCGGTTTTCAGTTAATCATTGCTGTTTATCCCGCAGTGATTGGTGGTTATTGTTGTTAGCTCACGAGTTATATTTGTAAGAAGAATGACTGGCATGATTTTCTCTCTGTGTGCTGTCAGGCCTTCAACTGGCTGCTGTGCAATGTGATCCAGACTACCTCCCTGCACGACATCCTTTGGCACTTTGTAGCTTCTCTCACCCCATCGCCCTTTGAACCCGAGGACGAGGAAGACGACGAGAACAAGGGGAACAAAGAAAATGTGGAACAGGTAATGAGTGGTTGACAAAGGCCGTGTAGCATTGCTTACTATTTCTGTTGCGGCGTCTTCTGACTGTGAACTTCTGCGCTCCTCAGGAAAGAGACCTTGGCGTTTGTGAACACCCGCTGTCAGACATTGTTATTGCCGGAGAAGCCGCTCATCCTCTCCCCCACACCTTTCACCGCCTCCTCCAAACCATCTCTGACCTCATGATGTCACTTCCTAGTGGCAGCTCACTTCAGCAGATGGCGCTTAGGTACGCGTTGGGAACGCCGGAATATGATGTCAACCCATCAGTAAACACTTTTTACATGGAATGGTTACAAACTATAGACAGATTATTCTCATGATTTATCCTTACAGGTGCTGGAGTCTCAAGTTTAAGCAGTCAGACCACCAGTTCCTCCACCAGAGCAACGTCTTCCATCACATCAACAATATCTTGTCCAAGTCGGACGATGGAGACAGCGAAGAAAGCTTCAACATCAGCTTGCAGTCAGGCTACGAAGCAATGAGCCAGGCAAGAAAAAAAGTCATTCAGTTACTTCAGATCGGTCTCCTTTTGGTCAATACGGTTGAAAAGTTCCAGCAGCATGCGCTAACCTGACTGTCTGTGACAATAGGACCTCTGCCTGGTGACTTGTCTGAAGGATCTGACCAGCGTAGTAGACATCAAGACGTCCAGTCGTCCTGCCATGATTGGCAGTCTGACAGACGGCTCCACAGAGACCTTCTGGGAATCCGGAGATGAGGACAAGAACAAAACTAAGAGCATCACCATTAGCTGCGTGAAGGGCATTAACGCCTCCAATGTGACTGTTCATGTGGACAACTCCAGGGACATCGGGGTAAGGGGCAGTCGCAGTATTGTTCTTGTGTTACGGCACAGATTGGAGGAAAATGGAATAGCTGATAATCTATTTGTCATATTCACAGAACAAAGTCACATCAGTGACATTCTTATGTGGAAAAGCAGTAGAGGATCTGTGCAGAATCAAACAGGTATGGTCCTATGTGAGACTACAGGGTTCTAGTCTATATGTAAAGCTGTGTGTATGGATCGTTTTCTCTCTTCTCCAAATCAACACCACTCCAGTGCAAGGTGTTTTTATAAGGTGCTCTTCGATCTAGTGACTCTAGCTCCAGATTTACTTCCATGTAGTAGAACACTGTAAATATCTCCGTGGCTTTTCATCAAAAGGTTGAACTGGACTCGCGTCACATGGGCTGGGTGACAAGCGAGCTCCCTGGAGGGGACCACCATGTGATCAAGGTGGAGCTGAAGGGTCCGGAGAACACCCTGAGGGTGCGCCAGGTGAAGGTGCTGGGTTGGAAAGAGGGCGAAAGCATCAAGATTCTGGGGCAAATCTCCGCCAGCATGGCGCAGCAGAAGAACTGCGAGGCCGAGACTCTCCGAGTGTTTCGCCTCATCACCTCACAGGTCCGTGTAACCGCTTCATCCGCACGTGATCACCTGACAAACATCTGGAGGCTCTCGGCAGCGTTGAGATTTACTCTGTTGTGCTCATTTAGGTCTTTGGAAAGCTCATTTGTGGAGACGCAGAGCCGACGCCAGAGCAGGAGGAGAAAAACCTCCTTTCAACACCCGAGGGAGAGGACAAGGTCTGGCCCTGACAGTCTGCCTGTGCTGTTAAACCAAAATGTTGACTTCCCTTTAGCCTGAGGTTTTACACGTTGTACGTTTTTATGACTAGGTTCCATCGGACGCTGACCTTAAAGAGCACATGGTGGGCATCATCTTTAGCAGGAGCAAACTCACCAACCTCCAGAAACAGGTGATTAGTCAGTTCTTTACGCCATCATCAAGTAGGAATTAAGATCTCAGCCCTCGTACCTAACGCGCATACTCGTCTCAGGTGTGCGCCCACATCGTGCAGGCCATCCGCATGGAGGCCACGCGTGTGAGGGAGGAGTGGGAGCACGCCATCTCCAGCAAAGAGAACGCCAACTCCCAACCCAGCGACGACGACGCCTCCTCGGACGCCTACTGCTTCGAGCTCCTGTCCATGGTCCTGGCTCTGAGTGGCTCCAACGTGGGCCGCCAGTACCTAGCGCAGCAGCTCACCCTCATGCAGGACCTGTTTTCACTGCTGCACACGGCCTCCCCGAGAGTTCAGAGACAGGTGGGGGGAGTGGACTGCACCGGACTGTTTGCACCCATGCTCATTAGCCATAACTTTGAGGCCCAGAGGAAATACTTCAGCCGGATATTCATCAAAGATTTTAACAGAAGAATAAACAAACAACAATAGAATCAAAATATAAAAGCATAGGAATTTTTGAATAATAATTATTTAGTGTGAAAGAAATAATACCGGCACCATTGCAAAATAGCACGAACGCAATAACATTAAACAATAAACGAAAAGCAAATGTAATGTGCAGACCAGACATGATACTAACCCCTAAAATACAAAAGTAATATTGTGCATGATATAGAAAAGTTTTACAGAGCTATGTTGCACATAAATGAATGAAAATGATATTGGAATAATAATATTGGACAAATCTTCTTTCCTAAATTATTCGGCCTTTTGTCCTTTGCCACACTACTGCTGACTAAGACGTGGCTTGGAGTTATTTTTCCCGTGTAACATTTAGAAAGAGCCCGTTTTTCTTTCAGTGTGCCCTCGCTGAGGCAAAAGCCTTGCGGCTCTAAATGATCTTGTCTGCCATCTGCTCTCATCTCAGGTCACATCGTTGCTTAGGCGCGTCCTTCCAGAGGTCACGCCAGTGAGACTCGCCAGCATCATCGGGGTGAAGGCCCTTCCTCCGGCGGACATCAGTGACATCATCCACTCAACAGAGAAGGGAGACTGGAACAAGCTCTGCATCCTCGACATGTTCCTGGGCTGCATCGCGAAAGCCCTCACAGTGCAGCTGAAGGCCAAAGGCACCACCATCTCTGGCACGGCCGGCACGGCCGCGGGCAAAGGAGTCACCACCGTCACGCTGCCCATGATCTTCAACTCCAGGTGAGTTACTTAACGTCGGGCCTAATCAGTTTGGAGAAATTCGTGTGGCCGCGTTCATCAGTTTTCATATTTATTGCCACTTTTTTATGATCAGCTACATCCGCAGGGGGGAGAGCCACTGGTGGATGAAAGGCTCTACACCTCCACAGATAGCAGAGATCATCATAAAGCTGGTCAAAGACATGGCAGCGGTAAGTTCTCGCTGTTAAAGGGACAAAGTCCTCTTACCTGTAGCCTTCCACAGAGCAGTTTCCCACAGGAACTATATTTGCCAAACGGATTACCTTCAGTAACTGAGCCTAAATATCAAAAACAGATGTATCTTTGGGGTGAACCTTGCATCTTTTCGTTTAACTCTCTGACTGCCTAATTCGATTCAGAACCACATTTGACATCTTGTATTGTATTGTGCTTGCTGTTTTTAGGGCCACCTTTCCGACGGTTGGTCCAGAGTCACCAAAAACGCAATAGCGGAGACCATCATAGCCCTGACCAAAATGGAGGAGGAGCACCGATCTCCTGTACGCTGTATCGCCACCACAAGGGTATGCGCACAAAGCTCCATCCGTCCAGCACGTTTACGACTAATGGATATCGGCTGACCACATTACATCATGTTCTGTCTCACAGCTGTGGCTGGCCTTGGCTTCGCTGTGCGTGCTGGACCAGGACCATGTGGACAGGCTGTCCTCCGGTCGCTGGATGGGCAAAGACGGTCAGCAAAAACAGATGGTGAGGCCGATATACAAGGCACAGTTCAAAATAACTGATATTCAAACAATACTAAATGGATTCCCTCCTCCTCTTATCCACAGCCTATGTGTGACAATCACGATGACGGCGAGACGGCGGCCATCATCCTGTGTAACGTGTGCGGCAACCTTTGCACCGACTGCGACCGCTTCCTCCACCTGCACCGACGCACGCGCTCTCACCAGAGACAGGTGGGTGTCGGCCGCTAGTAGGAATCTATTCATGGAAGCAATGCGGAGGAGAGAGAGCTGCTGTTAAAGCTTGTGCTCGTGGCTGCTTTCAGGTGTTTAAGGAGGAAGAGGAGGCCATAAAGGTGGATCTCCATGAAGGCTGTGGGAGGACCAAGCTCTTCTGGCTCATGGCCCTGGCCGACTCTAAGACTATGAAGGCTATGGTTGAGTTTAGAGAGCACACAGGTAACATGGCAACAAAGCGTGTCACTTTGCTTTTCTCTGGGGTATCAATTTAGTATTGCTGCGAAGGTGTTGCGTAAAAACCCCTTTTGACTTTCACTTTCTTTTGCAGGTAAACCAGCCTCCAGCAGCTCAGATGCCTGCAGGTTCTGTGGGACGAGGAACGGCACCGAGTTGTCTGCAGTGGGCAGCGTCTGCTCAGACCCAGACTGCCAGGTACAACTTAATGCGAACCGCCATCACCTGGGCTCTCATTTAGAACCGCCGGGGACGCATCAAAACGGGGCCCGGAAGACTTTCCACGAAAAAAGAGATCTATAAACTTACTTGACGGGAGAATCTCTGTACCTGCACGGAGACTCCGTGTTCCATGGTTAATGAACGTTTTGGAGACGGGGGAAATTAGCAGCCCACATGAGGTGTTAAAATGAAGTGTTGAACCACGCGTGACGATGTGTCGGGCAGGTGGCTCTGTGTGCGGTGGCTCCTGTCACCAGTGTGCGACTGGCTGAAGGATCACATAAAGTGCTCCGAGTGGTCTGAAGACTAGAAAAGAGATGTATGGAGACAATGTCAACTGTTTCTTCAGTCACCTTCACCTCTCAAGTCTTCATCACCATCTTCATCATTAGGATTGTGTAAATTGCACCGCGTTGCAGTAGTAAAGTGTGCTTCGCTGAAGTACTCACTCGTTGCTGTCACGTCTTCTCCCTCAGGAGTACGCTAAACTGGCCTGCAGTAAAACTCATCCCTGTGGACACCCCTGTGGAGGAGTGAAGAACGAGGAGGCCTGCCTCCCGTGTCTGCACGGCTGCGACAAGAACACCGGCTGTCTGAAGCAGGATGCAGACGACATGTGCATGATCTGCTTCACGGAGGCCCTCTCCGCTGCTCCTGCCGTACAGGTACAGCTGCTTGCAGATGCTTGACCACCACGGGGAAGAGTTTCACTTCAGCGTTCATGTTTCGTCTGACCCCTTCGCTCTGTTCTCAGCTGGACTGCACGCACGTGTTCCACCTGCAGTGTACTCGTCGTGTTCTTGAGAATCGCTGGCTCGGGCCCCGAATCACATTTGGGTTCATGCTGTGTCCCATCTGCAAGGTACGTTATTGACCGAGCCTCTGACTCGACGAGATTAACTCGGCATACGAAGACAGCGTACTGTTTCCACCGCACCTCAAGGTTGATTGAGCTCGGTTTGCTCCGTTTGTTGAGCGAGCTCCTGTTCAAAGTGAACACTGCACACGTACAGTCAATTCAACAGAACCACATTTATGAACCTGGGATGCCCTTTTTTCTCTGTGTGCCTCCAGAACAAAATCAATCACTCAGTGATCAAGGACCTGCTGGACCCCATCAAGGAGCTCTACGAGGACGTGAGGAGAAAGGCTCTGATGAGGCTGGAGTATGAGGGTCTGCATAAGAGTGAGGCCATTACCACACCGGGAGCACGTTTCCACAACGACCCTGCAGGCTTTGCCATGAACAGATATGCGTACTACGTCTGCTATAAGTGCAAGAAGGTACTACATACCTTTTAAAGTTTTCATAGTCATATAGTGTTTGCGGTTTGAAAATGAACGGTCGCCCACTGTTCTCCAGGCCTATTTTGGGGGAGAGGCTCGCTGCGATGCTGAGGCCGGTCAGGGAGACGACTACGACCCCAGTGAGCTCATCTGTGGAGCGTGCTCAGATGTGTCCAGGGCTCAGGTGGGTAAACTATGCCTTTTGCTATGAAAACGGTAAAAAAAGTGTCATAAAGGATTGACACAGCTCTCGTTATTGTTAATACGCGGCTGGAATCAGCAGGCGGTTAGCTTAGCCTAGCATAAGGAGTTGAAGCAAGGTGACCAGCCTGGTTCTGTCTGAATGTAACAGAATCTCCTGAAGCTCATTAATTAACTGCTTGCTTATTTAATCCAAAAAGCATGTAGTTTTACAGGGAATCTCTCACTCGACAGTTTGTGGGTGATGCTCAGTGACGAACTTGAGTCTTGTCGTCTCTGCCGGAAAATTGGTATCAATCTTGTTGTGTTTTTTGGCATAAAGGTGGAACGGCAAGTTTCCTTAAAAAGGATGTTCATATGTTGTCTACCCCTGATTTATTCTCGTTCACTTGTCACCAGATGTGCTCTAAGCACGGCACAGACTTCCTGGAGTATAAATGCCGGTACTGCTGCTCGGTGGCCGTTTTCTTCTGCTTTGGCACCACACACTTCTGCAACGCCTGCCACGATGACTTCCAGAGGATGACCAGCGTCCCCAAGGAGGAACTGCCCCATTGTCCCGCAGGTGCCCAATGATTATATTGACTACACTCTTCAGGGGAATGTTGCATTAGTCATACTGATGTTATATAGCAGATAAGAAAACACAAGTAAGTTGTCATTCTTGTCCTTTCTGTCACAGGTCCCAAAGGCAAGCAGTTGGAGGGTACTGAGTGCCCCTTGCATGTGGTCCACCCGCCAACGGGGGAGGAGTTTGCGCTGGGCTGTGGGGTTTGCAGGAATGCCCACACCTTCTAAACAACGCGAGACTTCTACTGAAAACCAGTTTGTCTACTGTGATTTCTGGCTGCTGCTGAGGCTCAGCCGTGAAGCTTGGCTCTCCCATTGTCAAGTGTCCTGGACACTGGACCAGGTTTCTGTCCTACGAGGGTCCTCAGGTCCGCTCTACAACATCAGTATCCGGGCTCCGCTACAAACACTAGCTGTGGTTCCTTTGGACTTTGAGTGACCTGAAAGGGGCGGGCGGTGGGGGAAGAACAATAGCATTTAAAAAAAAGAAGAAGAAGAAGAAAAAAAAAAGAATATCTTGTGACGTGTTTGCATGCGGCCGTTGTACTCCCTCGGCTTCTATAGACGTTGCACACCTCCCGATCACTGAAGTGTACCAATACAACATTAAACATGGAATATGAAACAATTTTGCTTAAAGGCAACTGTGGCTCAGCGTGGGTTTAAAAAAAAAAAAAGAAAGAAAAAGGAACCGGCCGTATTTCCAGATTCCTTACTATAAATTTAAAATATTGTTGTATGTAAACTTTTTCGTAATCTTGCACAGTATTCTCCACTGTCGAGTGCATCATGGGTTGACAGACAAAAAAAATAAAAGAAGTTGGATAAGACTGTTAAGTATAGTTATGTTTGGGAGGAAAATAGTGTACGATTTATCTAATCTTGTATATAATGATACTATTCAAAATAGCTGTATTCCGAAGTTGCTACTCTTCACTTCAGTTTTGTTTGATATTCTGGGTTATGTTTTGAGCCAGAACTTTTAATGAAGTGCAATACTGGGTGTGCCTCCTATTTTGCAGCTCTTTAACCTATGGAATGTATGTCAATAAAGCCACTGTACATTTTTATACAGTAGACAGTCGTAATTCCCCCTCTGCTAAATGTCGGATCTCTTCGGTTGTGTGGAAATGAGAGGAAGGAGCCGGGCGCCTGCAGTGAGTGATGATGGATGGAAATTTTATTTGCAGCTCTGTCAAAAAGAAGAAAAAAAAGTACCAAAATCCTACAGTAATACAAAAATAAACGAAAGACCTCACGGTGAGACTGATTACAGCTGAATGATTTGAGGGGCCAGTCGTCACGCCAAATAAAATTGTGCCCCTGTGATGCTTTGGCCTGGCAGGAGGCAGGCGGGGTCAAGGGTCAGAGGAACAGAGTGTGGGGGGGGGGGAAAGCTGCTGTTATATAAAAAAGCTTAATACTTGTGAATCTGCTCTGTAATATCTGTGGTGGATGGAGTCGAATGGTAATAAACCATGTTCTCTGTTTCGCAAAGTACGCACTGTGTCATTAATGAGTGGTGACATTTCCATCACCTGCAGGTACGCTTTGCTTTAGATGGATTTATATTCAGACGTAATGGTGCAAAATCTAAAAAAAAAAAATTTGTTCGTCTTTTTCAAAGCAACTAGATGATTTTCTAAAACGTTTGGTTTGCCTCTTAAGTGGATTTAATTGTATTAAATCAAGTATGAGATCCATGGCAACAACACGACAGCCAGTCTCTACCAGCGGCCATTTTGCTTTGCATTTCCCATGATGCACCGCAGCTGTCACAACAACAACTCTACGCCATTTCAGAGTCAGGGGGGCGAAACACCCGCGGAGGAACAACCGTGGGATCTGTGCGTTTGTCCGGGGACAGCCCCTCTCGGCTCCTCGCCGCTGCCGGTGTTCCGATGCAGGTTTTCGGGCTCGTGCGCGGCAGCTTGTCCCGCCCGGGCTGAAGCGCCGACGGGCCGTTTAGTCGGGTTGTCGTGCTAACGGCTAATAAGCTAGCTGAGCGTAAATAAGGTACGTTACCTGGCATGCGTCGCAACGTCAGTTCACGCATCACGAAAAGACGTATGTGTCATTCTGTAACATGATGTTTAGAGTTTAATCTGGGGCCAGAAGTCTATGTCGAGTTAGTTAAATAGCCGGCGGTACGTGCATTTGACTGTTAATGGCAGCTAACGCTAATGCTGCACACAGCCTGTACGCGTTACGTCATGTGCGAATTAGCATCGCTATTTACAATGGCATAATTAGACCTTTTTCAAATTGACATACCCACAACAAACTGTGATAAATGCATTAAAAAACACAAGGAAAACAACGAAATAACTTCAAATGTTCTAATAAGTCTTCTAATAACGTTACACAAAGCAGTATCGAAGAAATAGCAAATAACGTTACATTCAAATTCACCGTTTATCCGGTGTAGAAAGATGATTTGTTATCCAGTTGCAGTGAGGAAAGAGGGTTTAGACCTAGAAATCTGACCCCAAGTGACTATGGATCTACTCTCACATCAGATGGGGATAAAGTGAATGGGCCTTTTTAAAGAATCTATATTACAGCTGTGCGGCAGCTGCCTGTGTTTTGGACCATAACGGTCATCTCGATGTTTCAGGATGAAGCGCATCAAAGGAGGAGAGGAGGACGGCCACGGCCCCCCCAGTGGGAGCCCACCGGAGGCTTGCAAGAAGGTGCGGACGCAGGCGAGCGAGGAGTCCGAGGCAGCGGGCGCCAGCGACGCGCCTGTAAGCGACTGGGCGCGACTTCCCCAGGAGCTGCTGCTGCACATCTTCCAGTACCTCCCACTGCTGGATCGGGCCTACGCCTCTCAGGTGGGCCGCCGGTGGAACCAGACGTTCCACATGCCCGAGCTGTGGAGATGCTTTGAGTTTGAGCTTAACCAGCCGGCGAGCTCCTACCTCAAAGCTACACACCCGGATCTCATCAAGCAGATCATAAAGAGGCACTCCAACCACCTGCAGTACGTCAGCTTCAAGGTACGGGCGGAACAGCTGCTTGAGTACCGGCTGGTTTAACAATGTTTCTATGGTTCTGAAGTGACAGCCAACGTGTGTGTGTGTGTGTGTACTTGCCAGGTGGACAGCAGTACAGAGTCGGCAGAAGCAGCGTGTGACATCCTCTCGCAGCTGGTGAATTGCTCCCTGAAGACCTTGGGGCTCATTTCTACAGCGAGGCCCAGTTTCATGGAGGTTCCAAAGGTACAATTAGCATGAAACAAAGTGGTCAGGGAGAAATATACAAAGAAGGATCTTGATTTTTTTTTTTTGTAGTTGACCGGCATATTTCATTGTATCTTCCTTTAATGTCATTGGCGTCCTAAAAGCTGAGCGTTGGTTGATCGAATAGTTTTGACATTGTCTTTTTACCTGAGGATGAAAAGCAGTGTTCTCATGCGTGGTCACGGTTGTTATCTTTGCATATTTCATTTATTGTCTTTTTAATTCACTGTGGACCTTTTTTCTAAGAAAAATAGAATGCGTTTCTTACACGTGGATCATTCTGTAGTTCTCACACTACTGATGATAAAGTACATTCCAGCTGAAGATATAATTGTTGTCCGGTTGGTAGTTAAGAGTCCGAGCGCTACAGCACATGAACCCTTGTAGCCACATTAGATGAAAGATCCAGTCTGGACAGGTTTACATTATTGTTAACTGTACATTGTGTTAATCAAAGCCACTTTGTTGTACTAAAATCCATGTACCTATTTGTGTGTAGAATTCATTGGGCACGGCACATATGGGTCATTGGCATCCAAATATAATTGATTTGAATATGTCCTCCAAAAGCTGTGTGCTGCTCTGACCACTCGTTCCAAGACATTCTCATGTGTCTTTCCACAGTCTCACTTCATCTCCGCTCTGACCGTGGTGTTTGTCAACTCCAAGTCGCTGTCCTCGCTGAAGATAGACGACACGCCGGTGGACGACCCGTCTCTGAAGGTCCTGGTGGCCAACAACAGTGACACGCTGAAACTGCTGAAGATGAGCAGCTGCCCTCACGTCTCCCCAGCAGGTACGGTCGGGTTCTCGAGCTGAGACACAGTCCTACCACGCGTTCCTTTTCTCTCGTTTTGTTTTGTGGTGGCTCTTGGACGATATTCATAGCCAATTCATAGACGTAAGCTGCGTCTGTTTCTCTTTCAGTCAAATGCTCCTAATTATCTATATGAATTACACGCGGCGTTTCATGTGGGCTGAGCAGCAGGCGTTGCATGATGACTGTGTCCAGTTTCTGGCTCTTAGGTTCATTTTACTCATTGTTTTAAATTCTTCCCCTATGATCACCGATACGGATTCAACCGCAACTCATCTGGCAAATGTAGGAGACGTGTGTCGTTGAGGCGCGATACTTGTCACCCCGTCGATTGCCGCCGTGTTTTTGAGATGCCATTACTGGATTTGATAGATAGATACTTTATTGATCCCTCAAGAGGAACATTTTGTTATCACAGCAGCATGTACAGGGAAGAATAGAATAAAAAGATACACATTATATACAATATAATATTAAATTAAAATATTAAATTCAATTAAATTAAGTAAACTAAACTGAAACAAAAGAATAACCTTCAAAAGAGACAATAATAATAATTTGTAAAAGGAGAAGAGGAAGAGCAGCTACATCACAGCAGAACAGGGTTGTTGTTGTTGTTGTTGTTGGTTTGATTTGGAGAGACCCCTCTGTGCTTGCTTGCAGGGATCCTGTGTGTGGCAGACCAGTGTCACGGCCTGAGAGAGCTGGCACTGAACTACCACCTCCTGAGCGATGAGCTCCTGCTGGCCCTCTCCTCGGAGAAACACGTGCACCTAGAACACTTGCGCATCGACGTGGTGAGCGAGAACCCCGGTCAGCACTTCCACACCATCAAGAGGAGCTCCTGGGACGCCATGGTGCGCCACTCGCCCAAATTCAACCTGGTCATGTACTTCTTCCTCTACGAGGACGAGTTCGGCCCCTTCTTCAACGAGGAGGTCCCGGTCACGCACCTCTACTTCGGCCGCTCGGTCAGCAAGGAGGTGCTGGGCCGCGTCGGCCTCCACTGCCCCCGCCTGGTGGAGCTGGTGGTGTGCGCCAACGGCCTGCGTCCCCTGGACGAAGAGCTGATCCGCATCGCCAAGCACTGCACCCAGCTGTCCGCCATCGGCCTGGGCGAGTGCGAGGTGTCCTGCAGCGCCTTCGTGGAGTTCGTCAAGATGTGCGGCCGCAGGCTCTCCCAGCTGTCCATCATGGAGGAGGTGCTGATTCCAGACAACAAGTACTCCCTGGACGAGATCCACTGGGAGGTCTCCAAGCACCTCGGCCGGGTCTGGTTCCCGGACATGATGCCCACCTGGTAACGAGGCACGCAGCGCGTCCGGTTTGTGCTGCGCAACGTTCCCGGCCTTGCGTGTTTGCATAGAAAAGCCGCAGTGGGATGTTTGGTGGCGACACGGAGAGCACAAGCTAACCGAACTCTTGTGCAGAGACGTAACAGGGCACCCGGCCGCTTTGTTCAATTCAAAGTTGCTTTGCTTCATCGGGAGTCTGGCTTCTTCACACATTAAATCAGCAGGTAGAAATTTCAGAGGGTTTTACGACTGCAAATGTAGTAGCTATGAACATGTTAGCGTGTGTGCGTATGTGAGTGTTTTTAATATTGTGCAGTGATTCAGGAAGATTCGGTAGATATCTGCACGTCACCACCAATTCCATTCTGAGATAGCTGTGCACTCTGGACCCGATACGGCATTAGAGGTGATGCTATTCCCCCCTTGGATGTGACACGAGGTGTTTCGTAGCAATAGTGTTTACTTCAGTTTATACAAGAGTAACGAATGTGATCATGGAGAACAACAGGACGGCATCTCACTCAAGAAAGTATGTTGAAAATGTTAGAATGTGTGTGTGTGTGTGTGTGTGTCTGTCAGTGTGTGTGTGTGTGATGGCAGTGATGCATTTTTCTTTTATTTTTACCAGATGGTTCAGATTTAGTTTTCTCTCCTGCATCTAAAGGCTTAACAGAGACTCGTGTTCAGCTTTCTGAACAGATATATTTTTCCTAAGCACCTTACATAGATACCAAAATGAGGCCCAAATGAAAGCACGGACACAATCTTTATAATATGCCAATTTGTACAAGTTGGATCCTAATGGTTATTTATACTGTTCTGAGGTTCTGTTGAATCGGATACCACCTAAGTGTATTATATAATTATTAATACAAACCAGAGAAATGGTTCTATGTAAATATAAAGTTAACCCTCTGTCTCCTGGGTCATTAATATATTCGTGTTTTATTTGTAGCGTGTGCTCTTTGCCCGTTGGAGCTCCAGAGCTGTTGTCTGTCAGTGGGAGGAACACGCAGCAGACAAACTGGGATCCATCTGCTCGTTCTTTAAGATGTTTCCTGCCCAAAACACTAATTCATTTCAGTCAGATGAGTGGAACAAACTTTCCTTTTTAAGAAGAGACAAATGCATCTGTATATAAAACGCTGTGTTTGGATATTATGAACAGATTTCTTTATTTGGTTTCCTGAACCAACGGCTGGTATCTAATAAAAGCAGAGTGTTGGTTACGCTTTGCTGGATGATCATTTTCATACTGTAGAACATGTTCTAGGAGAAGATGAGTTGTGTGATTCATTGTGTGTTTCGGTTTGACAAAGATCATTAGAACCACCAGGCAGACCAGTAGCACTAGTTTTAAGTCCACTTCCACCAGCTTAAAAACCTTTATCACACACGGGGGGAGAGGAAGTGAGTTAAATCCACTAAAGTGGGTAAAAAATGAAATGTGTATTTTCGTAAAAAGCTCTTTATCAGCAGTGGCCACCGCTGCCCAGCTGTAAATAACGTCGGGGTCTGATCTAGTTTCTCAGCCTCCTGCATTCCTTTTATCTGTGTTGTGTTTCCTGTAAGCTAAGCAGTAAGTTAGACTCCGACTGGGGGCTGTTGCAGGAAGTGAGCGCTCTCCTCACTGCGGTTACACATCACACGGCTGCAAAGTGACGTGCTGCTTTAAATCGTTTTAGCCTGCTGCTCGTCGGCTTTTAATGGAAACGTCAGAGTCCAGATGAAATGCAACATTAAGGTGTTGGGAGTAAACTGGCGAACGCTTGGTCTTATTTGCTTAACTATCACCTGTCTTGGAATAAAAAATGCTTTGGACATATTTTATTGGAAAATAAAAACATTGTGAATCTACTCCCTGCATCTGTTTATTATTTTACATTAAAAAAGCAAAACTGCAAAATGTAATTAGTTAAAACACAAGCAGGCTGCGTGAAAACGAGGGGAAACGTACATATGAAGAAGGACTTACTCCAAGATATTTAATAGACTTAAACTAAAGCATAAATTAAGAGTCCTCAAAAGGTCCGTTTAGTAGCCGTCCTGAGCGTTTGACCTTCATCGGTATTTCCATGTCCTCTTTGTGCTCGAGAGTTCTTGTTCAATGCATCAACAATCTGAAAGCAAACACTGATATATTTGTAATACGTAGCTTATTAAATGGTTTTATAAAATGCAGAGATTAACTTTTCATATTCAACAGATTTGTTCCTGCTTTTCTTATTGTTAATATCTTTGGCTTTTGGGAAATAATTCAATAATTCTTAATGATTAGCAACAAAACAAGGGTACACGTGTGTTAAGGCAAAGGCACCTCTTCATAAGTGATGCGCACGTAGGGAGGCTTCATGGGCAGATGCCAGTACTCAAAGTTGTAGTAAAGGTAGAAGCTCTTGTCCAACACCACCTTCTCATACGCCTCCAGCAGGCTGAGGGCGAAGTCAACCAACGACTGGTGCGGTCTGAACGCGTGGTAGAATTTACGGATGTCCTCCGCCACATTCTTCAGGGCGGGCTGCCCGAATATGGCGCTGTCGTTGCCGAGGAAGGCGGGCTCTCCGCTGTACAGGTAGATCTTGGTGTAGTTGGTTGGAGATCTGCTGGACAGTTTGGCCCCCAGCTCCGTCAGCTTCCGGAAGGCGCGGTGGACAAACTGGGAGCAGTCGTAGGACTCGAACCACACCGTGGCGTTGGGGCCGGGCTCGGAGCGGACGGTCCACGTCTCGTAGTAGATCCCCGTGGTGTTGTCGTCCTGGACCCACTGGGCCATGTCGTTGAACTGGTTCCCTGGACGAAGAAGGACGCGTCGTTTGAGGAAACCGGAGCTACCGACCAAACTGCCAAACACGCAAGCGTCTTTGTGTGGGACCAGTTAGCTACTGCGCCCTTATGTAAACTATGAAATGCAAAACTAAGCTGAAGTTTCCATGAGCCAAAAGGGATCCTGAGAAAAAGTTTAAATGAATATAAAAGAGCATCGCCTGCCTACAATGGAATATGATTATTGTGGCTGGTTGAAGAAATAGTGTCTTTATGCAGATCCAGTCTGATACTGGCGGCCAGTATGAGACCGATCCTTGTCTGTGGTGCTCTGATCGAAGCCCATTTGATCCCACTAAAGATGTACATTTTTATAAATGGCAAAACAAATAGTTTCATTTTAAAAGGTTACTCGCTAAAACAGCATGATTGCATATCATGGGGACTATTGGACATTGATTAAAAGGTGCTTAAGGTCCAACTGTGGCTCATATAAGCAGTTTGAGCAGTGTGATGAACATGAAAGGCATTTATTGACAATAATAAACATGTAGTTATCATTGGTCAATGTTGTTGCACACAAGCACTTCCAAATAAATGAAAACACTATTTTTTAATTCCCTTTGACGCATGTGAAGTCTCACCTGTGAGGGTTCCGATTTTCTCCAGGGTGCCGTTTTGTGACCAGTGGAGGTCATCGATCCCCTGGAAGAAGCAGGCGGCTCCCTGGTTGCACCAGAAAGGTGCGTGCACGTCGGGCCTGACGTGAGGGAAGGTGCAGTTGCCCAGCTGGAACAGCTCATACCACTCCATGGTGTAGTTGGCGCCTGACTCGGCGCTGCTGAAGCCAACGGCATCGTGCATGATGTGCTGTGAACCAACGGAGAACATCTGCTCTGACACGTGCAGCTGTGGATCCATGAATAGACACCAGGTGCACTTCCTCTTTAACAGCCATGCGGTGTTCAATTATATCCGCAGTCATATCTCAATCTCACCTTCAAAGAAAGATCAGCAGCAGTAATAATGGGGATTTTGTGGGAGTAATTAAGAGCTGCATCCGTCATTAAGACTTTGTTTAACTTTTGGTCCAATAATAATAATAATAAGTCCATAATAAAGATGATGCATCTTACGCAGCGTCCACAGGATTCCGTAAACTTACAACTTTCCCCAACAGATCTCCATACTTGAATTCCCACACGGGTGTTTGCAGTCGGTACACTGAGATGACGTCTCTGTCTCTCATGTAGGGGACACGTCCGTCCCTGTCCCCGGTGGGACAGAACGGGTAGACAGCTTCACAGTAGGAGTCCACAGGGGGGCGACGATCGAACCGCCTGTTGACGCATCACACACGTAATATGGCAGACGAAGAATATTCCATCATGGGGCCATAACTACTAAGTTATTATATGAATGTAAAATAGTGAAACGTATAATGTTTGGCTACTAAATGCAGTGGTAGAAAAGTAGAAGGTGAAAAAACTCAAGCAAAGCAAAAGCACGTCAACGTGCATAGTTGTTGAGTGAATGTACTTAACTTAGTTACTGTCCAAACACATTCACATACCGACTAAATTAGATTTCTCACGCGCTCACTCAGCCAGGTGCTGAATTCTAAAAGTTCCCAAAGTCAACTGATCGCACCAGATATCAGCCCGAATAATAAGAATAAGGAGCAATAATACTTTGTGAATCAGTCGATGGAAGTCTGGCAGATACATTTACACTTTGTGCAAACAGGTACTGCGCTGTGTGTCCAGGCTGTCACGTGATCCCACAGAGAAGCGGGTCTGCGGTCTTCGTACCTGTACGGGACGGGCCAGTGCTGCTGTCCGCCGTTAATCACCTGAGCCGCTACCGGGAGCAAGAGGAGCAGGTTCCAGCACGCGGGCGTCATGTTGAAGCCTCGAGACAGCGGGAGGCGCCGGACTCTCCCGTGAAGCGTCCCCTCGGTTCCACTTCCGCATTACCGGTCACGTGCGTTTGTTGATCGTAATAAAACCACAGGATGGGCGTTATGTTACGTTGAACACATGTAAAATAAATACTAATTGTTTTTATGTATCTATTGTTTACACATCGTGATCAGTTACAGCTATTAACTTATGTAGTTCCGGTTCACACCAACTAAATATATTAATAACAAACATAACAATAGATCAAATGACGTATTATAATATTATCTACAATCCAAATGCATATGATGAAATTAAATTAATCAGTACCAAGTTATACAATAAAAAACTCTTACTCTATAACTTGTAAATACTAAATGTATTGCCATGTATTTTATTGTATATGTATTTTAAATTGCAATTATCAGAGATTTCCAAACTGTCCGTATAAAAAGTTGTTCATTTCAATGATCTGTTGTTTAATTAATTTAACATTACTCTTTTTTGACGGATTGCAGCGATCCAAAAGGAGGGACTGAGATCAGCCCGCAGCAGCAGCAGCAGCAGCAGCTCCCCGCCTCGGACACGCGGTGGCGCTGCCGCGCAGAGACACGGCTCGTGGCCGCAGAAGAAGAAGAGGCGAAGAAGAGTCGAAGGACGGGCTCGTCCTCTGCGCTGACAGCCCGCCATGCTCACCCTGCTGCGCCGCTGCGCTCACCGCCCGCAGACGCTGCGCGCCGCTCAGACAGTGAACACGAGCTGCTACGCCACGCGGATGGAGAAGCGCGTGGCCGTGGTCCTGGCGGGCTGCGGGGTCTATGACGGCAGTGAGGTGCACGAGGCCTCCGCTGTGCTGGTCCACCTGAGCAGAGGAGGTGCGAGCGTAAGTTTGAGACCGATGTCCAGTCTGGTCACTTTTCATAGTTCCTTTTACCGCTTAGACGAAAACGAAAGATTTGACTACGACGATGATAATTCTCGAGGCCTCAGACTGGTAAATTGAATTGAATGGGTCGCGTAATACTGAGTTCAGAAACTTTGTTATTGGTGTTTTGGTCTGGATGTTTTTTCAAAGTCAGAAGTATAAATTATTAATTTGAAAAAAATAATTTGCGAACGTACACGAGTTGCTGCGTATCAGAGTCTTACTGTTTCCTGTATCTTCTGCAGGTCAACATGTTCGCCCCCAACATCAACCAGATGCACGTGGTGAATCACCTGAAGGGCGAGCCCACCGAGGAGAAGAGGAACGTGCTGGTGGAGAGCGCGAGACTGGCCCGTGGAAACATCCAGGACCTGGCTAACCTCCGTGTGAAAGACCACGACGCCGTCATATTCCCAGGTTCCTTCAGCATCTCGTTTCCTTAGCGGAATGCACAGAACCAATAATGTTCCAATAATGACTAGTTTCCTCCTTAACCAACCAAAGAGTGTTTAAATGACTCCAGGAATCCCATCTCTCGTCGTCTCGCAGGAGGTTTCGGGGCAGCGAAGAACCTCTGCACGTGGGCCGTGCAGGGGAAGGACTGCGCTGTGAACGACGAGGTTAAGGCGGCGCTGCAGGCGTTCCACGGCGAGGGGAAGCCCATCGGCCTCTGCTGCATCTCACCTGTCCTGGCGGCCAAGGTGTTTCCCGGCTGCGAGGTCACCGTCGGCATCGAGAAGGACGACAAGTGAGTCTCTACTCCGCTGAACGGGATCGGCCCTTAAGGGGAACTCTCATTCCGCTGATTCAGTACTGCTGCTCGAGGCTTCCTACACTGCTGATAGTATACAAGGTGATTTAAGAAACTGTCCGCCATAAACGGGCCTCTCTCCCCTCTCAGGTACCCCGACACGGCCGACACCGCAGCGGCCATCACGCAGCTGGGCTGCAGGCACGTGAGCAAGAGCGTCGGCGAGAGCCACGTGGACGAGAAGAACAAGCTGGTCACCACCGCCGCGTTCATGTGTAACGCCCCGATGCACGAGATCTACGACGGCATCGGGGCGATGGTGCAGGACGTCCTGAAACTCGCTTGATTTGGAACGAGACTCGCCTAATAACCACTTCCTGGGGAGATGATGGAGGCCGATCTTTACCCCTCACTCCAAGCAACTTGCAGAAGCCTGTTGGTCTGATTTTATTTAGGCAGAAATCTCCGTTGGAGTGAATCTTAGTGATCAGCATTAGAAAACAAGCCACTATCGCATTGATAATGCTTATCGGTTGTGGTGTGGTACAAAAAAAAATGCAATAAAACGTAGAAGTTGACTTTCTCAGCGTGCTTTATTTCTTGCGCCCGTGGAAGAAAATGCTGAATACAAAATATTTACAGTGATTGTTGCGGAAGTTAAGTTAAAGCCATTTTCATAAAAGTGGTGAACAATCACATGCTCCTCGTGCTGTACAGCTGCTCCTCTTCACCGCTCGTCATGCTCAGGTACGCGTTTAGGATCGAGCATTCCCTCACGCTCTCAATGTTCCCGACGACGTCGATCACGCCCTCCACCCCCTCCGTGCACAACACGGAGGACGCGTTAACGCTGAACTTCTCCACCAGGTCCTCTTGACTCAGTGGCTTCCTCCAGTGGCCGTAGAAGGTGTCGCACCTGGCCGCGTGACTCTGGCCCTGCGCGGTCTCGATCTCCACCTCGCAGTACATCTGGTCGAAGCTGGGTGGGTTGTCTCCAGGGGTCTCCACCTGCACTTTGGACAGCAGCTCCTTCAGGGCGGGCCGGTCGACGTGCGCTCTGCTGAAGGAAGACACCGTCACCTTGTTGTCCAGCAGGGCGGAGGAGGCGTTGAACTGAAACGAGTGCCTGGCTTGGTGCTCCGTGGCGGGGAAGGCGCAGTTGACGTACTTGGACGGAGGCACCCTGAGTGTGACCTTTCTGACGCGGCCGAGGTCAAAGTTACCGACCGCGGCGACGAGTTTTGCGCGAGCCGCCAGGGCCGCGTCCACCGCCCAGTGCATCCCCAGGTGAGCGGGGATGCGCTTGAACGCCACGTCCTGGTCTTCCAGGATCCACCTGAAGTCCGTGGAGGACGACCCCTCCATTGCTGAAGGACCGTAGTCCTTGTAGTAGACGCCAAACCCGCCGCTCACGTCCAGGATGTCTGGGTTCCCCTCCAGCCCCATGCGGGCCAGCTGGGCGGCCTCCAGGCCTCGGCGAGCAGCGTTCCCCACGTGCAGGGGTTTGGTTTGCGTGGCGGCGTTGGCCAGCGGGGCCCCGGCAGAGGAGGCGGCGATGGCCAGAGCGTGGGCGCACTGTGCCGGGGACAGACCCAGCAGCTTGGCTGAGGCTGCGGCGCTTCCCATCACCCCCACCACGCTGGGAGGGTGGAATCTGAGAGGGGGGGACGACCGACAACAAGGGAGTGTTGATGATTAGTCGGTTAAACAAAAAACTTTTATTAAAAAAAACCTACATTTTCAGGCATATATGCCGAGTGTTTACTGGTTAGTGGTAATAAATTGGATTTCCGTGGGATTCTCTGACAAACCAGCTGTTTAAGGATGTTTCCTCGAACTCAAGACTAATAATGACTTGATTAATTAAGAAAGTAAAAGTATAGTTCTGTTGTTTTATCAAAATGGTATTTTATTGGAAGTACTACAAAGGAGAACTAGTCAAATGTTAATAGTCGACAGTGTAGTTTCTGGATTCTCAAGGTTTGTTTGCTAAAAACGAAAGCAGCTCGAGCCTTCGCAGGAGCGGCTCCCACACTGTGGAACGCTTTGCTGTTTTCTGTGCGGTCTGCGGCGAGCCTTTCCACCTTTTAAAACTCGCCTTAAGGCCCACCTGTTCACTTTGGCCTTTGGCTGAGTTAAGTCACCTGCATTGGATCTTTTATTTGTTTGCCTTTTACTGTTTTTTGCTTGTTTGTTTATTTTACTTTTGCTTGTATTGTTTTATTGCTGCTGATTGTCTTTATCCTGTAAAGCACTTTGGCCGGCCACTGGCCTTTACAAGTGCTATATAAATAAAATTGACATTGTTCTTCAAAGCGATTACCACAAACTAAAATCCATTCACCAAACTGTCCATATGGCGACAGACCAGTAGAGGGAGGTGTTGTACTTTTGGTAACGTGGTTTACCTCTTCGCTCAAATAAATCCAACATTGGCGCATCAACTCCAGCCTGAAGCTGGTTATTGCACACATCTCACCTCTCTGGGATGCTGTAGGCCTCTCTGGAGAACCTCATGAGTCTCCCCTGCACCTCGATGCCGACGTTGAAGGCCAGCAGCAGGTCCAGACCCGAGGGCGGCCTGGGCAGCGTCTTTGCCAGGGCCAGCAGGGCGGGCAGCACGGCTCCAGAGGGGTGAGTCGCTGGGTGCCAAGTGTCATCAAAGTCCATGGAGTGAACCTGTGCCCGAATGATGACAGAGCAGGTCATCAGAGATCGTCTGTGTTTGCTGAGCATTGGGGTGCGTTTGTTTGAGCGGCCTTACCGCGATGCCGTTGACGAACGCGGCGTAGGGAGGAGGGAGACTGAGCTCTGTTTGACCCCAAACCCTGCTCATCTCGTCAGACCTGAACAGCTGAAATCAGACGACGGTTTGAGGACAAGCGTGGAATCACTCAGAAGAGACGTTCCATTCCGTGACCGTACCTTGCTGTATGCGAGCGCCTTCTTGAAGACATCTGTCCTGGTTCCTATCAGCCCGACGCCCAGGGTGTCCAGCATCATCCTTTTGCTCCTGTTAATCACGCCATCTGTCAGCTGGGGGGTGTTGAGGCCGTGGATAGCAGCTCCAAAGCTCCCTGTGATGCCCTGGAGAGGTTGAAGCGGTCAGATGCAAACCTCCAGAGAGATAGTGCAGTTGTGCGGAATCAAAGCAGGCTAAGAAGTTCATGTTTGTGTGTCTGCATTGTGAAATGCTGACTGTACAACCTAAAAAAGAGAAGGAGAACAGTTCTACCTTGCGTAGCATTGTGGTCCCTCAACAACGTCAAGAAGTGATAAAACATCCGAGTGCAGCCGTCTTTTATAGGTCAGTACGGAGTCTGAAGGCTGGACCACTAAATTTCCGATGTGACTTAAAACCTCAAAACTCCCATGAGGAGAAGTGGCAACTTTCACAATGACTGGACGTCTTCTGCCATCGGCTTTTCCTCATTTTGAACGTATTGGCAAATTTCCTCATTCTCTAGGTTTTTACCTCCAAAGCTAAACTCCAATAATGGTTGTTTTTGATGATTAGGAGAGTGATTAAAAGATGAAGAGTAGTTCTGCATGTTACAAACATAAAATAAATCATTATAGTAAATCTCTGCTGTATTCATATGGGCTGTATTTAGTCCTGTGTGAAGTGTGAAGGTGACTTTATTTCGCTTTAATGGAGTGACTTGGTGAGAGCAGATCCTCTGCTGTCGGCTCCCGAGATGACAAATATTGGAAATTCAGCCCTCTGCAATGGGGAAATGAGTCGTCATCTGATGAACTACCGTAACCTTTGACACCAGCCGTCAGGCTCACAGAAGGACCGTGAATTGATATAAACTAGGACATTTTCTAATTGCACTACATTTGTCTATTAATGCAATCTGTCAGTATTTATGTTGGTTTGGTCAAGTTAAAATTCACACTACTTGAATGGGGAAAAGCTGAATGATTTAACAATTGATCATTAAGTGTAGTAAAAGTAACTGTCCATAAGTTCAATCACTTTGAACATTAAATAGCTGCTAAAATACAACGATAAACCAAATGCATAACCATCTATTAAATGAAGTATGAATAAATGCTTTGAAATGTGATTTGTATTAGACATGAATATGTGGTATTTTTAAATAAATGTATATTTAACTGTGTCTAAATGCTGTCCCAGTTTATTTAGAAACACTGTGCTGTGTCCACACAGCGTCCTAATGAGAACGCATCTTTGCTCTCAACCCCTTCTAGGGTTAAGACTCGAGAAGTGAAAGAGAAAGGTTACATTAGGGTAGGATTAGGGTTAGATTAGGGTTAGACTAGGGTTAGACTAGGGTTAGATTAGGGTTAGACTAGGGTTAGACTAGGCTGACTGTTGATGTGGCTGGTGTCACTTCCTCTGGACGGGAATCCGTGTGATGCAGAAGTCGTTGCATCGTCCTCTTGATTCCAACACGAACATCTTAACATTTATTCTCAGAACTTTGTGTGTGCTGATTTGAATGTTACGATCTTTACATCATCACTTCTTGAAAGGGCTGTTGTGTGTGTGTGTGTGTGTGTGTGTGTGTGTGCGTGCGTGCGCTGCAGTTCCATCCAGGTGCAGTAGGTGTCGCTCTTTCCATATGTATTGATTCGGTGGTGGAATAACTGACGGGGGCTGAAAAACAATCCTCCCGATTAGATGAATTGATTCCGTTGTCACCCGGAGGAGCGTTAACATTTAAACCACACACAACCAATGACACACAACTATGTGCTCCAAGTGGCGCACACGTGTCTTTCTGTCTCTCACACACGTGCACACACAAATAAATAGAGGGAGAGGGCCGTGCACGCGCTGTGACACGCGGGACCGCTTGCGTGCACATTTTTGGGGGCCAAAGACATGTTATGGTTAAATGCTAATTTTACAGTCGAACCCCGCATCGCCCACGCGCACTCGCGCACGTGGTAAAAGCCAAGGCTTGATAAACACGCCGCTGGCAGGCGGCTGCTCAGTGTTCCCACTGACCCCCGCGCTCCATCCTCGCAGAAGATGGCACTGGCCGACACGGAGCGCGCGGTGCCCAACTGCGCCGACTCCGGCTCCCCGTTCTCGGAGATCATCGAGCTGAACGTCGGCGGACAGGTGTACGTCACACGGCACAAGACGCTGATCGCGGTCCCGGACTCTCTGCTGTGGAACATGTTCAGCAAGAAGTCCCCCAAGGATTTGGCGAGGGACAGCAAAGGGCGCTTCTTCTTGGACCGGGACGGGTTCTTGTTCCGCTACATCCTAGATTACCTGCGCGACCTGAACCTGGTCCTGCCGGACTACTTCCCGGAGAAGAGTCGCCTGCAGAGGGAAGCCGACTTCTTCCAGCTGCGGGACCTCGCCAAGCAACTCAGTCCCCGCGTGAGCAAGGACAACTCCATCGGCGAGGAGATCGGCCACAGCGACCCGGAGGACGGCGCGCAGCAGAGCGGCCCCTCCGGCGCCGCCGCCGCCGCCGCCGAGACTTTACGCGCCGTGTCGGTCGCCGGGGCGACGCGCTCCCCGTCTCTGGACTCCAGGAAGTCGGGCTACATCACGATAGGTTACCGCGGCTCCTACACCATCGGCAGGGACATCCAGACCGACGCCAAATTCCGCAGGGTGGCGCGCATCACGGTGTGCGGGAAGACGGCCCTGGCCAAAGAGGTGTTCGGGGACACGCTGAACGAGAGCAGAGACCCGGACAGGCCCCCGGAGAGGTACACGTCCCGCTACTACCTCAAGTATAATTTCCTAGAGCAGGCGTTCGACAAGCTGACGGAGGTGGGCTTCCACATGGTGGCCTGCAGCTCCACGGGCACCTGCGCCTACACCAGCAACGACCCAAACGAGGACAAGATCTGGACGAGCTACACCGAATATGTCTTCTGTCGGGATTAAGCAGCAGCTCGAGTTGATGTAAATCGACGTGTCGTAATCTAGCGGGGAATGTCTTTTTAATATGCGTTTGCTGTGGCCACTGCGTCTTGCTCCATTACTCTATCAATGGCAGCGTTGCCTCTTCTGTTTCCTTCTTCTTTTTGTTTAAGCCAGAGACACAAAATGCCACTAAAAGAATCCACACAAACGAGTGAGGATTGTGATCTGGACGCTCATCGTTTGAGCCCGAAAGACCCACAGCAAGCAGGAAACAAACGCAACCAACTTGCCGTCATCTCACAGGACTGGATATGAATGTTCAGTCAAGTGTGACTCGGTGCTGTGGGAGTTGAGCAGAGTGCAAGAAGGAGCAGCTATCAGTATTCAGTGCCATTGTAAGTTGTGTGCTCGATCACATGTCTTGTATCATCTTCTCATGCATCCATCCGTGTTCTGTCACTGACATGACTGTACGTGTATCTGCTTGCTCGGTAGAGTTGTGTTTGTTAAAAAAAAAAAACTCTGCAGGTGAAATAAAATCTTGTACTTGACTATTGTCGGCACCCATGACCTTTTCAACTTTGCTCAGTGGGGATTCAAAGAGTCAGATGCCCGCAGCCCGCACGGCACTGACGGCTGCCAGCTCAACAAAATCTGCTGCCCCAGCAGCCCCTCAAATCCCTCAAACCACATCCATTCAGCTCACACAGGCAGGAAAACCTCCACGCTTGAGTGTAGTCTTGCATGTAATTACTGTAGGAGAAATACTTATCTGTGTTTTTGTCACACAAATTCAGCGCTGATGCAAATGTTGCAGCTGCAAACACATGATGTCATTATCATTTCAAGTGTCGATAATGAAAGGGTCCAGCTGCACACGGGTCTGCCAGGCCGACTGAATGCAGAGGGGATTTGGTGCACCTCTTGTTGCAAGAGCAGCGTTCTGCCCGGTGTACAGCCAGCGCTGGATTATGTTTCATCCACACGACAAAGAGGCCTTTCCTTTAGAGCCATGGGTGGGGAAGTGGTTCACGGACCAGGGGCAGTGATGTAAGCCCCGGCAGGGATCCAGGGACATCCTTTTAGTGGGACAGTCCTCGGGTTTCTTGTCGGTCTGGTTTAATTTGGCCTTGAAAGTGTTTTTTTGGAGGTAGAGCCTTGTGATGGGGATCAGTTTGGGGATCGTTGTGGACACACAGATTCAAAAGGAGTTCACTCCAATCATTCAGGGCGACGATTCGATTGGCACGTCAGAGCACAGGGGTAAAATATGCTGTCACGATGGTTTGATTCCATTTAGATTCCTCCGTTTCAGGGTCCTGGTGCTGCGATGCTCGATGGGACGCTTCCAGTGCAGAGCCATATTTTGTGTTTTTAGTAATAGCTGCTTTCAATGCAATATCAAAATATCTGGTTTCCATAAGAAGCAGCCCGTCTCAATGGTTTGAAATGGACATGAGCTTTGAGTCTAGAGATAAAGTCCCATCATAGCTATTTGTGCAAGATCAAGCTCCTCTGGCAAGTTCATAATGCACAATTGCACAAATGCATTGTTATTTAAAGTTGGCTCTATCACGTGTTTTCAGTGTTTTCAGCAAAAAAAGCTCAGATTTGATGGTGGCCTCTTTGAGTTGAACCCACAAAATCGTGTGGCAGTCTAAATAATGGACACGGGCGACACACCGCCAGCAGAGCAGACCTTGATGCTTCATTGAAATGTATAGAAATAAACCGACGTTCACTGGACTAAATGCAGGGGACCCCCCCCCATCATGCCTCTGCCCACTCCAACGTGTGCAGCGAAGGCTGCCGTTTCTCGCTGAGCAACATCCCTCAAGCTGTTGCGACACATGCAGATGTAATCCCGCTGTGCACTCGTAGAAATGAGTACATTCCATCTGGTTTGGAAGGAGCAGGATTAATTATCTGTGATTAAAATGTAATGATGAGAGGCACAAACGAGAGATTACTGCATTTATAGGATTCTTTACATTCAGGCTGGGATCCAGCTGTTTCTTCAGTGTTCAGACTCATGTATTTATAACCCAGTCACGGATTCATGAAGGTCATTTCAATGTAACCCCTCATTGACCTGCCATTTGTTTTGAGAAGCATTGTGAAAAAAAACAAACAAACAACAGAACAACAATTATGACTCTTATTGAATTGTAGGAAGTAGAAATAATAATAACTGCTTTTACAATTCACAGAACAAGATAGTGAACACAAATGAGTTGGCGACAGTTGCCTGAAATCCCGCTGCTGCAGGGCGGCAATGTCTGAATTCCATCTTGTTCGGGATCAAAGCCGCCTTCATTAGCACATCACAACAGTAACTCCGGTCCAAAGGCGTCATTACTCTATGATGTAATTCTGAGTCAGGAATACATTTTAAACTGGACTTCAAGGCGGGCTGGGCGGGGGGATGTAAATCAGTCCGTGCTTATGAGAGGATCGCTCTCACTTTGATGCAATCAGATGATCCATGAGAAAAATCTTTTCAGTTTAGATCACAATCTGCTTTGACGGTTAAAGGTTAAAGGTACACTTGGATGTTTTGTGGTAAAATAACACTTCATCACGCTGTGTACCTGCATCCCTCCCACGTCACACTTGAGTGACGGCTCAGGGGCATCCAGGGGAACATTAAGGTAACATGACGGGCACACGGGGGGCATGCTGGGAAAAAGGAAATGACCTCTGACTATTTATGAGTTAAAAACTCAAAGTAGGCTTCAACAGCATACACACACCATAACACCACATGAACATATAAAACATACAATCTATCAGCATAAATGATTGTGATATTTGGGTGGAGGAAGTTTCACAGTCCTGGAATTCAGCACCAGTATTGTTGTATAATGTAAATATTATCTGCAGTTGGACCACAAGAAGGCACAGAGGAGCTTGAGTTGAACATAATAGAAGACGGACACAGTTCATATGCAACTCTCCCCGGGCGCGTGGCTGCCTGCCTGTTACACTGAGCGCTTTGCATGATTGGGAGCTTTCCAGCTTTGATGGGAATTACATTAGCAGCAGCAGTGATATTGTGATTCGGACACTTCAGGCAAAGCAGAAAAAGATTCATTAACTGTGGCCCCGGTGTGTTGAAATGAAGGACCAAAAGGAAATAAATAAAATATCAGACAAGATAAGGGAGAAAAGCAGTAGGTGAGCCTTTGACTTTCTAATGTGAGTTTTCTTTAGACTCCTTTGTGAGACTTACTGCAGTAATGTTCCCTGATCACCTGAGCTGATATGCGGCTCCATCCACTCACATGGCCATTAGACATCCCACCTTGCATGCCGGCGCTTTTAAATTACTGTCATCAAATAGAAAATGTTCTTTCCACAGCTGCTCGGTGCACTGAGGCCACTCGTCTCACACGGAGGCCTTCCAGTGCTCTGTGTGTTCCGGGTGTCCAACGAAATGGCGTTTTAAGCAGGAAATACATTTGTTATCTGCTTCACGTTGTGCAGGTTTTTAAATGCTATATGTGAGTCTTTGCTTCTACATGAGGATGGATGTATCATACAAATAAAAGCCATTATGTGTTGAATAAAATACTTTATCGTGCACTGAAGAAAATGACTTTTTCACTTTGTATATTTACATAATAATACTATTTTTGTAAAATCTACTAAATTTTATGTGAGGACTTTTACTTTAAAATATCACATTTTTATGAATGGGTTACTTGGTGTTCGTTAGTAGTTATGCATCCTCATTTTGATAAGTACATTTGATCATTCATACCAAATATGAATTTAAGTTAATAAGTAAATAAATGTAGAGATTGTACAACTTGACAGCAAAGTTCACCATTCAAAAATCAAGTGATGCGTTAAAAGGGATAAAAGTGGGTTTATATTTCATTGAACATTTTATCTATTTAATCTCCTCACAGACTTTGAAAATTGATGTCCTATAGTTTGTTAACCGAGTTAAAGTTTTTTGTTCTTATATATTGTATTGGCAGCACTGATTTAGACAGGATTCTATCCTTTATGTGTCTGTCACTCGTTAACACTTTCCCTGTTAAGCTGTTTTGAAAGCCTGAAGTTAAGTACGTCAACTTGAGTGCAAATTCTTACCTAGCTTTTAGTAGTATGTAAATATTACTGATTCTTTTGAGTAACGGCAACTATCGGAGGCTAAGTATATTTCATATTAAAGATTTACTTGAATACGTTTGAAAATAAAACAACTCTTACTAGTAAGTAAACGTAACTTAAGATCTCTGAGTGCAAATGAGGCAGTAAGATGTCAAACGTGTTCTGCACGAGTGTGGATCCCGTTCACAGGGCCTCTCACACGAATCCAGGCCAGTTGGTTTTGGTCGCTGTGGTCTCCAGATGTGTTCCACATCTGGTTCTGTTTGGTGAATCAGCCTTTCTGTGTTGAGGAGACAGACCCGCAGGGTGCAGTACATCTCAGTTTCATTGGTCAGAATGTGGTGGAGTTCTGGGGACGCGGCAGCACACTTCAACACACCGCGACTGCTGGTTAGCTTAGCATAGTGTAGCATACGACTGGAAACTCCAGCATAGCCCATTCCCGCCCCCTTGGCATTGATTGCAATTACTTTTAGTCATGTTATAATTTCCGTCTTGTAGTATCAGACAGACAGGTTTGATTTCCATGCGATGGCTGCACTCTGAAGCATCAAGTTATTAAGGGCTGCCGTTTGGCTGCTTTGCACATTTCTTTTGGGCAGAATGCTGAGGGTAGAAATTCCCTAAAACAATCACTACATTCAAAAAGATTAATTGTGGCCCTAAATAAATGCACCGTACCCCTCAATTAGTGACCTCTGCGATGAGAACACTCGACCCACAAAGTCACGAGGGACTTCTGGATATTCTAAACAGCGCCGTGCAGTCACATCTGAACCCAGTGAAAAGGGACAATTTGTCTCACCGTTCTCCCGCTGCATCCCTTTTATTTCAGCGTTTGCCTTTTGTTTTTTAATGATTCTGAATGAAAAGGACAGCGTACCGAAACTCGTTGTTGAACATCTTATCAGTTCGTTTTGTACTATGTTGCTCTAATGTCATCTAGAATTGGCATTAGTCAAGACTTGAAACTAAAATGTGTTCTGGCAACATTAATAGATAAAAACAAGGAAAGCAGTGAGAGGATATGAGGCTTAAAATGACAACTGCCCTCTCAGTGATACAAACACCACAGAGGCAGCTGTGGCGCTCAGATAGAGAAGAAGAAATGTCTGTCATATCAAATTCAAAGCAAGAGCTGGAGGAGAAAACAAAAAGAAAAATTCTGTACACTTCACAGGTGATTTCATGCAGCTGGAGCTTCCCTGCGATCGCCTGCCTGACAATCCTCTACTTGCAGCACGAGAGTAAACGGAAGATGGAAGCCCGTGCAGATATTAGGCAACACACACTAAAACAACAGTTGTCTCTGAGGAGCTACATCTGATGGAGGAACGAGGACAGAGAATCGATGATCCAGCTGTGGAGATCGGCCTTAATCGCGTGTTAGATAACATCTGCTGGGCTCTCGTCCAACAGCTGTCCACCTCCTCTACGGGACACGCTCCCAGGTTCCAGCTCCATTGGATAACTAGGATGAATAAACTTCCTTCACCCCAGACAGCTTTTATTTATTCCACATGGCACACAAGGGTCTCCTTTTGTGTGAACAATTAACATATATGACACGGCTTACATCAGTTACAGGTGTAAGATCCGTCTTGTGCCTGTGAATTGTTGTCATAGACAGAAGTGCAAATCTGTAAATTAAAATTCCACATGGTTAATGATGGAGATGCAGAAAGGTTCTGCCAAGGAAGCTTTAACCTCAAGGCTGCATTTCTGGCAAGATTCCGTGGAGTTGTTTTAATGCTAGAAAGGCATCGTGCCATTGGCCAAAATCACAAATTACAATTTGCCTCAGAGGCCTTTACAGTCTGTACACATGCGACATCCTCTGTCATGAAACCCTCACATCGGCACAGGAAAACCTCCCCAACAAATGAACAAGCCTTCCATGGGGAGAAAAGGGAAGAAACCTGAGGGAGAACGTCAGAGGAGGATCCCTCTCCCGGGATGGACACAATGGATGCCATGTGTACAGAATGAACAATGTAAAAGATGTACAAAACATTCAATTCCTATACAGAGATGATTCAAATAATTGATAAATAAGCTGTACCACTTGTGTATTGATTGACTCTTTTGGGTCCCTGACAGCTGGACACCTGACGACTACCTGAAGGCCTCACTAATGCACGGTTGTGTTTTTACAAGCAGCCAAAAGTGTAGTGCCACAACTTTAATCTGAGATGTGATGCTCATAGTCCTGTGAATTGGGAGCAGGAATAAGGAAAAACACCTCCGTGGAGCAGGCGGAGTGGTTTGTTGCAGCTCCTCCATCATCATTTCCACTGATGGATTAGATGAGATGGAGGGATGTGAACGGTTTAACAGCACCGAAAATATGTTTGCCAATTTGTATTTCCCTCTTACTTTGAGGGGCTGCCGTGCGGAGAGCCGTGTTAAATCCTGTTATTTATTAATGTGCCTGTTGACTCTGTTGCAGGATCTTTTCGCTCAGTGGACTAATTCTCTTGAGTCCAGGTTTATTGGCATGAGCGTCAGATGAGCCGTGAAGACGTTGCCTGGCTGCAAATGAGCGTCTCTCACAGATCACACGGGGGCTGATGACCAATGTGCAACAGGTGGTCTGATGAGTCGCACTCGTGCATTCCCTGATTACCAGGAGACACACATCGGACTGAGGCACGGGACATTTAAACGCCTTTCACGCCCGGCTTTTGGCCTCTGCTCAGAAAATGGCACACACGAGACAAAAGTGTAATAACTCTCTGACGCCTAAGTTGGAACTACTTTGTGTGACACCAGATAGAAAATCTGATCCCTCAGCCACTCAGACGATGAAAAGGGTAGAACGTAAAACGGCCTTGCTTAGAAATTCCCTCCAAAACCCCCAAAACCTGCGCGGAAGGCGACAAAATTGCTTGTGGTGTGCACACAATGTGCACACAATGTGCACACAATGGCCCCGTCTCACCAAAAAGAAAAAAACCCTGATGCTTGGTGGTTATTTTGCTCTGACTTATCTGAGCAAATGATACGAATCACTCGATTCGGTGTCTCGTTTTCTATGTTAGCTGCTAGCTTCAATGAAAAAAGCTTGTGCGAATTCTCAGGACTAATTTGCATGACATATTTTATAACTTGTTGGAAACGCGTTTGAAGCATTTTCAAACGGATGGAGTGGAGATTGTAACCAAATCTCTGATGCTTTGAACGTTGAGAAGGATTCATATATTCGTTGGTGATCAGTACACAATAATCCTGTTGGACGTTGGTTCTGGCTCGGATCCAACCAAATGCTCCGCTCGAGCAGAAAAGGTTTTATAATTCTAATTATTTGGATCCCAACTACACACCGGCAAACGTTTGTGACGTTGAACAGTGAACGTTAAACGTTGAACAGTGGTGGCAAAATCCAGTTACAGAATCTTTAAAAAAAAAAGAATAAATATTCAAACCTCTTGTGTGGTACTTGTGGTTCTGTGGTAGTACAGCCGGCGTATTCAGGTCTTCCTTCAGTCACAATGACCAATGCAGACTCACAGACTTCTGTGGTTGTCAAACATCCTGCCAGTTAAACTGTAGTTTAGCGGGAATTGTGTGAAAAAAACAGACAATAGATGAAAAATAAATGTTTTCCCAAAATAACACGTGGAAGTAAAAGATCAATTATTTAATTTATCAACCATTTTGATGAAAAGTGAAGTATTAAAGACTTATTTTTCCTTTGACAAAAGGGCCTCTCAGAGACAAAGCTTGCGGCACCATGTTCTTTTTTTCTTCACTAGTTTGGCTTTGACGTACACGTTCCACACGGGAGCACGT